TATATATATATATATTCTTGGATTTCCTCTTTTTTACTTTCTGACTACTCTCATCCCTGGTGATTTACTGTTGAATATTCTATAAATATAATTTTTCTTTGTCTCACTTTTCTTGTGCTCAGTTAATGTTCTCAAACATTTATCTAAATGAATGCTTGTATTTTATAATTTAAATGATTTACATTACTTTAATTTCTAATTGCTTATATTTTTAAAATCAATGTCAGCCATGAAGGTTTATTGATAAATCTTACTTTATATATTTATAATTAAGAGGTAATTGTAATTTCTTTTATATTTTATAGGCACTGATTTGCCTTGTAGATAAAAAATCAGGAGAAAAAGGAAAAACGCGTCCTAGGTTTGTTAAACAAGATCAAATTGCCATTATGAGGTTAGAATGTGCTGGTGTGATTTGCCTTGAATCATTTAAAGATTTCCCCCAAATGGGTCGTTTCACTTTAAGAGACGAAGGTAACATTTGAGTTTTTATATTTGTTATTCATTTCTAAAAGTAAATTATAAACGAAAATTTATTTTATTGTTATATTTGTTTTGTAGGTCGGACGATTGCAATTGGGAAAGTTCTTAGGCTCATTGAATAAATTTTATGTACAGTGAAGACAGTATTCTCCAACTGCAAAATGGGACGACTTAGTTTTGCATCTCTATTCTTTTATGCTTCCATATTTTGTACTAAAACATGAAATGCAACTTATTCATACATAATTTTGTAACGTAATGCAATAAAAAAAAATGAATTCATATTAGATTTTGTTGGAGTGCCGTTATGAGCTGTATCAGCTGCATTTCTAAGTGAAATTGATTGTTACTTATAACAGGAACAAAGCAGAACGTTTCAATTAATTGTACATTTTGTTAAATTCTTGAATTTGCATTCCAAATATTGAAACCTGGTTATAGTTGAGGTGCTATTCGTTGAAAAGTTTTGAAGAATTTTTTAAAGGAGAATGCCTGTGTGAAATGTAGCGCTCTTAAACTTTATTATATTTAAAAACAACTCATTAGATTTTGAATGTTATTGTACTTTTTATCAAAAATGTTTTTTTTTTTTTTTTAAACATATGCAACTTTATTTCTTATTGCTACTGTTTCATATAAAGTAACATTTTGATATCCTAAAATTATTATATTTTAATAAGTTTGACAAGGCTTTCATTGTTATTACAGTTACCTTACCTCAGTAACTGCTGATATACATATAATTGTTTTATACATTTTAGGTTTATCTCATTTTTTTTTTNTTTATTTCTTTTTTTTTTTTTTTTTTTTAATTTGTGTTTGGGGAAATTGCTTAAAATGTATATCAAGTTTGAAACAAATAAAAGTTGTATTAAGTTTTGCAATTTATATTTAATTTGGCTATTTACTTAGTTTCTTTTTTCCTCTGTTACTTTCCGTATTACAAAATATTTTTAGTTGATATTTTGTTTTTCGAATAAGTGAAGATAACTGCATGAGGAACTTGGTCAGCAAACATTCAGTGCCTGTATCACTTAGTTTTGATATCATCTGCAGCTTTGCAACTACTCTAAACTACACACAAATTTTGCAAAGCATTTGAGGGAAAAATTGTTATCCTTTCCTAAGGACTGTAAAATAAAGCCTGTATTTGTTACCAAGATCTGGGAATAAAATTTTGTGGATCTTTTTATCTTTGTTTCTTACTTTCTGATTCAAATTGACTGTGACAAATATCCATGCTTAATTTGAAATTTATTATGGAATATCGTAGTTGTCAATTCTTCCTATATTTAGAAAGATTTTATTCCTTTATTTTTATCTCATTTCAAATTCTTAAATATATAATGGCTTAATATTTTTTTAATTAAACCTATTTTTTTAATAAATTTAGTGGCTTAATATTTTTTTTTATTGAAAATTGGATAATTCTTTTCAAATTATAAGGAAATATAAAATTATTATTATTTTTGTGTTAGTAAATTTTAATATTATTACTATTTTAGAGAATTACAGTTATAGTATTTCTTTAGCATCTTCAAAGATTACTAATGTTACATTGTTTCAGAGAATTAAAAGTGCTTATTTTGTTTGGTTATCTGACACAACTGTTAAGCGCCAGTGTTTTTTTATTAGAATAAATGGAGAGGAGAAACTGTAATATGTGTAACTTTATCGTAATAAGTTTTATTTAAAATTATTTCACTTAATACTCTATTAAATCCTCGGGCCGAGCAAGGTTGGCTCAGCCTTTCATCCCTCCAGTGGGTCGATAAATGAATACCAAGCATGCTCGGGAACTAAACACTGGGGGTTCCATGTTCGGCTAACCACCTGACCAGAACATCTGCCCAAGGTCAAGAAAACTGAGATTGGCACAGTAGGCCTTGGCCCTCTATGGGCTGTCGCGCCACTGAGTTTAGTTTAGTTTAATACTCTATTAAAATTTCTAATTTGGAAAGAAAAGAAAACCTACTTTGCTTTAAGAGGAGTTCTATTGCACATTTCAACTCACAATGCCTTTTTATTATTATGTGAAATAGATATTTTAGTGGGCACCGCTATTAATTGGTTAATCGCTCTATGTTTGTCATCCGTTAGGGGGTTCTACATCCGTTAGGGAGAAGACTATTGTAATAGGAAAAAATCTTCATTTCGTTTTAAATTGCTAAATCGAGCTTGTTTTCATTATGAATATTTTCATATCTGTGATTCTTTCAAACTCTACTGTTTCAGCCATTAGCATTAATCTTAAGAATAAAGCCCTTTTGAAATAGTATCAAATTATTTAAAATTTTTTGATTAATTAACAAAAATATTAATCTTGAGTTTCTAATTAAAGCGTTTTTTATACTGTATTTAATTGTAAATTTATTCTAAAATTTTACTCACTTCCCAAAATAATTTAAACATGTCCTATTAAATTATTTTTAAGATCTTACTTTCAGTTATTTGTTAAATCTGAAATCCCTTTAATTTAATAATGTAATATCCATGTTAAAAATCAGATTGTGCTCAGTTCCCTTACAAACCATTTCTGGAAATAATTTTGTTTGGTGTGCTTGTTTCTATCGTGTAAAGAAAGCTAACATTTAATTCATAATTTCTGAATTAAATGGTGATAAATGAAGTATATATTGTAAAGTATTTTAAAGAAAAACATTTTTAAATGTCTTACTATTTCTGAAATTAACATTGTAAATGTCACCACTGCTGTTTTGTGTTTAGCTGCCTAAAAACTATAAGGCTTAGAAACTTGATAATCTGTCAATGTTCAGAGAGTATGATGGAACAAACAAAAAATTTTAGCTCTATAATTATTAACTATTAAACTTGCTGCTAAAAATATAAGGCATGCCACTCTACCGCAAGGAAAATTGACGTGTTGATAGTCAGGGCTGATTGTGCTCCGGAAAAAATTCGGATTTCCGAATTTTTCGCTAACTGTGATCCAGAGATCGAAGGTTCAGACTTTTCAAAAAATCATTGATTACAGAAGTTTCCGGAAATCAAATTTTCAAAGGTGGAACTTAAAAAACACAGTTTATTTTGTTTGTTTGTAAGGGAGAGCCAGAGATATACTTTATAAGCTTATATTCATGATTAATATTCATTTTTTATCAGTAAATAGTTGTTATAATCATAAACTCAAGAAAGAAAGACATTATTTTAAATTTTAATTACTTCTCCAGGTTATCATAGGTATGTGTAAAATCTTAAAAGTATTTTAAGTAAACTAAGAAATATTGAGAAAAAGGAAAAAAAACCTTGTTTAAATTTTTTTCAATTTAAACTTATGCTCTAGAAATTTTCCGGAATTTTGACTTTGGCTCACAATCATCCCTGGACAGTGCTATTGATTATTGTAAACGTGTCAAAGGTTTTTTTTTGTTTCAATTTTTTGCAAAATTAAGTGCTTTTTTTTTCCATAAATGTTTTATTTGCTTTAAACAAACGAATGAACTGTCATAAAATCGCTACGATTTACCACAATATTTGTCTAGTAATTTCCAGGACTAAGATGTTGATGCCTTAAAAGACTTTCAAGAATGACTTAAAATAAAAATAGTGACCTTACTTTTCGAAAACGTGTCTTACATGAAACTAAAAAAATAATCGCGTATCTTGTATTTATATATTTAATAAAAAAAAATAAGATTGTAATTAAAATATAATCTAAGAATATCTGATAAAGATGAAAAGAAATTTATGAATATTTAGTTACATTCTTCAAGGGCATAGAAATTGCATTATATTTTTTAAAAAATTTTGATATTCTTATTACTTACGGAAAAAAAAATAATTTACAAGTTGGGAAAAACGCACTTTTGGAAAGAAATGAAATAGAGGATTTAGATAAACCAGCCAATGAAAATGTGACAGTTTCGAAATCGTGATATCGAAACCAAAGGAGGCACTCACTGTACATCGGTTGCATAAAGAGAACTGCAAAGGTAGGCTGGAAAATTTATCTGCAGTGAAACCTCTGTTAAACGGATACTTTGGGGAGTAATAAAATTGTCAGTTTACAGGAAGGGTACACTAATAACGAAGATTAACCCCGCAGAAAAAGCTAAATAATCTACAATAAATATTTACAATGATATTTAAACTTTAAAAAATACTATTTCCAATACAAAAAAAAGTGAAAACATTTGATATATGTATACATAATTCTAGATGTAGCTACAGAAAAATGAGTATATCTTTCTTATTTGCACAGACATTAAAGTTAGTCATGATACTGAATAGGCGCTTTTAGTCCTACATCACTTTCTCAGACGGTTTGATTATTACGTTTACACCCCTCTTCATCACTTGATAGGAAACATGGTAATACCTAGTACTTGAGTAGTAAACCTCCCACTATGCATAAGAAAAAAAAATGAATGTATTGTAACAATGCATACCAGCAGGATCTCTATGGAGTTGTCATATCCACGATTGTTCATCGGTCAAATGCCTAAATGTTTCATTTATGGGAACACCAAAATGGACTAGATTTCTGTTCTCTTGCTTCTGAAGATAAATTCTGTGCAGATTCAGAAAATGAATCATCAGTGTTAAATATTGTCTCCAGAAAGAAATTTTCAGTGGGGAAGCGAGATTAAGAGCATTTAAGACATAGCTTGTGGTATCTCATAACCAGTATAATCCAGATGAAAAGATGTTACTGTCTGAAATATTTTACCAGGAGCAGTGGCGTACGCAGAATTTTTTCAAGGGGGGTGTTCATAATTTTCTGAAACTACTAAAAGAAATTCGAATCTGTAATAAAGCACTATTATTTCCCTAATTTAGACAGCTGGACAATTTTGATTTTTTATTTAGACAACATTGTTTAGTTAAATTTTAATTTGATTTTTTAAGTGTAAGAACATAATGTAATATCTTCTAAAAAAAGTCCAATGTCATATGGGTGGGAAGTAACACTTAGAGGGCCACTTTCACATTCATCAGATTTTGTTATGTTTGAAACGTTTTCTTCAACGGAAGTATCACATTTCTGTACAACAGAAAACTTACATTGGTACTAGATGATGTCACCTCACTAATTTCAAGTCGCGGTTTTTTCGCAAAATAATTAAAAATTGTTAAATTCTTGCGTTTTGACATCCTAAAGATCCAAGAACAGCAAATATATATATATATATGGATTGGTACAGAAATATCCGCTATGCTCCGATCTCAAAGTTTCGAGCTGGAATGAATAACTTCAACGAGCACAGTATCTCCAATGGTACTGTTACTGATTTCTTCACTAGTCGAAATAGTGACGACGACGGGTTCGGCGATTGTTGTAGTTGTAGTTAATTTACGTCGCACTAGAGCTGCACGATGGGCTATTGGCGACGGTCTGGGAAACAACCCTGAGGATGATCCGAAGACATGCCATCACAATTTTGATCCTCTGCAGAGGGGATGGCGCTTCCGTAGCCCGACGACCTGCACGCGATGTCGAGCACTTTACGGTAGAACAGTTTAACGAGGACCAATACCTCACACCCTCGGTCCCTACGCAGGCTGATCCAAGTGGTCACCCACCCGCGCACCGACCGTACCCAGTGATGCTTGACTTCGGTGATCTGCTGGGAACCGCGTCTTAACGATCAGTCCACTGCGGGACGGTTCGGCGATTGAATGAACTTTTTGTTGAGATAAATCAAAACAGATTTAGCGGCAGGCTCCGAAAGACAAGCGGCAGAGATAACTCTTAGTCTAACTCCACTGTACTCCGTTCCCCCTTTTATATAATTTTTCACCGCATCTCCAAAATTCTCGAATTGTCTCAAAGACGACTGAACGTCTAGGATTCCAGAATCATCGCGTAAAGACCTCGCGAATGACAGCCAGTCTCGAAAACTATACTGGTAGAAGGACAGAAAGGATCCAGTCCGTAACAGTATCACGTGAATTTGGTTTCAAAAGTACAACCCTATTATAGTAAATGTTTTTTCAGTATTCTGAGAAATACCGTGAGAAAAAAAAGTAGGCATAAGGCAAATAAAAATATATAGTCTTAAAAAATAATAGCTCGCATAATTTCTACTAAAATTTTTATTTTTGCCATTTTGTGTGAGCTCAAGGGGGGTGTTTAAACCCCTAAACCCCTCCCTTGCTTACGCCACTGACCAGGAGCAATATCATCCTCTTTCCTTTTTTTTTCCGAGATAAAGAAATGTGAAAAGAGAATGATTTATTTTTTTAGTTGGGAAATAGCTTACTATTTTTAGTAGTGGATAAAGTAAAAAAATATCGCATGCTTTAAAAATGATGGAAAGTCGCATATTTTTTTCCTTACAATTTAAAGCAGAAAGTTTTTTTCAAATTTGGGCAAGCTATTGTCTGGTTTGTAGAGATAGAAAAAAAAAAGAAGCCTTAAGGGCATAAATGACTGCCAGAGTCCAGTTACGGGAGTGTCCGTTTTGGGGAGAAGGTACGTACTGGTTTATTGAAAATTCACAGAGTTAAAAAAAATGTCCATAATGGAGGTTTCACTGTATATAAAAGTTATGTGAGTACCAGGCTGATTATTCACTTCAGATTAGCAAATGCAGTATACCACCTGTAAGAGACACTCTCTAGGCATAAGTATCGATTCTGACCCCGGTCCCTTATAGATGCCTTATTGTATTACCTATTATAGTTGCTTCGTCATAATAAAAATTCTAAATACGAATTAGATAAATGATAAATTAGGAAATATTTTTTATTATCAAAGGGAGATCGGAAGAGAGGAATAACATTTTTCTAAAAATGAATAAAGTTAAAAATGTCAGGGCTGATTGTGCTCTGGAAAAAATCCGGATTTCCGGACTTTTCTCTAACAGTGATCCGGAGATCGAAGGTCCAGATGTTTCAAAAAATTATTGATCACAGAAGTTTCCGGAAATAAAATTTTCAAAGGTGGAACTTAAAAACACTGTTTATTTTATTTCTTTGTAAGGGAGAGCCAGAGATATACTTTATAAGCTTATATTCATGATTAATATTCATTTTTTATCAGTAAATAGTTGTTATAATCATAAACTCAAAAAGGAAAGACTTTTTTGTAAATTTTAATTACTTCTCCAGGTCATCATAGGTATGTATAAATGGTATAGGTATGTGTAAAATTTTAAAAATATTTTAAGTAAACTAAGATATATTGAAAAAGAGGGAAAAAACCTTGTTTAAATTTTTTTCAATTTAAACTTCTTTTTTAACTCAAGAAATTTTCCGGAATTTTGACTTGCTCTCACAATCACCCCTGAAATGCGGAAGGAGCATGAAATAAATGAGATATTGTCGCCTACAAAGTTTTTTACGCTAGAGGGAATAATACCAAAACAAAGTGAATAGGATGGGAACTATTTGTAAAAAAAAGGATAATGAAATTTGATGAGTTTTTTATATTTTAATATAATCACAAATGCCTGCGTTTCAGATCTTTACGCCTCATTTGTCCCTCGAAGGAGATATAAAGTTTTTTTATAATCCTCCCTGTTTAAAGGTGGCACTAGACTCGGCCCAACGGGAGTCAAGCAAATTAATTCAAAATATTAATATTGAAACATATTTTATACTTCTTCTTTCCTCACATAATTTTTTTCAGAAATGTTTTTCTAAGAAGATAAAATCACTAATTTTAATACCGTAATGTGCAGATTCATTTTAATGTACATCTAAATTGCATTTTTTTATGTTATCTATGTATTTTGTACTGCATGGTGCACTTTACCACACATTGTAAGCTTAAAAATAACTTTTGTAATGAAGAAAAATTATTGTCCCTGTCACCAAACTTTCCACGCTTCGTGAAAGCAGACTTTCCACAAAGATTTCTGTTTCGCTCTACGGAACCTCTTCCCATATTGGCATGCGCCTGCAACGAATGACCTTTCACGCAGCTAATTAATAATTGTTTACCGCATATCAACGCGAAACACTCTTTCCTCTACTATTTAAATTTACTTATACTTCTTATAGCTATAAATCTTAAGTCACAAAAATAAACACGAATAGCTGAGGGATGGTGAACCGAATTTTAAAAAGTATCACTTTTTCAAAATTCAGTTTCCCAGGAACTATTCGACCGATTTTGATCAAATGTTATATTTTGTGATTTAAAGTTGCATTCTTTCAAATGATCCGTTTATTTTTTTGTGTGCTGTACATCCGTTTGCAGTAAATGACAATTTTGTTAATAGCAGCAAAAGACTTTTTCTTTTTTTAACATAAGAATTTAATTTTACTTAAAATTTTTTTTAAAAAATCAGTTGGTTCTTACATAAGTCCTTGAAGGGTATCGGAAGTTCGTGAATTGGATTGGTTGTGATTTTTTCACAGGGTGCGAAAGTTTGCTGATTCGCGAGTTTTTCAGTAGTGCAATTCGTACTTGCGCTAGCAGTTCATCTTATACACTTGGGATGCTAAATAAAGGACCCATTCCTTATTTAAAATTGCTCCCGCAGTGGACTGACCGTTAAGACACGGTTCCCAGCAGATCACCGAAAAAGTCAAGCATCACTGGCTGCTGTCAGTGTGCGGGTGGGTGACCACTTGGATCAGTCTGCGAAGGGATTGAGGGAGTGCGGTGTTGGTCCTCGTTAAACTGTTCTACCGTAAAGTACTCGCCTTCGCGTGCAGGTCGTCGGGCTACTGAAGCGGGGGTGCCATCCCCTCTGCAGAGGATCAAAATTGTGATGGCATGTCTTCGGATCATCCTCAGCTATGTTTCCCAGACCGTCGCCAATAGCCCATTGTGCGAAGTAAATGACAACTACTACAACTACTACCTTATTTAAAATTGCAAATTAATTTTTTAAAATTACATTCAGAGGTTAAATCGCACAGAAACAAGCAGCCAAAATAGGTTCATAACCGTAGCTGTAGTAAATAACAAACAAACCCATTGTATAGCTTTTATTTTGTTTGCTCTGTCTCATCCGTCTCCTATGTCAAATTTAAAATTTACAGATTTATTATCATGAAATATTTTAAAGATTTTTAACAATAATAAGAAATGGAGTCACGTCAACGTGCTTTTGCACAAAAATTAAAATGGTATGTATCTTGTTTAAATAACTACTTTTACATATTTTGTGAAATTAAGTCAAATTTAAATATTATTTGATGATTTTTATGACATTTCTTTGAAATTTTTTTTATTTAAGGTTCTTAAAATTTCTATGTTCCAATTATTGTAAATTTTACTTGATCTTTAGTTGTTGATATCTGTCTTTTGTGTAAACTTGCATTCTATTCTGTTTAATGTCTGATGAGAAAATTATAGTTTACTGGTTTTAAGTGATTGTTATTGTCTATGTATGATAAACTTGACTACTCTATAGCTTTCTACATTAAATGTAATCTCTGTATGTCCCATTGTTTCAGGCATATGACATATTTTAAGTAATTACTTTTTAAATAAATCCTTTTATAGGCCTAATAACGCTGATATTCGACAGCAGATATCAACTGTTGCTTCGCACTCAAAAGAAGATTCACTACACAAAAACAACATCTTCCCAGAAAATGTAATTTATTTAATTTTCTTCAATTTCTCGTAATTTTTATGTTTTTAGTCAGATTATTTCATGCTTTTAGTTAAAGTATAATTTAAATTTTTTGCATGAAGTTTTTGTTAAGCTAAATTTCATATTCTATAATTTTATGGTTTTAAATATTGTGAATTGTATACTATTAATTTTAGAACCTACTTATAGTTATCACATCATATTTTGCTTTCTTCTTTAGTAAAATATTTCCAGTTACTTGTATGTAGCATAAATTACCTCACTTCTGAAAATTTAAATTGTTCTTACCTCATTTATAACATGATATAGATGCAGCAATTATAAATGATATAGATATGGCATTTCATTTCTTTCGGTGGCAGTAATTATGCTGAGAGAAAAAGAAATCTTAGTTAAGCCTATTAATATTTATTTGAAACTTTTTTTAAAAATATAATTTTTAGTTTTTCTTTTATAATACATTATATTTAGTTTCATTTATAATCTGATATATATATATATATATTGCATTCTAATTATTGTATTATAATAGATTCCTATTACTGACGTAGTGGATCCACTAGATTTTGAAGAATTTTTAGACCAGCATAGAGATCAGATTGATTGTGATTCTTTTAGACATGTTCTAGATTTTCCTGATGATGACTTAGAAATAGGTATTTTGCCTCATAAATGTAGAACACTAGGACACATTGTACCTGATGATGAAGTGTGAGTATATTATGTTATAAGGATTTAAAAAATTTGGTAACAATAATAAAATAAGGCTGTTTAAAATTTCCTGAAGAATTTTCTACTAGCTAAAATAACTTATATTCCTGAAACCTTAAAAAAATTATGTTAAAGATAACTATATATCTTAAGTAGCATAATAACTAGTGCGAGAAATAAATTTTCTTTGGAATTCAACTCTAGTTTTTTTCCTTATAACTTCAAATTTGTATTTAAATAGCTCAAATAACAGAAAAGAAAAGAGAAAAAGTATGATACCTTTTTTTGTTGCCTATATCTGAAAATAGAATCTCATAATCAATATTTCATCTTGTACCAGATACTAAATATAAAGTTTTATTTAAAAATATTACTGTTTTTCATGAATAATATAAATTTTTTGGAAAAAACTTGGATCAATTTAGAGTTGCCTTAGTGAACAGACGTTGTGCTGTTAATGAATAAAGCTAAATAACCTGAATTAAGTACAACTTAAATCCCAAAATTTTGATTCTGTTAACATGAACATTCTCCTATGTCAAAACACAGAATCACAGCAAAATAAAAACAACAATTACATTTGGAAAAGAGTGGTTTAATCATTAGGGGGGAGGAAAGAAACAAGTTTGAATGATATAATAAAAAGATGGAGATAGGAGCCAGGTGTGTAATGGAATGGTGATAACCTCTGGTGTTTAAGATGTAGGAATTAAATTCAAATAGATATTAAATCGAGACCACATACAAATTTTCTCTGAAATTATCACAAACAAAAAGTTATGCTCCTACAATATGTCTTTCTGAGTTTTTTCATTTTTTTTGTTGTTTTTCTTGAGTGGTAGAACAATACAAAGTTAATTTCAATTCTAAAATTTGCTTTTTTTTTCAATTTTGCTTTTTGAAAAATGCTTTTAATTAAACATAACTATTTATTTATTCTCACAAAATTAATATAGATATATTTTATTTAGTGTTGAGCTCAATCAACAAGTTAAAGATTGCATTCAGTGTTATACTTCAGATTGGATTGTTGTTAACAGAAGGTCTGTATATATAAATTTTTAATATATTAGGTTGTTTAATATTTGAACAAATATTTGTGAATTTTGCATTTTTCTTCAGGTACCAGCAGTACAGCTGTGCAAATTGTCCTTATGAAAAGCCTTCTGATCGTCAGAATGCTGCTAGAACTACACCAAGACAAGAATTTGAAATAGATGTAGCTCCCCCTATAAGAGATTATAAGGAAGAGGAAGAGATACGTCTAAAACAAATCAATGAAGTGCCATTACCACAACCTCCTCTTGCTGAAGGAGAAGATACAACATCTGTAAGCTTCGAAATTACTTTTGGTGTACATTTTAATTTTGCTTATTTTATTGTTAATTTATTAATGTTGTTTGTAGTTGATGTTGTTAAAGAAATAAGTTATCTTGAAATTAGTTAAAACCAGTCCTTAAACAAGATTCTTACATTCATAACAAATGTTGATTAGAAATTTTTATTCTCTCAGCATTATAGAAATTTTCTTGGCTCCTAGTATGACTGAACCAAAAATGACTTTTTTAAAATTAGATTAAAAGGCATCAATTAATACAAACAAGAACAGAGCAAAAGGATAAAATAAGATTCAAAATCATTCAATCTCAGTTTTTAGTACAAAGTGCTATAAGCGTGATAATTTTTAAAAGCAATATCAGTCTGAGTTACACATGGCACACATAAAACTTACCAATTTTACAGTTTCATATTTCATTCATAAATGCAATAAAAAAACTTAAATGATAGTTCATGGCAAATATCTTACGCTTTATGTGTTATAATATACATTAGCTAAGTTGGACTAAATCTATTCTTGGGAAAGGTTATTGTATTACCTGAGAGAAATATGCCTTTACTTTAAACATATAGAAAAGTGGTAGTTTTAAAGAAGTGTATAATACAGAATGAGTGACAAAATTAATGTTTTTTACAAACATAGCATTACATTTGAATGATTTTCATAAAATTTTTTTATAACACTGTGAATGAACAAATGAGTATATGTTAAAACCCTAATATCAAAGATATTTCAAGTAGCATAAACAAAAAGCTTGGAGCAAATCGTAAGAATAGTTTTCGTGCATAAGAATTATTAAAGTTTACTTACTTATGACATTTTTTATATTGGGCTAACACTATATTCTATTTCTATGCTTTGTTGATTGTTTTTTTAAACTAAAAATTACATTGGTATTATATTTAAAAACCATAAGCTATACATTCAAACTGATATCAATGTTTGTATATTTCAGGATGATTCAGTGCAATGGTTACAAACTTGGTGGGGGTAGGTAGGGCATATCATAAGGATTGAGAAATGTATAGTAGCCCTTGGTTGGAAATGTCATAGTATACTGCCAAGGGCATTTTGTTTATTATGCATTTCAATCACAACTTTTAAACTTAATTTTATGTTTTCTTATAATTGTTGGACATTGCACGAAAATAGGTTCTAAAATAGCTGTTTTACCATACTTTTCCGACTCAGTGACTATCTTACAGAACTTGTCAATTTGGTGTCAAATGATCTATGGTCAATTAAACTGCTATTATTCTGGGCCTAATTGAATGCAATTTTTTACTATGCTCCTAAGAAAACAGGGCAATTAAGATGATTTAGGTAAATAAAAATATTTGTTCAACTGGACATGAACTGCTTCTTTTTGTTTTGCCTTACCTCTCTTGCAAGTTCCTAACCACAGCAGCATTTTTTTTAAAACTTTTTAATTATCAATTTTTATTACCTACCTTCAATTGATGAGCATTATATTATAAAAAATTTACTGTTTCGAAAATTTTAATTGCTCTTAAATTGTGTTTTGCCATGAGCTTTAAAAAACTAGCATTTGTTTTTTTTGTTTCCAAAAATTCTAATATCAAATACAATAAATTTATTTATTTTTCTTACAAATTTGCTAGTACGTAATTAAATTGCTGAACATTTTATTGATGAATATTTTTGGTCTGAATGTAAGTTTATGATAACTTTTAATTGAAGAAATAATAGTTTTTTTAAAAAATCATTATTTTACAGGATTCTTCTGCTCCTTCATCCAATCGGCAATCATTTCAGTTAGTTGATACACCCAGAGGAAGTTGGGCAAGTAGTGTGTTTGATCTCAGGAATTCCCAAGCCGACCCCCTTATTCCATCATTGCTTGACCATACACCGTCTGAAGCTTTGGATTATATAAATGAAATCAAGCGCTTAGAAAATCGGTCTGATTCATTGTTCACTCTTTATCCACCCATGGAAGATGTAAGTTTTCAAAAAATATTAATTTCTTTTATTTATAAGTTTTTCTTAATACCTTTTAAAAAGAAATTTATCAATTAAAATTGAAAATTACACACAAATTAAGGTACTTCATTATAATAATAGCTGATAGGCAGGGTTGGCAAGGTTTAGGACAGAATGGATTAATCCACGGTTTAAACCGTCCTGTCCAAAACCCCTTTGTCCAAAACTGTCCAAAATCCTTTTACTCAAATTATGTCACAATTTTATCTGAACAATATTTAAGAGGTAAAATAAACATAGAACTAATAACATATTGATAATTAAATATACTAGAGAATATTTGTTTTTAAAAGTATAATGTTTTATTAATATTGTTTGACTCTTCAATTTAAACAAAGGAAGATTAATCAGTAATCAAGTTCAATTGGTCCTCTCATTCAATAGTACATAACTGAAGTTTGGCCTTGCCATACAGGTTAAAATATTAGGGACTAAGTGCTTGGTTTGTCATAAACAGGTTTATTTATCTATTGTACTATTCAAGAATACTTTTATTTCATTCATGTTCAATTCTTTTAGCATAGTGGTGATACATCATCAGTGTCAGTAACAGAAACTGATGTTATGCCCTTCAAAACTGTGAATACATTTTTCAGTTATTTTGTATTTTCAATTTAAACTAATATATTTATATTCAAAAACAATTTTTTTTTAAAAAAGATGTCTTTTTTATCATCTTGTGATGCAGAAATTATAAAATTAAAAAAAAAAAATTGTGAAAAATAAAAGGATAATTTTTGAATAATTTTAGTATTTTTTTTAAAGAAAAATTCTTATTTTTTAATATTGCCATATTTATCCTTATGCAAAAATATTATTTATCAGTATTAAAAGCATATTTATATTTAAAGGATTAGGTATTCACTTTTGATGTTCAATGAATTGTGGAGCTTCAAAAATTATAAACCTTTTCCTATTATATTATTTTCCTTTAATAAGTTATAGTAAATTGTATAGAAAATATCAAATATTTATTGATACATGTAATTATTATGTGTACAATGGTTACACCTATAGAATTTTTACCAAAGTTCAAGGTTCTGGACACTTTAAGACAGTCCAAAACCAGTTTAGGACGTCCAAAACCCCAACCCTGCTGATAGGTCTTATTAGTATATTTAGCAAGACTGGCTTTTTCACTACTTAACCTGGACTCTATTGCTATGGAATCAGTTTAGACAATTTCATTAATTTTAATATGGTTATTTTTTAATGTGTTTTAAAGTAATTTAATTACTTAGCTTTTATTTTAATTACCTCACATTTTTATTTATTGTAACATTTTATTTTATGTTTTAATAAACAAACTTGATTGATATTTAATATGTAACATTTATACATTAATTTACAGAATAAGTAATAAGTAAAATAAATAATTTTTTGTTTTATATGTTTATTTTTTATTATGTAACATCATTTTAGTGAATCGTTTTTACTTGTTCATTTACAAAAAGTTTAAGACATAAGTTAAGTTAGATGTATTGCGCTTTTTTTAAAAAAAATTGGGAATAATTTTATATTTGTCAGAAAACATGTTTGCTCTATAATAAGAATTCTGTTACAAAGTAAATGCGCTTTTTAAAATTGTCCAATTTAATATCAATTTATGCTTTTTAAGTAAAATTTTTTAGCATTTTAGATATTTATTTTTTAATATAAAATGCTAATCTAAGTCAGTTTTATGAAGTTGAACTATCAACTTATAAGTTTCTTTCCTTCTCTCTTTTTTGCCAACTGAATATTTTCCTCTCTACAACTATTTTCAAATTCGTTGTTAAAAGAGCATTAAAGGAACAATATAAATATTTCTGTTTGTTTTTATAGGAAGAGTTTATTGAAAAAAGGTTTCCTGGTCAAGTGCCCAAAGAACATATAGGTCATCGCGTAATTGTCAAGTGTCTTGCTATGAAGTAATAATTTATTTATTTAATCAACGAAATCAAAATAAACATGGATGAAATTTATGGGCTATAGCATAATCAATGGTTATGTTTTAAAAATTTCATGTTATACAATTTTAACTCCAAATTCAATTGTTTTATCTCAATAACTTTTTAGCTGACTACTTTTAATGCAACACTTTAATGATATAATTAGATCCTAGGACAACCTACTAAGGAGTTGCTTAATTTTTTTTGAAAATTTGGGAATTAATTATAGAGGCCAACATCTGCAGGAGATTCAGATCAGATAATAGGTGGGAAATGTAAAAAAATCATTACTCATTTTATAAATAAAATAATAACTAAAATGTAATTTTTGATTTCTATCACTTGAGAATTATAATTCATGGACTTAAATAATTAAAAAAAAAAATTTTTTTTAGATTTATTTCTGATTTAAAAGTCATTTTTCTCTGTAGTTATTTTAGGAAATTTTTTGTGACTTTCAGTAAATATATGGGTTGATTATGACATTTAATTTTGTTATATATATTTTTTGAAATTTTTAAATACACGACTTCAATAGAAATTTTATTAAATAAATTGTTATTATAGGTATGTTGTTAAATTAATTGTCTTAATGCTTTCAGACTTGACCTTGAAATTGAACCTATTTTTGGAATAATGGCTTTGTATGATGCCAAAGAGAAAAGAAAGGTTTGTATAATTATTACTTGTAATGATTATATTAAATATTTATGATTTATTTTAATGTGTTGTTTCAGATTTCTTTTGAGAACCTATTTAACTTGAATGTCAATATTATTTTTGTGTTTCGTTATTTAAATTTAGGTTTCTGAAAATTTTTACTTTGACATGAATTCTGAACCTTTGAAAAGAATGTTGTCAAGCCATATTTGTTATCAGGATGTGTCAACTCTAAGTAGATCCTGTATATTTCAAATAACTAATCCATCACCAGATTTGTTCCTTGTTATAAAGGTAATTTTGACTTTTTATAGGATCATGGTTTGAAATTTTAGCTGTTTCAATACTATTGATATGTTAAAAAGTAATTATGTATATATATATATATATTGTTTTTTATTGTCAGTAGTAATAATTGATTTGGAACGACAGATTTATTTTTCAAATATAATCAATTGAAATATTTTTCTTAATGGCAAAACTTAAATGATTTAATTTTTTATTAATTATTTAATCTAATAGTTTCCCCCCTTATTTTTTAGCTTACTGTAAAACAAAGTGACTAATAAACCAATATTTAAAAAAAATAATTGTATAAACTGATTTATAAATTAACTGTTAAATATTTAGTCAAAAACTTTGTGTGAGTTACCTAATGTAATAAAAAAATTTAAAAATCTCTAACTTTAATAAATGTAAATCTATAAAAATGCCGAATTCATGATGCCTTAGGACTGTCAAGATAAACCTTCTGTACAAAGTTATTACAAGTTTTGGTTTTTCTATGTATTTTTTGTTTACTTTTAAGCAGTGATGGAAGAAAACTGTTATTGATTTCTAAGTATTCAGTAGTTAGCTCTAATTTGTTTTTGCAGATTAACAAAATTTTTAAAGAATTCTTTGTTATGCAATGTTGATAATTTTACTTCTTTTCTTCTGTTGCAAAAAATAAATTATTGTCATCAATATTCTATCACAGAATATTTATAGCCATTCAGTATTAAAACTATTTTGATGATGAATGAATGATCAATACGCCTTGAACAATCTTTTTTGCTTATTTATTTTAAAAATGAAACAGAATGTTAATTCTCGCTTTTTTGTTCTAAAACTCAATCAAATATTCAGACGATTATAATGTCAAAGTTTACTGAAATCTTTCATTTCTGAGTACTATTCAGATGTAATTATTGGTAAATTTTAATATATAGTTATTAATGTGATATTTTACTGTTGTTCTGCAGTAATCATATATTTTTTTTTTAAGCAAGAAAGAGGAATACAATTTCAGAAATTTATAATCTAATGTTTATCATCATTTTGTTATTTATCTAGTCATCTAGACACTAAATTTAATTTTTATAAATAGCATATCTTTCCACATAATTCTTAAAATGTTTAAGCAAATTTTATTGATTATTGTTTATGAATGGTAAAAATAAATTATGATGTGCATTAAATGTCAATATATAATAAATATTGACATGTTTGTTATATCTCAAAATTCAGAATTGCTTTTACATGATGATAATTACCAAGAGCTGTATTGAAGCTATTTCATATTTTCCATAATTGATATAAAATTTTAGTATGTTATGTTAAAATTATAATCATATCATAGTGTTAAAAATCATAGTGTTAAAATCACAGTGTTAAAATTGAATAAATATTCCTTGGCAATTAAAATTTTAGAATAAAAGAAAGACGAAATCTCTATGGAGTTTGGGTAGTTTTAGTTTCTTATTGCTCGTAGAAAATTAATGTTTATGTATATAATTAGTATAGTATCTGTTTGTTTTTGTGACTGTATTTTTATTTTATATTTTTGAACATTTTATCAGTTTTTCTTATTTTTATTGTAGCATTTACATAAATGTTTCATTTGACCTAGGCATAAATAATGTCTGCTATTTTTTTATGAAAATGTTTTTTGAATTTTTGTTCAAATTTTGTATAATTTAATTCAAATTCACAGCATTTGTAATTTTTGTTATTTACTCAATATCCAATTTTATACATTTTTTCAGCTTGAAAAAGTATTACAAGGTGATATTAACGAATGTATTGAACCCTATGTAAAGGATGATAAGGTAAGTACATTCTATATGGTTCAATATATATTTATATTATATTTACTTCTTTAAATATATTTGAAAATGTTTTAGTTCATGCACTGTTTATGATGTCATTATTTATCAGGGCTTGTTGGTTTACAAAAGTATAGTTGGTTTTCAAAATTTCTCAGATTTTGTTTGGTTAAATATTTTTATAAACTGAAATTTAATTTGCTGTTAAACTGAATTGGACAGTGAGAAAATAAGATTTTTTAAAATTTTATTTAATCAACCAATCAGAGAATTAAGACCAATTTTTATGCCGTAAAACTTGTATAAGGAAGAAAAGAGAAAGAGAGAAAAAATCAGTTTTACCTGTAAAAAAAGGTTCAAATAATAATTGAGCTGTTTGATATATTAATTACTAGATTTTCATAAGTAGATTTATTTCTCTAAATATCCATATAATTTTTGATATTTAAAGTACCTCTTGTTTAATCAACCATAAATTCTGTTTTTAATTCGTTTATTTTAAATTTATGTTGATTTTTAAAAATAATACTGTGTCATTTTATAAATGGTAGAACTGATTATATTTTTAGAACAGAGATAAACTCAAAAGTAGCGCAGTTTTGACTTGTGAAAGACTCGGGAAGTACAGAATGCCATTTGCTTGGACTGCTATTTACTTGATGAATATTATAAATGGTGTAAATACTTTAGATAAAGATTCTGGAAGTGATCGAGATAGCATATCTTCAAATAGCTTGGGTAATATAAATTTTTTTTTCTCTTTTTACTAATATTCTTCAGTATTTTTTTTTTAAATAATTTTTTTAAAAATAATTTAATAAAAATTTTTTTCTAGTAGAAATAAATAGCTCTATCTAAAAGTTAAGTTTTTTTTTGTTGTAACTACAGTTTTGGTCTGTTGTATTGAGATGAGATGTTCAACTGTCTCTGCTAATGTTACAAAAAGAAATAAAAAATCTTGCTCTATAATGCTTCTACTGTTATCATCTGTAATCTGTGATTATCTTCTGAAGGAGAATTTCTAGTTATTTAAAATCAATTCAAACTAAATGAATCATTTGTAAAATATATTCTATCACAATTTTTTTTTTAATCGAATTTAATTTTTGTGTAGCATTTTTAGCATGTTTGTAACAAGACACAGTTAAGACAGGCATGTTTATGTAAACAGAGTTATTTTTTATTATATATATATAGATATTAAACCATTGTTTTATAATCTGTGAGAACTGCTTATAACATTGATGCAGACATATAAATATCAACCTAGCAATTTTCTATACATTTTTTTAGATGAAGTATTTATCTATGAATGCTGAATACTACCGAATTAATTTTTTATAGTGAATATATATTTGGAAACTATGGTTAATTTGCTGTATACTTTTTAATAGATCGCAAAACTGTTGGCAATGGCTTTGAGACATTGCGCAAAAAAACTTCTGATTCTAGTACTCTTAGTAGAGGATCTTTAGAAAGAAGGAGTACAAATGACAAGCGAAACAGTTGGAGTGCTGATGATTTGGGGTCAAATTTAGATAGCTTTCGTCCTGTTACCCTAACAGTAAACAGTTTTTTCAAACAGGTACTGACAAATATTAGATTTATCACTTTTAAATTGTATTGATGGTGATATTCTATCACAAACTGAACAAAATTTACTACAATATACTGTAAAACCTTAAGCAACAATTACTATAAATCCTTATTCATATGTTTTTTTCTTATTTTTATTACTTTATGCCTGTTTATTGATTTAACATTTACCGTAACTTACATCTGGTTCTCTTGGAAATGCAGTATAATTTCAATTGTTATAATTTTTATAGTCATGATTGTAGTAATGAGATTTTTTTTTTTCATTTTTCAAATAGCAGTATTTCAATCTATAATTTTATTACTTTAATTTTTTTTTTTTATAAATAGCCTCATTTGTTTTTTCTGTTATTTTGAACATATTAGAAATTTTATTTTAAAATACCTGGTAAATTACTTTTTCAAAATTGACAATTATATTTTTCAGGAAACTGATAAACTTCGTGATGAAGATCTTTTCAAATTCCTTATTGATTTAAAGCGACCCTCATCAGTTTTAAAACGTTTAAAATGCATACCTGGTAAGTAATCAAGATTTCATATATATTATGTTAGCATTTAAGTTTTTAAGTAAGCTGTACTATTATTTATTGGTATATTGATTCTGTTTTACAATTAGAGTAAACAAAGAAACTATTGATGTTCACTGATCATTATGATATCAAATTGCTTAAAAAGTAACTAAAGAAATTACTTTAAAGAGATTTATGTTTAGTTGTTTTGTGTCCTTATAGTTAGAAGTTTTCTATTGTACTTTTACAACTCATTCTTGTTAATACTAATTTTATTATTGTTTAATACAACAAATTTGCTTATTTTTATGAAATTCATTTGTGTATTTCAAGCAATTGTTTGAGAAAAAACATTATTTTAAAGTAATTATTAAAATATTTTAATGAACTTTGTCTAACCCAGTATTTTTATTAAAATTTAAAAAATTCTGTTGAATATTTTTTTAAAAATTATTTATCAACGTTATGTTCTTTTTGTTTTGTACATTTTTCTACTCTTAAAGTATTTTACAATTTTTCATTAAATAATTTGCTTTCTTACTTTTTTGTTTATCTTTTTCGTTTTAAAGGTATCTTGAAATTGGATATAGCTCCTTGCCCAGAGGAACCTAAATATTGCCTTACACCTGAGCTAGCTAGGTTACATCCTTATCCCGATGAGAAAGGCCGCCCAACCAAAGAAGTTCTAGAGTTACCAGTTAAAGAAATACTGGTTCCACACTACTCTTATCGCAATCTCCTTTTTCTTTATCCGAGAGATATAAACTTCTCCAATCGTCCTGGTTCTGCCAGAAATATCTCTGTTAAAGTTCAGTATATGGCTAATGAAGAATTACACAGTGCACTGCCAGTGAGTGTTGGCTTTGGTTGATTTACTCTTTTTAAGGGTATTGTCTTCTATTGTTGTAGTACACTGGTGTCCAAAAGTTGAGCATAATTTTACTCCTTTACAAATTATGCTTAACTTTTTTCCCACGTGTATAAACAAAATGTGAATTCATATTTTTTGTAAAAATTCCATTACAATAATTTTAAACTTTGTACAATTTACAATCTAATGCAATAGAATAATTCATAATTTGAAAAGGTAACACAATACAGCTTATTTTATTTTTATAAAAGAACATTCCATATCTTTAATTATTGTTAAAATATGCAACTTTATGCATTAGGTCTGAAAATTTTCTAAATCCATATTTAAATACCTATTTTGGTGGTTTTTCTTTATAAGAAACTTTTTCTCTGGTTTTCATTAAGTTTTTTTTTTTTTTTTTTTGATTTACGGATTTTATAATTATCTCTTCTATTTATCAAATTTTTTCCTCTTTGTTCACCTTGGTTTAGTGGTTAAGGCTCTGAGCTGCCATTGAGAATGAGAGGGGTTCTATACCCAATTGCAATTTGAGGCTGAACCAGCTTCAGACTAGTTTGTACCAGCTTGCCTGGAAAGTAAAATATCGGGGGTCGATGTATAACATTAAAAACATTGTCAAAATTCGGAAGCCTAAACCTCCTTTATTTCCTTTGCCAACTAGCTGTTGTAGGATGGTTTAATTTATTTTTTCTTCTAAGAGATTTTTTGGTTGTCCCTACTTTATATATCTCCATCCTCTTGTTTGCTTTAATATTTGAAAATTTAGTTTCAGATCTTTTTTTTTTGAATAAGCAATTTCTTAAATTGCAAGTTTTCATATTAATTCTCAACATTTTCAATTTATAGTGTGACAACTATAGTGTGAAGTCTAAAACAATATTAATTTATTTGCAAATTGTTTTATGTTGTGCAATTTGTAAAAACCAATTTTATTTTAAAAAATTGTGTAAAGCTATTTTTATAAAGCATACATTAAAAGACCATGCATGCAGAGACAGTCACCTTAGAGTTTGTACTAAGTGATTTTATAATTTTAAATACCTTCTCTTTAGGTTATATTTGGAAAATCCAGCTGTCCAGAATTTCTAACTGAGGCTTATACAGCTATAACCTATCATAGCAGGTATTTTGTGAAAATGTGTTTTTGAAATTCATTGTTTTTTTAAAGGTAATGTTTCAAGGTTTATTGATTTATTGTGTCTGTTTCAGGTTTCCAGATTTTTATGATGAAATAAAAATTAAATTACCTGCAGTTTTTACTGAGCAACATCATCTTCTTTTTACATTTTATCATATTAGTTGTCAAAAAAAAGTGGAGCAAAATCCTACTGAAACTCTAGTTGGCTATACGGTAAATTTATATCAATATTTACTCATTTTTATTAAAATATTTTCTCAACCAATTGCTTCTTTATATTTATTGCAAACATCAGTTTAACAAGATCCCAGGTTTAATATGAATATAGTTTAATATTAAAAAGATTATATAAAACTAAAATGTAACAATAAATTTTTCATAAATTTGAAAAAATTTATTTTATTTAAGTTGTTAGAAAAAAAGTAAAATGAATGTGGAAATTCATATTGTTCAAAAACTGAATATAGATAAGTTGTGAGAAGTAACAATATAAGTTCTTATTCATTAGAGAAATTCTTATCCTTGTGCCCTTATAAAATCCGAGTTAAAAAGAAAAAACAATAAAGAAATTTTTGGTTTAAAATGTTTTTAAATTGATGTTTTTTATTGTTTTATTTAAAACTTCAGGTGAAAATATTTTAAACTGTAAAAAATATTTCATAGAAATTTTTTTTTAACTGTTATTAATTTTTTTAACTGTGATTTTTTTTTAACTGTGATTTTTTTTAACTGTAATTAATTTTTTCCATAAACAATTCGAAAATGTTCACTTTTTTATAACTATGCTAACATAATTAAAAATAATGATAACTAAAGATTTTAAATGTGTTTATAAATTACTGATAGATTAGATATGCTTACACCTCCACTTAACATGCTAATTAACTTTAATATCTAAATGTTAAGTCATAACATATAAAATAGTAAATTTATGTTACAGTGTTAGGGTTTAAAAAATAAAGTTAAAATGCAAGAAACATATAATGCTGATATTATCGTCATGGGAATAAATTTTTTTTGTCTTTTATTTTAATATAATTTAGTTTTAAATGTAACAATATTCTTATTGACATTATTGCATTATTCTTATTGTTATTGACAGCATTAAGCCATTATTCTTATTGACAGCAGCATTAAACAAGTAATATTAATAATGGTATAATTAATAAAAAAAAACAAGAAAATATTTTAAATGAATTTTGAATATTTTTTGCTGAAATTTTTTCTTTTTAAAATAAAACTTGTATTTTAAATATGAAGTTGATCTTTTGAAAATATTGCGGATACACAATTTTTTTACTCTAGTGGTTGGAAAAAAAGCCTGAAATTAAACTGAAAAATCAAATTTAAAAGAGCACCTCATTCCCATTTCATACTTTTCATTATGTTAATATATTAATATATTTTGATTATATTAATATATTTTTAACAAATATTATACAATTAAATATATTAATATATTTTTAACAAATGTTATATAATTAAATATATTAATATATTTTTAACAAATATCTAACAATAAATTTTGAGACATTTATGATATCAACTTTTTCAATAATTTCCTTATTTAACTAATTTTTAAAAATAACCAAAGATCAAATTGGTGATGGCCTATTTTATTTAAATATTTTTTTAAGATATCATGTATTAATTAATCTTAAATTGGCTCACATTAATTTATTTTACGTAGATATTTTAGCAGGAGTGCAATCAAATATAAATTAAAGTAAAATAGATTTCAATTAACAATTAAACTCTTAATGAAAAAAAAAAAAAATTGTAAGCAAACTTCATATTTTTCTCATTTGGTTACTTTAAACTAAAATTGCAAAAGCATGATTTAGTCTCATCTTCAGTTTGGCTCTATTAAAAAATGAACATAAACTTTTTTTGGAAAATTCTGTGACTATGCCTCATACGAATAAAGTGTAAAATACTTCAGTCTCTATGTTTTTGTTTTAAATGAGTTCAAATTTATATTATTGAAAATTTCAGTCTTTAATTATTTTAATTCTATATATTGGTCTGTTATTATATATTAGTCTGTTATTAAGTTATGTCAGTCTGTTATTTAAAAAACTAATCAGATCTAACCTGTTGACTTGAATAAAGTATTTATTGTATTGTAATAGTGATAAAATTTTTTAACCATTATAATATTGAAAATGTGACTGAAGTAAACAAGTAAAATAATATACCGAAAATTGACTTCACCTTTGAAGATTTCTTAATTCCATAAACAGAACTTACTATGTGCTTAGTAATTGTTGCCTGAATTAAAATTCAATCTATATTTCTTTGAATTTACTTTTAAAAAATAAACATTTAATAATTTCCTAAACTTTTTGTAGAAAAATTTGAAAAAATATGTAGTGAGAAAAAAATTCTCTTCTGTTCAAATTTAATCTAAGTTGACCATAAAATAATTTATCACCAACTGTTCAATAAATTGTTTGTACCATTTGCAATCTAAATTTCTGTCTCCAAAAACTGTTCTTTATTTTTTAAAATTAAGCATTGTTTTTTATTATTGCATATATACCAGGTAGGATACTATTGAACACACTATCATGCTAGAGAAATTTAGTTGTGTAAACCCTCTTTATAAATATTACCTGATTAAAAACTTCATTCTCTTCAAAAATATATAAATAGGAAATAACAGTTGACATGTTTCAAGCTCTCAAGAACAGTTGCTCATTTTCAAGATTTGCCTGACAGGAATTAGAAGAAACAAAATTGATTTGAAGTATAAAACAAAAAGTTGCCAATGAAAAAGGGAAAAATATTACAAAACAAAACTAGAAAAAAAAGATGAGAAACAGAATTAAGAAGAATCACAGTGGTTGAGAGGTTCAAATCAGGGTGAAAGGCATTTTCTTGCGTTAGAGGTGAAGAACTAATGTCGTTAACAAGGGAATCGGCATTCAATCAATAAAACAAGATTCCAGGGCATCAAGATAAGCTAATGTGACTGGGGAAAAATAATTGTGACTTTGTCAAAATTAAATTTATTAATTAAATTTGAAGTTTCCTCATTATGAATGTTTTAAATTTGAGGTACAGTCATAGAAGGTTCATAAAATTTTTTGAGTTTAAGCTGATGTTCGTTTAATTTTTATTTCTTTTAGAAATGAAAAACTAGATTGCTTACGTAACAATTTGCTTCAAAACTGTTAATTTTATTCAGTGTTCTTTTACAGTATCACAGGAAACTAACAATAATATATCTAGATCACGTTTTGAGATTATTTGATGTTTATGTTTTTAGATATGTGAAAAACGAAAATAATATGGCTATTTCAATATTTATTCTAGTGGCTTCCATTGTTTAGGGAAGGAAGATTGCAAACAGGTGATTTTAGCCTTCCCGTCATGATGGAAAATCCACCTCCAAGCTATTCGTTCCTAACTCCATTTGTAAGTATTATAGTATTACTATTATTATAAGTTTATCTATTTATAATTTATTTTAAAAAGTTATGCTTATAAATGACATTGAATTTTTTATAAATAAAATTAATAATGTCATATAATTTTTTTGTGCAACATGCTATAATATTGATAAAAATGTTTTATTATTTAGTTATGAAAAATTAAAATATTTATACAACTGGATACAAATGTTAAGCAATTCTCAATTGCTCACACTTCAGCTATTGAAAATCTCATTTTTAAAGAGAAATTTTTTCCTCTAAAAATCTATTAGAAATTTTTAAATAAAAATCATAATTTATTGACTAATTGGACCCATTTTAATTGGTGGTGAAAAATAATTCGGAATTTTCTTAGCTTTCAATAGTTATTTAAACTTGTATATGTTCAATTATATAAGTATTTGGGAACTCTATCATTAATCTTTCTTTTAATCATATTTATAATCAATTAATATTTATTTTATATTAATCTTTATTTTAAATAATCTTTTTTTGAATTTTTGCTATTCATATTATGTATTAATATGGAGAGTTTTAGTTATTTGTTCATATTAAACCGCAATATTTCTCTTGAAAGAAATTCTCTACCTGCATTCTTGAAAGCCTTATATTCTTCATTTTTTTTTAAATAAACACATCATTTATATATTTATTGCTAATTTTCAGTTAAAATTACAATAAATTTATTTTTTCATTAAAAAAATTATTTTGGTGTATAGTCAAAGTATTAAAATATGCTTTTAAAGCTATAAAATTTTAGATCTTAGCCATTGTGTACAGTTTTAGTTCATATTTTCTTTTCTTTCTTTCATAGTAATTAAATAGCACATTATGCAAATAGCATTTATTTGTGTATTTTTGAGATAAAAGTTTTAAACTTAAAACAATTTTTGTTTTTAGATTCAAATTCCCAACACTAAATGGGTTGATAATCACAAAGGAATATTCAACATCACACTTCATGCTGTGTCTTCAGTTTTTCCAAAGGTAAATATTTGTGTGCATTTCAAAACTGGTATTGTTGTATTATTTGTACTAATTTTGTTATAAGTTAATGGGAATCAATGTTAAGTGCTTTAAATAATGCCATACATTAATTCATTAATTTCTGAATATTTTGATCAAATAATGTACTAAGATTATTGTAATAGAACTATTTATCTTTTTAATATTTTCTCTTTTTTTTAAAGCCATATAATTTTTAACCACTGTTAAGTCATTTGGAAGTGTAAAAGATTATAAGTTTAAATTTCCTTTACATGTTCTTATAATTTTTATTATGCTTTTTTTTTTTAAAAATTGAATTATTTTTTGTATTGTGAAATTCTATTTCTAGGATCCGTGCGTTGATCGATTTCTCAGTTTGTGCCGAATGGTTGGAGAAGGTTCTCTACCTCCAAGAATTACTGAAAATAATATTGAACATGAATTAAAAACCAGTATGCTTGAAATCACTAACAATAAAGATAATTCCCTGGAAACATTAGTTAATTTCTTGCCTTTAGTGCTCAACAAACTGGTTTATTTGTTGGTTCGCCCACCTGTTGTTAATGGACAAGTGATAAATGTTAGTCAAGCTGCTTTTGAAGCTATTGCAATGATTGTGAATACAATTACAGTAAGTTAATTTTATGATTAAAAAAAGAAATTAGAAATTAGTGTCTTATAATAGACACTAATTTCTAACCCTCTACATGTTTCTTGTAGAGGGTTTTGTTTTTTTAATTTATGATAGGTTGAGTTGACTTAGATTCTTGTTGTTGTTGCTAATCTCAAAATCGTCTGGCGCGCTAGACGACTCCCATGAATCCGAACACCTCCAAAAAGTCCATAAAAAGACTGGAGTCTCGCAGGACCTCATCTTTACCGAACCCCAAACAAGTCAGAATATGCGCAGGGGAGGCCATGTCTGTCGAGCACCAATGACATTCAGGATAAGTTTTTTGGCCTCGGTTGAAAGTGAGAGATCTAGTGTGATCTAGATCAGATCAAGAAGCGTGAAAAGGCAGTTTGATGGGCTCTCGGTCTAAGATTGAAAGATTTTCTTGTTTTTTTTTGCAAAATACCAAGAGTGGTTGGGAGGGGTTCTTATGGTCTTGTTTAATTTCATTTTTGCCAGGGAAGAAAATTCACTAAAGGTAAGCTTCCCACAATGATCACCGTCTTCTTCGGCAGCGGATTTGGCCAGGAAGTCAGCCCTCTCATTCCCATCAACCCCAACGTGTGAGGGAATCCACTGAAAGTGTATAGAATGGTTGGATGAAAGCCTGTCAATTAGATCGAAAATATCAAGGCTGGTCTGATCTCCGATAATATCCCAATTAGAGATATGTTGGATTGAGGCACGACTATCAGTCAATATCCAAATATCTTGAGAATAATCTGCCCGAGCAGCAAATTGCAAGCCCTTTCTGATAGCAATAAGCTCAGACCTAAAAACTAAACGGTTGTTGGGATTTTTGATCTTGTATTCAATAGCACCCGCAGGAGCTGAAATATACACTCCACTACCGGAAATTCCTCCCTCACCTCTGCTACCATCAGTGTATATTTTTAGGGAAGCACGGGGAATATTCTGGATTCTTAAGTGTAACATAAATATGTATTTTTCACTATTTTGGAAAAAATTAATTTAAAACACTTTTGTTATTTTTTATAATCTTGTTAATAATTTCAGTCAATATCCAAATATCTTGAGAATAATCTGCCCGAGCAGCAAATTGCAAGCCCTTTCTGATAGCAATAAGCTCAGGCCTAAAAACTAAACTGTTGTTGGGATTTTTGATCTTGTATTCAATAGCACCTGCAGGAGCTGAAATATACACTCCACTACCGGAAATTCCTCCCTCACCTCTGCTACCATCAGTGTATATTTTTAGGGAAGCACGGGGAATATTCTGGATTCTTAAGTGTAACATAAATATGTATTTTTCACTATTTTGGAAAAAATTAATTTAAAACACTTTTGTTATTTTTTATAATCTTGTTAATAATTTATGTGAAATATCTTGTTTCATTTTAACTTAATGACCTTATCTTTTTTGTATATTCATTGAGTAAATGTCAATTTTTAAAAATTATTTTCTAAAGTTTTTTTAAAAATATGTACTATTTGGATTATTTATAACTCATTATAATTTTATAAGTGTGAAAATTCTTTTTGCATTCTTTCTGGATTTAAAATTTTAATTACACTACAAAACAGCACATGCATCCAATATATTGCTTAAATTAAATTTTTATTGAATATTGTAGAAAGTCAGATTATTTATACTACACTTAATTGACATATATGTGACATTTATTAGATGTACTGAATATATCAAGATTCTTCTATCAATCCTGATATATTTTATGAAAATATTAAAGGTACAAGTTACTTGCAAAGCAAAAATAGTTTTGAATAAAATTAAAATACCAGAAAGATAAAAATTTAATTTCAAGTACTTTTTCTTGTACCATTTACATAATGGTGACTAACATTTTTTTAAAAATAAATACATTTTATTTATTTTAGTTAGGTTTAGAAAACCAGAATGACCGTCATAATAGGCCAGCACTATTAGTTACCTACCTTTCCTATCAAGTCAGTGTTCCTCATCTTGCATCACCCTTTTTTGCTTCGACTGTGAGTGAATCAAATTCCATGGGTATGGGGTATGGAACGATTGGAAGACACATGCCTGCTCCTTTACATGTGAATATCTAAGTTATTTATTTAAATTTATCTTTGTTTTACTATATTTGTGTAATTCATTATCATTATTTACAACTCCCTTAATTATGCATAAAAAATAATAAATAAAAAAGTAAATAAATAAATAAAAACTTTTCTTTTTAATAAAATGAATTATCATATTTATCTTGCCCCTTTTTAAACAAATTGTGGCTTTTNAAAAAAAAAAAAAAAAAAAAAAAAAAAAAAATACAAATATTGTTATTATTTTTTGTCTTATTTAATAATTCTTAAAGAAATATAGAAATTACTTACTAGGAAACAATGACAGGTTACTAATTTCCATAAACTGTTTGAAATTTTTTTTGGGCAGTAATAATGTTTATGAAGTGCAAGCCACAATTTTTTAGGTTTACTTTTGTTTTTATATTTATTTCTATTGAGTAGAATCCCTGACCCTAAATCAACAGCAAAAATAGTAATTATAATTGGAAAATATGAAACAGAAAAGTTGGTTTTCGTAGCTTAGTCCAGCTTGTCCCAAAAAGTACCAATTCTCATTTACTGTTTTATTATTGGAGGGAGACAGATAGAAAAGAACATGTATAGGTTTACAAGAAAAACATATATATATATATATATATATATGTATGCATACAGGGTGTATATATATAACATAATATAAACATTCATAACATATATATAACATAAACATTTAGGGGAGGTAGAATACATCATAAAGATTGAGAATTGCATAGGAACCCATGACCGGAAATATCATACACTGCTAGGGATACTTCTCTATTATGAAATTTTTCTATGTGTGCCTTTGAACTGTTTTTTTTAAAAAATCTAAATTATGTTAATTTCTTGTCAATTTTATGTTTCCAAGTAATTAATGTCGAAAATTGCAGTCAAGTAGATGCAAAAGTTGTTTTGTGCTAATTTAAGGAATCCATGAGCTTGTCAAATGAGTGGCCAATTCATTTAATTACGATTAAAAATTTAATACTCAACCAATTTCAATGCAATTTTCAAGAATTATTATTAGAAAGTATAAAATTAACATTAAATTAGGTTAATTTAGATAAATAAAAGTATCTGTTCAAAGTCTTTCCTTGAAGCATTTCATAATAGGGAAGCACTGCTAGCGGCGTACAATGACATATCCGATCACGTACTGCTACCTACCCTTAAAAGTTGCAACATCTATGAGACAATATATATAGTAATTTCCGATTCTCCCCGCGCAATGAAAATTCTCTCATTATTTTTCTTTTCTTGCTCTCTTTTGCTAGGGTTCTTGCATTCATGTTTATTTTTATTTATGTTAATTAAGGAATGAAATCATTTAAAGAAATTTGTGTATCTATGTAATGAAATAAAAAACTTAAAACTAAAAATAATTAATGCTAAAAAAATATTTAAAATGTTTTTTTTTTTGCAGTTTAACATAAATTAAAGTTTATATATGAGATTTTTTTTTAATTATTAAAGCTTTCATACTGAAATGTAAATCTCATGCTTGATATTTTTTAATAGCGTTCTTGCTATGGGCGTAGCAACAGCAATCCTGACCTTGTATCTTATGCTGATGCAGATGGTGAAGTGAACTCTATTTTATCCCGTGGACTTGATAGAACAGCAAGTATGAGAGCTGGTGCGGCAATACAGGAAAATGTCTTGTGTGCTATATCCATGTCGCAATCTCGTAAAGTTCTCCATGAGGAAATAGCTTTGCAATGTGTTGTATCTAGTGGTTCAGCACGAGAACTAATGCTTTCTAATTCATGGTTTTTCTTTGATTTAATCATTAGAAGCATGATAGAACATTTAGCTGCCTCTAATCGCTTAGATATGCCAAGAAAAATGAGATTTTGTGCTCAGTTTTTTGATGATCTCACTACATTGGTAAGGAAATATTTACAACATTTCAGCTAGCATATTGTCCTTATTTCACATTAAATCTATTCCACATTAAATCTATGCCACGTTAAATCTGTTTCTCATTAAATCTATTTGCATTTAATCATTTCACATTAAATTTATTTCACACTTAAGCATTAAATATGAGTTTTTACAATTTGTATGTTAGCTAGTTTTCTACCTCTTACAGACAATAATAGTAAAATTTTGATATTTTTTTGCTCTAATTTTTCTTAATAAATTACATATTTCTTTTTGTTTAAAATAAAGCATTAATAAAATCTATTGCCGGTATTAAATCAAAACTTCTTTTTTAATATTTTTTCACCAATTTTAACAGACATTTTTTTATCTAACTTCCTTAATAATAATAAAATACAATTGCCTTATATTTTATCGAAATTTATTTAGATGTTAAATTAATTTATAGATAAAAAATTATAATTACCTATTTTTATATAATTTATTTATTTATAAAAAATCAAATTTATTATTTAAAAAAAAAAAATAGAAATGGAATAGTTTTTGTGGCTTAATAATTATTGTAATAAATAAACATTTTTCCAATTTGACTACCACATTTTTGTTTTGTTTGATTGGTTTTAATTTAAAAGCTCAGATTAATTTACAATAAATACTTTTATGCTTGAATTTTCTGATGTGAATAATTATTGATAAATATATAAAAATTGTTAAACGTTTTATTATTCATATCGTTAGAAATTCACATGGTTGTAATTTTTTTCTCGATCTTTCATTTATTTTGTACTAACTTGTGCTTACATGTATTTAAATTTATATTTCATTTAAAGGTGACAACTTTGACATCTGATATTATTAGTCGCTGCAATAAGGAAAATGATGAAAAATTCACAAGAAATCTTAATTCTAGTTTGGCCTTTTTTCTGTGTGACCTCTTTTCAGTTGTGGACCGAGGATATGTTTTCTGCTTGATTAAGGTAAGAAAGAATTTTTTCAATTCACTGTAAAGCTTTAAAATGTTCTTTCTTTTACTGAAGCATATTTTTGGCACTTTCAGTTTTTTAATAAAGTTGAGTGTATTTTGTGCAGGTTTATTGCAAACAAATGTCAGCAAAGATTACGAGCTTGCCAGATGGTGTATTTTTAATGTCATTAAAGTTAGATTTCTTAAGAATTATCTCTAGTCATGAACATTTCATCACCTTGAATCTGCCTTTTGGGACACCCTTGACCCCATCTCCAGCTACTTCACCTTGCCCTAGTGTAGCTTCATCATCATCCCATAGTTCTTTATTATCAACTGGCACCCTGGTAGAAAAAGGAAATTACACAGAACTTTCCACTGAATTCAGACAGCAGCATTTTCTTGTTGGATTGGTGTTATCTGACTTATGGACTGTTTTGTCAATGAAGTAAGTGTTTTTGTTTTTCAGAATCATTAAAAATTAAGATTTAAGATCATTAAAAGACTAAAAGTGAACTTAAAAGTAATATAATTATTCTGAGATTATTATTTTATTTCATTACTGGCATCAAATAGCTGATTCATTTAAGATTTGTTGCTTTATGACTATTTACCTCTGTAACCCTCAAATTTTGAACCCTACCCAGAAGGCAAAGAAGCTCCTGCATCAAGCCTCATCTTCATGAAGGAATTTTTTAGTGAATCAAATTTTGTTTTTTGGATTAGAATGCACGGAAATGCCCTTCCATAACTATTCTAACTGATGTAAAGGTAATTCAATGAGGTAATTTCATGAAGTAGCAAGAAAAAAAGATCCCTAAATTCAGGCAAAGTTTTTCTTGTGTCTATTTTATGAGCTCAGTTCTGGAAGTCTCAATCTTTAATTCATCACATTCATTATTGTATTTGTTATTTTTTTAATAAAATGCATAAAAGAATTCTCTCTATGAAATATAATAAGATAATAAGTATTATAATAAGTTAATATTGACAATAAGATTAATAATAAGATAAGAACAATAATAAAATAAAATTAATAATAAGAGAAGATTAACAATAATAGAAGATTAAAAATAAGACATGAATAAGAATAGGGTTAAAAAATTTTTAAATTGTTTCAAATTTGTTGAATTCGAAATTTTTGTTTAAATTATATTGTATATATTTCTTTTGTATTCTATTTCAAAATAATAATTCTAAAAAAGTTTTTTTCTAATTATTTTATGTCTTGCAAAAATTTATTTATATAAGCTACTAAATACCAGAAAGTTAGAGCGTTAATATATAAGAAATTCCGGACAGTCATTGTAATTTATTAACAGATGTTGCATCTATTAATCAAAATTTCATGAATAACATGTTTGATATCCTCTTCAAGAGATATTACTGATAATATATTTAATGCCATTTATGTTTCATGCCAAACAATTGCTAAAAGAACACTATGTTTAATTATAAATAAATTTCCAACATTTTTTTTTTAACTTTCAGGGTAAATTAAAACAGTAAAAGGAACCTATTTGTAAGCATTTTTATAGTTAATTTTTGTGCCTTATAATTTTTTTATCCAACAATTTAAATTGAGGAGCATTTAACAAGTGCCCTTATTTAATGAGCAAGTTGCCTTCGTCTTTGATCACATTTGCATCATTATTAAACTAGCTTCACTTATTAACTTTATCACTTATTAACTTTAACTTATTAAAGTTTTGTTTTAAATTCTGTTCACAATATGTCATTTTATCATTGATTTTCAAAATTTTAAAATTTTACTGCCTTTGAATATCTTTTGATTTACTGTTTATTATATATTAATTTATTAGTATCTATCTATTCATGTATATGTATAACCATTTTTAATATAATATGTGTGCCAGTTTGTCAAAAAAAGTTTTATCATAACAAATAAAAAACTAAGAAATATATGCAAAACTATTTTCTCAACTGTTCAATTTATGTAGTTTTGAATATATGTTTTACATTTATTTAGTATTACATGCCATTCTTTTTCTTTTTTAGTAATACACATTTGCATACAAAGGCTGTCAATCTTGTTCGAAATATTTTAACTTTTCATGAGTGGGATCCTCGTCTTTTGAATTCTGATCAAAAAGCTCGAGTTGCTGTCTTATACTTGCCCCTAATTGGAATAACATTAGATGCTCTTCCTTTACTCTATGATTGGCAGAGCAATAATAGAAGTAAGAATTTAAAATTTGTATGCAAAATTAAATGCTTTTCGATGTTTTATCATTTCTATATTCATCCTCAGCATATTTCGCTAGACAGCCTAGAGTGAGCCAGTGCCTTAAATAAAATTTTTATCGATTAAAAAAAAATTGCAATAAAACTATAACTGTACAAAGGCTCACTCTGAGTTCTTTCCCCTTATTGAGCTAATTTATTTTGTTTTATTCTGACTGACTAAAGTAAGAATATGTTAATGACATTTTATGTGCTGTAAATATATAAACTTCATAAATGTTTGCAAATACATGTGTTTGCTGACAACTTCAAGCAATTTCCTTTTTAAAATTTTTTATTTTTTTTATTTTAATTTTTAAATTTTTTTTTTATTTATTTAATTTTATTATTTAAATTTTTTATTTTTTTTTAATTAATAAAAATCCTCAAATACTAAAAAAAAGAAGCAAACCAGTCTTTTATTTTGTAAATATGTTATAACAAATTACATAAAATCGTTCTGCATGGATAATCATAAAAGCTTAAATTGCAAGTATTTATTACTGTTCATTTGTCTATAATCTATGAGTATTAAGTGATTAGAAATAAATATATTTTAAAGAAGAGCGTTTATGCTCCATTGTTTTTAAAAGTTATGGTAATTAAGTTAATTTTTTATCAAATAATAAGAGATCGTCATTATTTTTATTGTCCTTTTTTTAATAAAAAATAAGATTTATTAAAATTTATGTAGATTTTTTTTATATTACGAAACTTTAATTTAGATATTTCAAAATTTCAGCTATGTATTATTCTTTTATTTTTGAGGACTTTTTCTTTACCTAGAGTTTTAGCTTTAAGTATACTAAAGAATAATTTTCTATTCCGTATCACACATGTATCTGTTCATTTTATATCATGTCTTTTATCACACATATAATAAACAGTAATAGAGCATAGATTAAACAGTGTTAATCTGGGATATATTATGTATTTCTAGACCAGGACACTGATAATGATGGAGAATATATATCTCAAGAATTGGCTACTGCAATTTCTACTTCTAGTGTGCCTAATAGAAGCTCATTGTCAAAACCATATGAATTGTTTCAGGTTGGAATTTTTGAATTTATGTGTATTACTTGTTCACTGTGCTTTAAATTTAATACTTGAAAAATATATTCGTATTTAATATTTTGAGAAATTGTGGCAGTGTCATGACAATCAATTTTTCAATAGACAATCAATTGTCATGACAATCAATTTTTCAATTGACAATCAATTGTCATGACAATCAATTTTCAACAGTATCACCAATGTTCAAGCAGAAGTCATCAGTCCAAGACTTAGGAGTTGCCATTAAAAAATAATAATAAATTATTCTTGCACAGTGTCAAGTATGAATATGACATACTTATGACATCGTTGTGCATGTCATCGTTTTTAAAACTAGAATAAGCGAATTTTGCAATTCTGTAAAATCTTAGTATCTGATATACTAATAAGCAGAGTAGATACTATGTATTTGTATTTTGTGATTAAAGACTAAGGATATGTCTTTTAAGAAACTCTATTTTTTGCTACCTTTGTTTATTATAATTTGTTTAAAATGTTCATTTTTAGCTTTATTCTTTATATTGATTGCTATCAGGTTGTTACATGTGAAACATTTGTTTTTTTTAGAGCAACTTTAACCTTTTTTTAAAAATGTTTATGAATTGTAATGGAATTATATATCATTCTAAAGCTTAATATATAAAGATTATTATATACTAAGACATTAATTTTTTTAGCATCTTTTCAGGCTCTGATTTCTAAACATGAATTCTCTCGATTTGCTTGTTATTTTTCTTTACGAACTTAAAAGTGATCAGAGCAATTCAGTAGCTGCTCAAAATATTAATGTTGCAATTGGTAAAGCCATTCTTATTGAACGGACAACTGAAGAATGGATAAAATTCTTGAAAATGAACCACCTGAAAGACCAGAGTCAAAGCTTAATGATTCTCCATTAAGAACACTTATGGAATTGAAACCTCACATTGCTGTTGAAAAAATTTTGCAAGAATTAAGAGTTAGTTCAGCAATAGTATCACACAACTTCTCAGCCATTGGCAAAGTTAAAAAGTTGATGAATATGCGTCGCACAAACTGAATGAAAAGCAGAAAAAGAAAAAAAAAATCATTTTGAAATCTTCAGTTTTTCACTTTTAAGAAATAAAAGAGGACCATTTTTGAACAGAATTATCACCTGTGATAAAAAATGGATACTTGATTACAATAGGCGTAATTCTACACAATTGTTAGATGCAGGTGAAAGTTCAGAAAGTTACTTTTAGCTACAACCTAAAAAGGTAATTATTACTGTTTGGTGATCAGAATAATCCGTTATAAATTTAACCTTATGCATCAAAAATTAAATGCAGCCGGCAATGGTCAAACAAAAAGGACCCATTTGCTTCATAATAATGGATGATCATATGTTTCATTGATCAATGCGAATAAGTTGGCTGAATTAACATATGAGGTTCTTCACATCCACCGGAAATATCATCAACTGATAATCACTTTATTAAGCATTTGAGCAATTTTCTCCATGATAAAACGTTCAGTAATCTAGAGCAGATAAAAAATGATCCCAATCTTTTATTGACATCAGAGAGCTAAATTTTTATGAAAGTGGTATACAAAAGCTAGTAACACATTGGCGAAAATGTGTTGATTGTGGTTGTTTTTACTTTGATTAATTAAACAGTTTATAAAAAAAGTTATTTAAATTTACAATAAAAAATCCGACATTTCATATGTAACAACTTAATACTTATGTTTTATTCTCTCTGATTTTCTTCTATGCATGCTATCAGCTATACTTCATTCAATAATTTTACCAGATTCTCTAAAACATTCTATTAGTTAGAAAACATTGACTTAGTTCTGACATACTTAATGAATTTTTTTTTAAATCTTTATAAATTCTGAGTATAAATTTGTTGTTTGTCTAAAATGAATCAATAATAATAATATGATTCGATATTGTTACAAGGATTTATATAATGAAATAAACTTTTTTTACTTGGTTTTGATGAAAAAAAAGTAGTTTAAGTTGAAATTTCTGTGAAATAAAATTCTAAGTTACTAATGGAATGTTTTGGAGAAGAAGATGAGGATCTGTGTTTTTGTCATTTATTTGAACATAGATTTTTAAGACATTATTGTATAACTGTTTACTTCCATTATCAACTTATTTCTGATTCTTTTAACAAAATGATGTATCAGAAATTTGTGATTTGCCTGGCATTAATGATATATTGGAGAATCTGTGACACATTTACTTGACATCATGAATTAAAACATTTTTTATACAACATGCTTTTTATATAAATACATTTTATCCTGTTCTTGAAGTTATTCCTTCAGTTTTGTATATCATCATTGTAGCAATTTGTAAAATATGTTGATACTTTTGATAAATGTTTATTTTAACAATTCTTATTTTGTAAACAATAAATGCTTACATATTATTTTCCAGGTTCGTAAGCAGTTACTTAAAGAAGATGCTACTCGCCACTTATTGATGTGTTTTCTTTGGGTTTTAAAGAATGTGGATAAAAAGCTTTTAAGGGCTTGGTGGGCTGAATGGAAACCTCGACGGTTGCATCAGCTTTTAGAAATTATGTATATCTGTATTTCATGCTTTGATTATAAAGTGAGTATTTCTTATACATTTTGTTTTATTCTGATTTAATACATAATAATATTGGACTGAAATAACTGTTGTGGAACAGGGTAAAAAAAGTCTTGTGAGAGGTAGTCAGCAGCAAATACAGCAGAAGACCTCAGATTTGAAATCCAGGTTGGAAGATGCTATATTAGGGCATACAAGTGCTAGAAGTGAAATGATGAAACGTAAAGGTAATAATGATAATTATGAATTAGTTCTATTGTCTACAACTTGTAAAACATTAGAATGAAGTTGTTTCTAAATTTGTTAGCTGATGTCTTTGTGTATTCATTTGATAATTCACTTTTACTGTTAGAATTTTACTATCTTGTATTAAATAGGAATTAATTTCTGATAACTTTATTTGAAATTTAAATAAAAACATACTGTTTAATGTTGCATTTATTAAGAATTTTCGTTCATATAAGTAATTGCTGCAATTTTTACTTTTACATTAGAATTTCAGAAATTGCAAGCTTTGTTTTTTTACATATGACTTCATCTATATTAACATGTAATTTTATAATTATTATTATTCAAACAGCATTGTTTAGTTAAAAATATTTCTGCAAAAGAATAAGTTCTTTTTTTATCCACTTGAATTCACTTCACTTCCACTTGAATTCACTAGTGTATGAAATTACATATTTAAATAGGAATTCAGGTAGGATCACTAAAACAGTTCACTATAAGTGAGTGTTTTCTGTAGCCCAGATTTATTATTACAGGGTACAACTAGAGCTGTATAAAAAAAAGATGAAAAGAAAAGATTTAAAGTGACCTCTTTATACTTCAAAGCTATGCCAATACCGATAAAATAGAACCAACTATATTGTAGTATTACAAATGACACTATCTTATAACCAATCAGCAAGAACAAAATAAAATTTGTGGAAAATCCCTGGGGATTTTGAGCTTTATTTGGAATGCACAAAAACTGCATATAAAATTGCCCAAAACTTTTCACATTTTTAAGATATTCAATTAAGACCTTTTTATTAGTTGCCAAATACCAAATTATAAGAAAAAAAATTAAATTTTTTTAGCTCATGTGCTATACAAACAAGCCATTTTAAATACTCATATCTTGCATAGTTTTAAGTGAACTTTTTTCAACTTTTAAAACAAAATTTTTGTATTTAATTTTAAATTGCTCCAAAATTTTTGTTCAATTTCACTGAATGTTTTTAAAGTTATAGCAAAAAAGGTGAGAATTAATTTTATTTTTTTCATTTTTATTTATTATTATTTTTTTTTTAGTAAAAATGCCTATATTTATATAACTTCTCAAGCTAGAATTGCGAAATTTTATGCAGTTGTTGCAAATAACAATTAAAGTAATCGATACAAGTTACAAGCTTATTGCTTGATTTTCTGGCACAAGGTGCTTAAACATACTAGTTTTCTGTTGTAACTTATTGTCGACCCCTCAAACATCTGAAAGCTTTAAATCTTGCTGCTAAGTTTGCAAAATTACATGAACTAAACAATTTTCAGGTTACAAATAATCCTCTGAGTATTTCTTGAGAAATTTAATAAAATGTCAAAAAGTGAAAGTGTCTCCTTCATTATTGTAGTGTAGTGTAAAATTTGCTTTTTATAAAAATAAATAAATTATTAATCTTTTTTGATATTTTACTTTAATGAGTTCTACAACATATATGATTTTTTTCTAATATGTGGAATTTTTTTAAATCAGAATTATGAGTCTGAACTAAAATTCTATTGATACGAAGTTCACTGTACATTGCATTGTTATTTAGTAAGATCTAATAGTTATGTCATTACCTGTATATTCACACGTGGATCCCTAAATCTTAATTAGTTAATCTAAATTAATTTAAATAATATGAAAACCACAAATCTACAAATTATAATTAATTTTAATCCTGATTATCTGATTACACATCTTGATTATTACAAAAAACTTAATTAAACCCTAACACTCACAATGCTACAAAATTAAAGTATAAATAAAGCCAACATACCCTTGCACCTTTCTCCCTCACATCAGCGTCCTTCCTTCAGACTGCTCAGCTTCCAACTACCGAACGGCTCTTCAAGATTCTTCACCCTTTCAGGGCAACATCTCAAAGTCTTTCTGATTGGTTGATGAAGAAGGGGCTGCCCTATTGGCACCTAATCGCTCAGTTGGTGAAGTCGCCGTAACACTATCAAATAAGAACAACTGGTGCAAATCTTAGCTAGAACAGAATTGGGGCTTTGAGTGATAGTTCTAAAATTACATTAGTATATTTAAAAAAAAAAATCTGACTGGCTTCAGATTAGGCAAAAATCGGATTTTAAAACTCTTCTTTATCAAAAATAAAAAATAGTAGTTTTCAGTAAATACAATGTTATGAAATGCAATGTAATGATAGCAAAATGTTGAAAACAGAATCATTATTAATAAAAGGAAATCTATTTCCAATGTTGCAATTTTTAATTGTGTATTTTTATTTATTTTATTTTTTCAAGTCATTTTAAATATAAATAAAGAATATTTTTTATTTTAAGTTCTTAATTTTTAAATCTAATTTTTATATCGGTTGATACTTTATGTAATATAAAAATGATATAAATCTTAACTATAGTTTAATATTTGGTGATCTAGCAAATGTTTGTATCTGTATTAAATTGTCATTGTAACTGTGAAAGTTGAGTGCTTGTAAGTTCCAAGGAAAATTAAAAATGTTTAAATATTTTTTTTTGAAATCAGCTAAGCAATAAATAAAAGCTACACAGTTTCGTCGAAAATATAGATTTCTATGCAATTTTTATTGACTTTGAATGCACTGTGGTTATATTTCATTGTGTTTTGCCTTTTATATGAATAAGGAGAATTTTTCCTTTTTTAGATCGAAATCCTCCTTCTCCATCACCTACTGTTGGAGATAAATTGAGATGGAGGAAAGATCAGATGATCTGGAAATCTACTGATAGTGCAGAAAGGTAAATGTTTAAATTCTATACATTTTTATACAATGAACATGCAATACATCTAAATAATACAATTCTATACAATATATTGTATACATTAATATTCAGAATTATGCAATGGTAAACATTTATTTTATCTTGATTCAATTAATTTTTTAATTCATCTAATGGGAACAGAAAAATAATATTTTCAAATCTGTCACAATTGTACAAATTAATCCTTCATTAAAAAAGTTAAATGTTAAAAAATGTCTCCTTTTAAAAACTATAAAGCTTTATGGCTAAATTTAATAAAAATTTTAATATTACTTAAAATTTTAATTCCTATGTATGCACATGAAAATTTAAAATATTTATCATACTTAGATGCCCTCTCATAACTTTATCTTCCGTTGGGCAATGTGTTGATGCATGACTTATAGCTTACAATGTTTTTATTTTGCACACATTTTAATACACATATTCTTTAATTAGTATAGAACAAAGTAGTTGAATTTTATATGAAATTCTGTTGTAAAGAAAAAAAAGCAGAGAACCATATGAATGTTACAGCTAATGAGAACTGGAGCAATAAAAATGCTTGCAAATAAAGTAATGCATGGGAAAAAGATGCCCTTTACCTACTCAAATCAACTGCTTAATTTTTAAATTTGTTTTGTATTTTGATGAAAAGGAGTCTGATATATATTTTGGAAAATTTTATTTTTAAATGCAACCAAAATGTTAAAATAAAATAAATATTTAAAGAAATAATGTTATTGATTAGACTTTAACTGACTGAACATTTGGAATACTTAAAGACAGCTTTTCACTTGTTATTTTTCCTTCCAAAGAGAAAGCTTTGTATCAAGGAGGAAACTTTCACACATGGAAAAAGATCAGTAGAGCAATATACTTTTATGGTGTATATTTTCTATTCCTTCTTGTATTTTCTATATACTATACGTATCTCAGTTTAATAGGACAAATAATTAATAAAGTAACAAGTTTAGAGGATTTAAATTTTAAGGGAATACTCTTGGTTTCAGCCAACTGTATTTGAATATGTAAATTATTCGATTATAGGAGGAATGCATTAGTCACTCTAGAATGCTATGTTTTTATGAAATTTTATTTTTAAATGGCATGTAATGCATAGTATAATGCTTTAAGTGAGGAAATAAAGTAATTTGAATGATCAATAAACAGCTACAAATAAAATTGTTAGTATTATATAAAAAGAAGCATTTGAATTTATATAAAAATAAATTAATGTTAATGAAAAGTATACATAGTATAAGTAAGGTACTATAATAATATTAATTTACTTCTGGAGAAATCTATGATTGGTGACTGTTTTGATACACATTTAATTGACATAGCTGTCAACTCTACTGGATTTTCCAGTAGACTACTAGATTTTGTCAGTTTCTCCTGGTCTACTGCTTTAGTTAAAATTCTCCTGGTTTTTATATATTTTAGAAAATTCCCTAAAATTGAGTGTGTTTCCTAAGAAAATCCCTATTGAAATAGTATTTTTGTATCAATTATTGCTTGCTGGTTTGAATATCTAAATAAGTATTACTAATACACAATGAAGCAAACCTCATTCATAGAAATCAGTTCAAAACTGTTTTTGTTCTAAAATGTTCAGTTTATTTTAATTCAGAACTTTTTTTTAAAATTAATTAAAAAATCTTTTAACTATGTTTGATGAATTAAATGCCTATTAATATTCAAAATTATGATAATACATAACATTTCAAGTATGTTTAATGTTAATNGTTCAGTTTATTTTAATTCAGAACTTTTTTTTAAAATTAATTAAAAAATCTTTTAACTATGTTTGATGAATTAAATGCCTATTAATATTCAAAATTATAATACATAAAATTTCAAGTATGTTTAATGTTAATGATAGCTAGAAAATATTGCAGTTTTTCTATTTTGATGACTATAAAAATCTGAAGTTCACTATGTGCAAAATATTTAGTACATTATGCAACAATTATCATAAAATTTATATTTCGTAAAATCTACTGGATTTCTTCTATCCATGTTGGCAGCTTTTAATTGAACATTCTCTACTTCTTACTTTCCCTCAATCAATCAAACAATATTTTCCCCTCAATGTAACATTTTCATATAAAATATTTTAGTTCTACAAAATTTTGTATGGATTAGTGGGAAATTTGATTATTTGATATGCAATTAAGTGTGGTTCACTATATTATATATTTTTATTACAGACCTAAAGTGGAAATTGAAACTGCTGCTCTAGTGCAAGGTAGTCTAGCAGCTGAAGTGAACATGATAGTTCTGGATACTCTTGAACTTATTGTGCAGGTAATTTGGACTAGAATTTAAATTATTATTATTTTCCTTCAATTTCTTATATTTTCTGTTGTGAGAGAATTTTTTTCAATGTTATTGTATTAGTTTTCACTTTAATTGTAATTTTTTTTGTAGGTTGCTTGCCATACAGACTCATTGCAGGTAGTCCTTAGCACAGTTTTAAAGGTTCTACTCCATGCTTTGGGATGCAATCAGAGTACAGCAGTATTACAAAATATGTTTGCAACTCAAAGATCTTTAGTCTATAAAGTAAGTTTCTTCTTAATAAAATAGGTTTTTAACTTTTTCGTAATTAACGGTTATATTTGTGTTTTTTATAAGCATGAGTTTGGTTTTTAACTTTTATACTTTTTTAAAAGATACTTATCAAATAAGAAACTTATATTTTGTTCAAAGAAACTTATTCAATTTTTTGTTATTGAGTACAGATAGGGATACTGATTTCTATTGTATTTATGATTTAATATAATTATACTCGGTGTTCAACCACTACTTATTGCCATTTTAATAACCTTTGATAATTTGCATTTTATTAAATCCTTTACTGAAAATTGCAGGTTTTTCAAAACATTTTAATATTTTTATTAGACTATTAATATTTCTTACAACAATTACATTTTAATAAAAAAATTTTTTTTCCTTTTTTTTAAAATTTTATGTGTGATATAGTTGATCTAATTTTTTATTCATTGTTTATTTGCAATTTCAGTTTCCAGAGCTTTTATTTGAAGAAGAAACTGAACAATGTGCTGATCTTTGCCTACGATTATTGAGGCATTGCAGCTCTTGCATTAGCAATGTTAGATCCCAAGCTTCTGCTTCCCTTTATCTTTTGATGAGACAGAACTTTGAAATAGGCAATGTAAGTAGCTTTTTTATTCATTTATTGCATGCGAAGTGATTTTTGCAAATTTTTTAATATATTTTTATATATTTTCTAGCTCATATCTGTTCCAAAAATAGTCAATTTCTATGTTCATTTTGTTCTAATTATTTATTTTTAAGTAATTTTAGTGAAAAATTTATTGAAGAATTTTTTTAATATCAATAGTTTTAATTTGTTATAATGTAATCAGTTTTTAGCATAAATAGCTTTAATCTGATTCAGTATTTTTAACATGGTATTTTTAACTATGGTAAACTCAAATTTTACTAATTTTCTTCAGATGCAATCATAATTTGCAATCATTCTACTAGTAATCTTCATTGAACAATTCTCTCCTTCTTTCTCTAACGAAAATAGATGTATTTTCACTTATTTTGGCTAGTTTAAAAAAAAAAAAAAAACACTTTTAGTTTAATAAATAACTTTGCTTTTTCAATTAAATATTAGTAACATTTTTGATAAAGAAGTTGAAGCTATGTTTGTTTGAATACTTTGTTTGGTTGTGAATATTGTACTAAAGCTTCACCAACAGGCTGTTACTGGCAGTCTGAGATTCATCCTCAAAGATGATTTTTAAACAATAATGGTGCATTAGCCCAGTATTTTTCCATAATTTAGCTTGGAGTACAGATAATGGTAATAATCACTGGGCATCTGCACAATGCTTTCCAACTGTGTACCCTAATGTAATGCAAAAGGCACAGCATTAGTGTGGATTCTAAACCACTAAAAGAGCAAGCATTTAGCACTGAGAATCAAGCCTCAATGTAAGCCATGGTAAGTGAGGACTTTATTGACCACACCCACTGGATGGCTTATTTAGATGCATTTTGAATGATTAAAAATCTTACTTAATGAAAATTTTCTTTTTTAGTTTAAAACTAGTCATATTTTATATTATTTATGAATACATTAGTTTTGTTATTGTTTTTAGAACTTTGCTCGAGTGAAGATGCAAGTGACTATGTCTCTTAGTTCCCTGGTTGGAACTAATAGAAATTTCAATGAAGAGTATTTGAGGCATTCACTAAAAACTATTCTAGTGTATGCAGAGGAAGATACTGAACTGCAGGTTACTACATTCCCTGAACAGGTATCTGCTACCATTAATTCTTCACTTATTTTTCTTAACTGCAATTTAATTAAAGATTCCATTTTTTAAGATAACTAATTTTGGTTGATTAGTTATTATGTTCTCTTTAGTAGTGTTGCAGAATAAAATTTGATTCTCTCAGAATGCAATTCACTAGGAATATATATATAGGAAGAGACTAAATAGAAATTCTAAAAACCGATTAAATTCTATAAATCGAATATATATTTGAAAATTTTCACATGACCAAATACTCAAGATGTTTGGTAATGACTACCCTTAATATGTACTTTCAGAATGCCTTTAAACAATTAAGTGAAAGAAATTTATATATTTAGGGTCTCAAATTAATCTTTAAACCAGGATGATTTCCAAACGCAATTGAAAGTCTAGGAATCATTACTGAAGAGTAAAGACTGCAAACATCAATTACGTTAGATTATCAGAGGAAACAAGGAAGAGTAGAACAGTAATTATTAAAACCATATTCAAGATTTATCATGAAATTGAGCAGTTTTTGTTTTCAATACCCTTATATGAGTAATGGTTTGTTACATTTCAATAAGCTTTTTTCCCTTGCTTAAATATATTTTTATTATCTCTAATGTGTATACTGTTTTTACTTCATTTGCAACAAGTATTCTAAAAAAGACATATACTCAATTTAAAGTCTTAGAATGGCATTACAGCTAGCAGAGAGGTACTAGAACGGCGTATCGGTGCGTTCTAGCGCCACTACACTCCTGCTCTTTAGGGAACTAATAATAAATCTTATTCGAACTAGGAGTTTCATTTTAGTTTTTTTAGTACCTCTAAAGTTATTGCCTTTAAAAGTGTATGATGAAATTGTACATATAAAAAAATTCTAGTGGTGCACAAGTGGGTGAAATAGGTCTTTAAAAATCAGATTTTTGTAATTTAAACTGAATTGATTTTTTAAATCAGTATATTTTACTTAAAATTAATTAATTTTAAGTTTTGGAATTTTTTTTCCATGTTTCTGTCATTTTACCAGGGAAAAACAGTTTTTAATATCTTAAGCTGACATCGGGATTCATCATCATATTATTTTTTGTTCCTTAAAAATTTAAACTTTAGTAATCATTATAATTATAAAAAACCCAGCCTTGCTGCAAATTCTTTGGAAACAAAATGTCTTAACTGCACCTATTCATTATAGTTTCCTTTTTAACAGAATAATAATTTTAACATAATTTAATAGTTTACTTTATATTTGGTAATAAAATTCATTAAATTTCACGAATGTACTCTTTACCCAAAAGATATGCTTAACATTTTAGTATGTCCATCAAACATTATTGTTTCCCTGAAACCTAATATAAAATATATTAATAAATCTTTTTATCTCTAAATTTTTTTCTTCCTTAGGTTCATGATTTAGTTTTTAATTTGCATATGATTTTATCTGATACTGTTAAAATGAAAGAATTTCAAGAGGATCCTGAGATGTTAATGGACTTAATGTATCGTATAGCAAAAGGATATCAAACCTCTCCTGACTTAAGGCTTACCTGGCTAGCAAATATGGCACAAAAACATACTGAAGTAAGTGGTTATCTTTGATAAATTTGAAATATTTCGCTTTAGAAGTAGAAGCAGTTCTGTTATTGTATTATTTTTAATGTTTGACCATTTATAAATTTTTTCCTTAAATTTTTCAAAAAAAATGAACTTTATAATGTGTTCTCATAGGAAATGTGCTTGTAAATTGGGTCAGAAGTTTTTCGATTGAAATTAGAATTTATTCACAATTTAAATGTGCATTAATAATTATGAACTGTGCTATCAAACTCTGCTTTCAAATGTTCAGTGTGTGCTAATCAAAATCAATAATTTTTAAAATAAATAACCAAATTTTCAAAAATTAATCTTCTGCAATAAAATTATAGGGATAATCCATTGTTTTATGCTTTATGCAGTCTTTTAAAATAATACAAGTAAATTTTTATTGAATCTTTGGAATCTTCTTTTAGTAAATATGATATAAAATGAATTAATTGTAATGCTAAAATTGTGACCATTTCTTAATTTTTTTTAAATTCAAAATTGTTTCGTATGCTTACTTTTAAAACTTGTCTATATAGCTTTTGAACATCTTCTAATATCTATAGGTTTGAGAAAAAAAATTGATGAAAGAAAATAAGTTTATAATTTGGAAAACAACAAAAGCAAGGATCATTAGTCTGATCAAAAGTATTCGTAATTTACGAAAATATTTTTAAATAGCTTTTATTTGATAAAATATCACAATCACAAATATGGTACTTGACATAGGCTAAATGGTGTTAAATATCACATTGATTGTACTTTTATACACTATTGTTTTACTTTGTAGAGTATAGCAGGAAATAAAGCACCCTTTGTTCATTGAATAGGTTTTGTTTGTTTAAATCTAATATACCTTTGAAAACATTGAGAGTTCTTTATTTAGGTGTCATGTTGATTTAGAAGTTTAGAATTTTGTAGCAAAATTTTGTTTAGAATTATGTAATGTGAATTTTTTCTCAAATGTTTGGTGGCATTTGGAGTACATTGATTTTGTTTTTTTTAAAACTTTTTTTCTTGTACCACTCAATTATTATTTCCTTACTCAGTTTTGAAAGTTCCCTTTTGAAACTGAAGCTATTTATCTATTCCAAACATGTAAAATTTCTTAATGAAGTTAAATTTCAATAAATGATTCTTTAAAAAAGATTTTTACTTCTTAAAAATTTTTTAATTGTAATTTTTAGTAGCTGCTTCATTTTAATATTCATGAAACTTAACTATTCATTTAATTGTTTTGCAAACAGAGATTGAATCATGTTGAAGCTGCTCATTGCCTTGTCCATTCAGCTGCACTTGTTGCAGAATATTTATACATGCTGGAAGACCGATCATTTCTACCTGTTGGTTGTGTGACATTTGAAGTAAGTAGAGGTTTGTTTCTAACTAGTATTTTGTTCTCTATTAATATTGTGTTTAAACTAAATCATTTTAAATTTTGGTAGCTTTATTAATATTTAGGCAAATTTTTTGATGTTTTAATACATTCATATATATAGTCAAACCTTAATCCATCATTGTGCACCTTTCATTTACCCGTATGTGTCATCTTGTTTCAACCATCACGGGATGTCATTCTTATAATGTTACTGCTACTCATTTAGATTTTTTTTAAACTAGAGGATTCTTAAGTCTGACATTCAGATAGTCTGACATTTAGATATTTTGCTAACAATTAAAAAGTTATTAGTTTTGAGAAGAAACCTAGTAACTTCTGATGCTAGTGATGAAAAAAAACCGAAGATTTGTTGCAGTACGGGGACAATGTCTGAAGCATTATATTTGTTTATGCATCATTTGAGGAAAATGTTGAAACTTGTGGTATTTTTGTTTCATAAAATGATTGTAGAGATATCGATCAAGGTGGCAAAATGAAACCACAACCAGTACAGACATTTGTGGAAAACCTCAAAGCCTTTAAAATGAAGAAAACCTTCTGTAATCACACAAATTAACAAAAAATGAAAAGTACTCTACAACAAATGTGGAAAATTTAGTTTTTGCACTGAGGGGAAAAGAAAGTGTTTAAAACAAAAATTTCAAATATTTTCTTTGGATAGTGTATTTATTCATTTATCTTTTTCATCACAAGTATTTTTGTAGAAAAAAAAACTTAATTTTTCCAGTTAAAATGTTTATACTTATTGTACTTTTATTAACTTTCAAGTCCAATTCTTATTCATTTATTTTCAACAAATTTTTTGATATTTTATGTTGAACCACCTTCTACATCTTCTTGTACATATCATTCAAAACTAATGGACCCAATCGATCAAGATTTTACTGTATATATATATATATATATTATGTAATGTTAAAACAATTATATATTAAATATAATTCTTACATAGAGCATTTATCCAACGCGCAAACGTTTAAAAACCTTTCCCACATGAAAGTAATAATATTGATCTAATTATCTCAAAAAATGTGATGATGTGGCTTTAGTAGCTTGGGAAATTGATCAGTCCCACGCTACTGAGACCTATTAACATTTAAATATATTGTCCAGAAAGATATAAAAACCCTCTTTCCAAGGTCAAATGTGCTATTCTATACCTATCCACCAGCATGTAAGGTTGTCATTCTGGGGCTCTGGCCCTTACTTTAATAAAATTATATTATGNCGAAATCTCGCATTGTATTTAAATGGCCCAGAGCAAAAGGTTTAAACTCATGTCGAGTCCATTTTTGAATTGCCCCCCTTTACAATCAAATTCCCCCCCCCCCGGTGGGGCGTGGGCCCCACGTTGGGAAACACTGGTGTGGAACTTGAATAGTTGTTTTCTTCCTTTTTTTTAATAAGTGGATGGTGAAATTTTTTTTTATAAAATTAGCTTTTTATAAACGAGTTTAATAAACAAGTTAAATCTGAACAATAAATGAGTTTTATATATAGATATATATATATATATATATAAACATATTGGATTGCATATTGCATCTATAGTTTGCCTTCTGTCAAAATATTTTATTCTTAAATAACTATATTTAAGAATAAGGTGCTGATTTGAATCATATGTTTGATTGTCATTGCAGATGAGTTAAAGTAACTAATAAGGCATTATATTCATTTATCTATATATTGTTAAGCATCTAAGTGTATATAAAACAAAATAACATCCATTTGTATACATCATTATAAATTCATAATCTGTTGCCAGTAATTTTTTACATTTAAGCATATATTTAGATTATATAAGTAAATAACTTGATTGCAGAGCAGTCATACTTTCATTTTTCCCCTTTAGAAAATTTCCCCTAATGTCTTAGAAGAGAGTGCTGTTTCTGATGATGTTGTCTCTCCTGATGAAGAGGGTATTTGCACTGGAAAGTATTTCACTGAAAATGGCTTGATTGGTCTATTAGAAGGAGCTGCAAATTCCTTCTCATTGGTAACATTATATTAAATATAACAATTGATAATTATGAGCATTTAGATATGTAAGAACTATTTTTTTCTTTTTTTTTGTTTTGTTTTGTTCATTCATCTTAATATCTAAGCAAACTTAATAGGTATGAGAAATACGGTAAAATTAGCATTTAAAGTTTAAGTATTTTTGTAAAATATGATAAATATTTTGAAAATTATGATTTCTACAAAAGTTTTGTGATATAAAAATGTTCCCAATATAAAAAATATTATATATAAAAAAAATTGTTGATTATATGGTCTCAATATTATCTCAAAATTGCTTATAATATATCTATACCTGAACCTTCTCTCTTGTCTCTCCTATAAATTTACATAGACTTTGTTCTATTTTACCATAACTTAATTCAGTTCCAGTCAAAGACAAAATTAAAAAATTGAAAGTTATATAAGGGTCACAAAACCTATCAGTTTTTGAATCATTGCTGAAGAAAGTATTTTTTTCATACTAAAATTTTATTCAAAGTAATTACGAGGCAGTTTCTGAGTAACGTTCTCTAATAAATTTTAATCAAATACAAAATTAGACTTTTAATGCAAAATTTATAAGCAATTTTACAGCACTAGTAAATTAAAATTATTTTACAGTCCACAATATTGCTATGATTTGTATATTTACTAGAAAGTAATTAAAGATTTGTTTGTTTTTCTTTTCAAAAATGACAAATGCAAGATTAGATCCTTCATTTATTTAAGGCTTGTGTTAGCAAAATTATTATTTAATTATTATTACAAGCAAAGGCACTATTGTAATGCAAACAAATTATTTTGTGTGAGCAGTCTTCGAATAATCTGAACGCTTTGAAAATATCAATTCTTCAATTCTCTTAATATCTCAGAGTTTTGTTGCACAGCTTAAATCTAACTATTTAGAGGCAGAAAGCTCTAAACGTTATTCTTTAGGCAAAGTAGAGATTTTTTTTGTTGAAAGCTCTTATTTTAGTCTTACTTTATTTGACAATATTAATTTATTTGGCCAAGCTTTTAAATTTCACAGTTCCTAGTGAATGAATGAACTAAGTGAAAATTAAGTGCTTTTGGAAGGGAAGAGGGTTCCAAGTGCATTTAGCAGTGTTCATTCATTAAGTAAACTAAGAAAACCTCTTTTTAACAGAACATTAAAAGTCCAAGCGAATAAATGCTTTAATGAGGACAGTTTAAATTAATGTTATGGACTCATAAATTATGTGAAATGGTAGCTTGTATACAGGAACTAAAGGTAAGGCATAATCTTTATTACCGGGACTAGGATGTTGATGATGTAAAAATTCTTATAAAATGACTTTAAAAAATTCAAAAAGTGCCTCTAAAAATCATTAAAATATTACCTTAATAAAAAATAATGCCCTTAAAGTTTTTTAAATTTTTTTAATAGTTTTTTAAAAAATTTAATTTTGTATATATATATGATGATATTAGTACCTGATGAAGAAAAATGATAGATAATAATACAATGATAAAGAATTGTATTGTATTGTCAAATATTTTTTGTTATTTTTAAAAGTGAAAGATTGCCTACCTTCCAAAAGCAGATTCATATATCTTAAATATTCAACATCAACATTTAGATAAGGATGTTTAAAACGACAAAATTCAATGCAAAATTATTTACATTAAATGAAAAAAAAAGAAAGATTTATCATCAATTATTCTAACTCTGCTATTTAGCAATTTAAATGCATAAGTATTAAAGCTTCAATTCAGTTGCAAAATAGCTTTGAATTATTATTTATTTAATTCTGAAATTACAATTTGTTAACGTAATTTATTATATGTATTACTTTCCAGGGTGGAATGTATGAAAATGTGAATGAAGTTTATAAAATCTTGATTCCCATCGCAGAAGCACACAATGATTACAAAAGTTTAGCTGTCATTCATAGCAAATTGCACGATTCTTTTCTAAAAATTGATCAACAAGTATGTACATAAATTTCTAATTCATTGATATTCTTTCATATCCTTTCATGCTAATTTTTTACATTTTTTCCCCAAAATTCTGTTTATAGGTCGGCAAAAGAGTATTTGGTACTTATTTTCGTGTGGGATTCTATGGTAGCAAATTTGGAGACTTGGATTGTGAAGAATTCATTTATAAAGAACCTTATTTAACTAAGTTACCTGAAATTTCCCATCGGCTTGAAGTTTGTAGCTATTGTCAATTTTTAAATATATTTTTGTAAGCATTACTGTAGTCATAGATAAATTATTTATAATATTGTGACGGATTTTATTGCATTTTCAGAACTTCTATGTTGAAAGATTTGGTTCTGAACATGTTGAAGTCATCAAAGATTCAAATGCTGTCGATGGTTCTAAGCTAAACCCTGAAAAGGTATTATTTTATGGTATAAAATCATTTTTCTATTCAAAATGTTACAAACTGGTGTATTTTTATTTTTTTTTAAATTTCAGTTCCAAAGTAACTTTTATTAGTCAACACTTTGCTACATTTTATCCTGTAGATACCAGGCATTAAGTGTGTTCTGTATTTTTCTTTAATTAACTATCATTAATAGGAATTTTTATTGTATTTTCTCAAAAGTAAAATTTACTTGTTTATAACTTTGTTTAAATGGCAAAAATATAAATTTAATACCCTTTTGTTAAATAAAATGTGAAGATTAGTACTAATTCAATAAACTTTTGAACATATAGAAGTATTCAATCTTAATAAAACTTTTTTTTAATATCTAGTTTTCGTTTTTATTCTGTATTTTTAAAAGTATAGTGCAAAAGGCTCATAATATTTTGTAGTTTTATCTGTAACAGAATCTAAAGTTTTTTTTTTATTTATGCATTTTAAAAATTAAATTTTAATTTTATAATTGTTTTAATTAAAATTTATATCAAAATCTCTAACTCTTAGTTGTAATTCCTTAGGTTGTTAAAGAAATTAATTGTTTTAACTATACTTTATAATTTTATTTCAGGCATACATCCAAATAACATATGTTGAACCTTATTTTGAAATGTTTCAACTGAGAGAACGCAATACACAATTTGACAGAAACTACAATATTAGTAAGTTTTATTACGGTTTCATACAGTTTGAAGACTGTTGAAATTTACATTAATGCTTTAAAACAAGTATTTTATTAAACCTTTTTAACAATTAAAAAGATGTTCCTGCAAATTATTATCTAAATTTAAAAGAAAAAGTTTTATATTAATTAACTGAAGTGTAGGATTTATGGTTAAACTATAATATTAAAAAAAATTCATAATTTCAGGATGCTTTATTTATGCTACTCCATTCACTCCAGATGGTCGAGCTCATGGGGAGCTACATGAACAATATAAACGAAAAACCATATTAACAACAGCTTATACATTCCCTTATGTAAAAACGCGTATTCAAGTAGTAGAGCGACAACAGGTAACTGTAGCGTATTCATTGTTTTCTTCAGATTGATTCCTTGAACAAGTTTCAACTTTAAATTACATAACATTTAAATGGTTTGTTTTTGTATGTAAAGTATTTGTTTCTTTCTTTTTTTGTTCTTACTCAGATATTATGACATAGAATTAATTTTTTTCTGCTAAATATTGATTAATGTTTTTAAGTCACTCTAAAGTTAGGTAATAACGTAGTAATTTATGCATACAGGTTATTCTATGATCACTACTTTTAATATATACTTTTAAACTCTATAATATAAAGGAAATCGTAAAGCAAATAATATTTAAGCAAATAGAAACAAGAAACCCTATGGAAAAATGGTTGATTAACGGAGGAGTTAATGGGAAATCATTACAAATACTTCCAACTCTCAACAAGCTATCCAAATGTTTTTTTTTAAAACCAACTTTCTCATTAATTAATCAATATTCCATTTGTTTCTTATATGTATTGATATTAAAATGATTTTTTACCCCGTGTTCAACAAGGGTTTGTAAAATATTTATTCAGGATGGATAACGGATAACAGAACACCTTATCTAACTACAAAAAAATATTTCCAACCATATTCCTACAATTAAATGAAGGTGATAATAAATGGATCAAAATATCTTTAGTAAAATAAAAAGTTGTGAAAATAAATAAAAATAAACATTAAAACCCTTGTTGAAAACTTTCTTAAAAAAGGCCACTAAGTCTTTAGTCTCAACTTTATGAATTCTAGGTCCTTTCTTTATTCTAAAAAGTATCTTTTGTGTTCGGAAATGGACAATGCTAACTTCATAGTATTGGCTATCCAAACATAAAGCCACAAATTAGATTTATGTCTTTCAAAGATTTTAATCTTCTTTTATTAACAATCAATTAAATATACACACTAGCCAAACTATAAGAAAAGCCTGAAAAAATCTTCTGTTTCGACGTTCTGATGCCTATTGTGGTTTCAAACCTTATAGTGACCATGAACCGCATTGCTGACTTTTTCTTTTTAATATTGTCTCAGTTTTACAGGGAACTAGAGCTTTAATTATATATTGTATCTCCATTTACAAGAATTTTGCAATTTTCTATTTTAATGCTGGTGAATTGTACTGGGCAATTTATGGCGATTTATGGTCACTTGACTGATTTAAAAAATAAGAATTTTTTAACTGGTGTTTTTTTTAAAATCATTTTGCAATCATGTATCTTATGTTGAGACAATCTTGTGTTTTAACTTATTATGCAGTGTTCATTTCACTATGAAGTTTTGGGTACATTTTTACTTTATTATATATAGATTGTACTCACTCCCATTGAAGTAGCCATTGAAGATATAATGAAAAAAACCCAAGAATTAAATGCAGCTACTAATCAAGAACCAGCTGATCCCAAAATTTTGCAAATGGTATTGCAAGGATGTATTGGTACAACAGTAAATCAGGTAATGTTTCTTTCTATAATTTTGCAGTGTTTGCTAATAAAGAGCCAGTTTAATTAATAATAAATAATAATCAACTCCAATTATATATTAAATAAAATAGTTGTTTATGTAATTTTAATTATTATTAGATCATGTAGTGATGTCAATTATTTTGTACCTTTTTTTCTATATTCTGCAAAGTAGAAAAAATAATCTCTATGAGAACCATATTTCATTCTGCAAATTTTTTTGATTTTATGACGATGATGTTTTAAAGTTTGTTTAATAAAATGAAATATTAAAAAATATATTGTGGTCTGAAATTCAGCAAAAGTACATCATATTAAAAATAATTTAATTTTCTTTATTAATTAGAAATAAAATAAATATAAATTTTTAAAATCAAAAATTTTGATTTTTAAAAATTCTTCGTTACATTAATTATTTCGAAAAAATGCTTATTATTTTTTAATTAATTTATAAATAATTTAAATTAATATTTTTTAAATTATGAATTTTTTAAAATTTATATTTTTTTGAAAAATAAGAATTTTTATTGTTGGTATTAGCAGACATAAAGGGTGAAATCATTGTTATTTATTACTGCTGTTATTACTAAATAAGCAAATTTTTATGAACTATTTATTATATTACTTATAAAGTAATTAAATATTATACCATTTACCTACAATTATTTTAGTTGTAAATGTAATTGGAAAAAAAATGACTTCTAAATATTGTTTTGATGCAGTTGTAAATATTTTTATAGGGTCCAATGGAAGTTGCTCATGTCTTTTTAATAGATTTGATTGATGGGAAAAAGTCTCCAACAGCTTTGCAACACAAGCTTCGTTTATGCTTCAAAGACTTTTTACTGAAGTAATGCAATTTCTTCTTATAAAATACTGCTACTTTATAAATTTTTATGTAATGAAATTCAAATTAAGTATTGGTTAGAAAGTTTTTTTGAAATTATTTTCAATTATTTACATTCTCAAGTATATCAAGAATTTAAATTATCAAATACATAAATTGAACATAAATTAATTTAGTAAAAAAATTGATCAAGTACATTAATATAGTATTTACAATAAATATTCGCAATTGTAACCACTACCAGTAATAGGAACTACAGCTGTTATTGGCTAGCAATGCAGCAATGAAAAAGTTACATCAGGGATGAGATTTTTCCGCTTTGTAACGGATTTCCGCCTTTTTCACTTCTGTCTCTTGAATTTCAGCCTTATTATCAAAAACTCCTATTTTCTAAAAGTTTCAGTTTTTTAAATAAATGTTTCGCCTTTTCTGAAAATTAAGTCGTTGAAATAAAATANTGGTTTATATTGACAGATATATATTCTTTTTTTTTAACGACATTGTATTAAACATGTTTATTTGCACCATTGTTCAGTTTTTAATTAACTAGTGAGTAATGTTGTGTGCTAGCAATATTGTATTTTAATTATTGTGTTTTTATTATTATCATAGGTGTAACGAAGCTTTAAGAAAAAATAGAACACTTATTGGTCCAGAGCAGAAAGATTATCAAAGAGAATTAGAGCGGAATTATCATAGAATTATGGAGAGACTAATGCCTATGATTAAATTATCTACATCAGCAGTTTGCAAGCTTAGCAGGTTAGTAACAATGTAACTGTTGAATTTTTTCACTTGTTATAAAGTAGCAGTTGGAATTATTGCATGAATAATTCTGATTTGAATCTATAATAAGCATGCGTCCGATATTTTTTTCAGGATAATGACTTTAAAACTAAATTTTCATTTTGCCCTTAAAAATTATAAAGTCTGGAAATTTTTTTTTGTTGATGAATTTTAAGTTGGTGGTTTTTTGTGCAGTGAAAAATAGAATGAGCAAATCATAATAAATAACACAATATATCTATTATAAGCTAATTGATAAATCCAGCATTTCGTAGTGTATGAATTTTGTATAAACTTTCAGTATTTTCTTCTGGTATGTCTGGTATTTGTCCTGGTAATGTCTGGTATTTTTTATGCTTATTGCATATAGCATTCTTGTCTTTAAGTTAATTTTTAAGTATGTGAAGAGTTCAATTAGACTGAATTTGCTTAGGTTAATTGTACTAAATTTTTAAAGGCTATTTACATTAAACCTTTATTATTGTACATTCATTGCAAACTGCTTGAAAAAACTCGAGACTAATTAAGCAATGAATGGTGCATTTTTAAATTAGCCTTAATGTAGTTGGGCTCTCTGCAATTAAGCCTAAAATGTGCCAGACTGATTATAAAGCACTAAACTGATCTTGTACAAGGTTCATACTGAAATAAAGAAAAAAAAAAGCAGAATTTCAAAGAAATTTTAACCTCTAAGTTATTGAAATTTTTATACAAGCGATTTATTATCCATTTATAGGTCACCAAAATTAAGAACATTTTAAGAATCTAGAGGGTCGTAAGGAAAATTAAAAATGGAAAATTAACCATTTAAAAAAAACCTGTAAGTCTGTAAGAAAAAAATAAGAATCAAAAATGAAACATTTCCTCTATTTAAGAGACTTAAAAACAATTTTGTTGTTAAAATAGTTTTGAAGCAGTATTTAACACAATTTTAAATAAGGTGTGCATTATTCATTTTTTTTTAATAAATTTTAAATTGTCTAATATAAAACCAAAGATATAATTCAGAAAGTTGCAAAACTTCATCAATGCTATAATCTACGCATTTAAAGATGTCTTATTCTATAGAAAATTTAAACCTTGTCAAAATAATTTATAAAATTAGAAAATATTCAAATTAATGGATATTAAATGTTTTATTTTCTTTAGGGAAAAACAATAAATTTATGCAAAATAAACTACGTTTGGTTAACAGTTTTGACCATTTAATTTAAGTTATAACCTGCAAAATATATCAAGATAAACTAATGAGCTTAAACTTTTTCTAGTCATTCTACATCATTTTATAGATTAAATTAATGCTATTTTTACATTGCTTTTAAAAGTGTCTGGCATGCATTGTTTAGTTGTCAAGTTTCTTATTAGTTTATTTTGTAATTAATTCACTGGCTTCTTAATTTTGTGATTTTTTTTAATTGCAGAGATCGTCATAACAGTGGTGAACGGGGTACTAGGAAGAAACAGTGATTTATGAGAAAGCAGAATGCAAAATGATTTTTTTTTTTCGTTTCAGAATTTGATTTTATGATTTTTTTTTTAAAACTAAAAATCTGAAACTAAGCAGGAAAATAATCCTTTAAAATAATTAGCACATCAACATATGTGTGTTAATTATTAAAGTATTTTATTGTTTCAGAAAGAAAAATTTGAAGAAATATTTGCACATAAAAAAAGTGACATTGTTTAAGTGCTGATATCAAACTTTTAAGCACACAATTTAAAATGTATGAAAACATTTATTAACGTTCTTTCATATTAGCAATTAACAAAGTATTTCCTTTGTATTGTTTTGATAAGTTTCCTGCAATTAAAAATATGATTGTTAAAATACAGCAAACATTATTAAATTTTATTTGTAATATTTTATGAATGTACTATAAGAAGCATACCACTGCTGCTTATTTGATATTTAATATTTAGCTGAACTATGACCAGTTAGCTAAATTTTTAATACTGCTCAAATTTTAAAATATAAAATATTGACTGTGTGATTTTAAAGTGTGGTATAATTTTATAAATAAGATGTTAATCGCAAATTTATTTTATTTTCTGTGTTATATATAAAAATGCTATTTGGTGTTCTCAAATTTTTATATTGTGTGTAAAATGCTTGTTAATTATTTTAAATTGTGTGTATTGTTTAGTTGTTCATTATTTCATAATAGTATTTAACTTATACAACTTTAAAGTCTCTTTACACCTTTGTTGATCAATTATCTCTAGAAAATCAACACACAAAAAAGCAGGAGTTATTATTTTTATTTCTTACATTTTTCATTATCATTATTTGTATATTTCTCAAAATTTCATTTTATAAAAATTTCATCATTTAAGGTTTAAGGTCACAATACTCTTTCTTTTCTTCTTCTAGTCATAAAATATAAGAAAACATTATTATTCCTTACATTATAAAAGCTCTAATTTTTACAATTCAAACAATTATCATGTTTTGTACATAAATCAAACCAGAAAAATCACTTTTCTTTTTTATTTTGAGGATTATTATATTATCTTGCAAAGTCCTTCATTATTTGTATATTTGTCGAATTTTAATTTTATCCAAAAAGTAATGAAAGGGTTCATTTTATTATATGTTATTTTCAATATGGAGGCTTATTTTAAAAATTGTTTTTATTTCTTATATACATGGATGGTTTATATTGACAGATCAAAGTTTGCATTAGCCAATTAAGGCTAAACTATATATTCAAAGATAATTGTCGTGACAAGAAATGTTGAAAGATGCCTTTAGCTTATTTTGATATAAATGATTAATGCCAGTTGTACTTTAAAATTTGTATTGAAAAAGTATTTGCAAAACTTTTTCATAAATGTATACTTATAAAATATACCTATAAAAGTATACTTGCGATAAAATCCAGATACAGAGGCTTTTAAATGAAATTAATTGCAATAAAATTTTATGTCTATTTTTTTTTAATCATAAGTAAAAATATTTATTTCATTCAAAAAATAATATTTATTTCTATATCTTGGGTATACATGCTTATTAAACTATTTGAAGTTTTAAATTTTTTATACCATTGGCCTTGTGAAGCAACAATTTGAATATATTATTTGTATGAAAAATAAAGTATATGATGTGGTAGTATTAGAATTAAGCTTCTGCTGTGGCTTGAAAAAAGTTTATTCAGTTTTTGCATGATTGTTTTTAACTTTATTCTCTTATTCTTCATTTATATATTTTTTTTTCTGTGTAAGTTCTGTATATGTTCATATATATATATATATATATATATATATATGTNGAAAGAGATTGGAATTTGTATTGATATATATATATATAGTAATTGAATATAGTAATATAGAGTAATTAATGAGTTTTGATTTTACTATGCATATTACATCTGAGCTTATTTATCATTTTCTCTTGTAAAAACAGCTTAATTATTTGTTTAAAGAACTCTTATTTTTCTGATGTTTTTATTGTTTAATAGTATGTTGTTCCTCTTATTGTGAAGTTTAGCTTTTTTAAAATTTAGAGAAGTTAATCATTGAATAATCTATATTTTTAAACCAACAAATATTTGACATATTTGAAATTAAAATAGACAAAGTTTATTTATTTGATTTACTTTTGTTAAATAAATATATTTCTAGACATATATGTACAGTCGAATTTGCTTATGTAAGAAAGAACGGAGTGTAGCAATTCTCTCATTAAATCATGGTCCTTAATTAACCAGAGTCTGGGCAAAGTTGTCAAAAATAAAAGCTTTTATGAACAATGGTCTACAAGAAAATGCTTAAAAAGGGTCTACTATTTATTGTTTACATTTAGTAGCTCTATTAAAGATGAGAGCTGCACTGCAATGAGGTTTTATTAAACTTTCTCTACATTTTCTTCTTCCTCTTAAAAAAAAAAAACTTTTTTTAAGGAAAAAAAATCCTCTTTACTCAATATCAATTTTGTGTGTTAATTAATAAATGCAACACTAAAAATGTAGAGAAAATGTGATATATGATTTATTGCCATTTTTAGAGGAAAATACAAGCAAGTACATGAGCAACACAAGGTAAAATCTATTATAAGTTATTGTAATGATCATTTAGAATTTTTAATTCATCCGTTGCTATGCTACAAATTCGTGATTTGTGACAAGATAAAGGAGGCTCTTCAAATTGTTACTCTTTAACTCATTAAAAGCAATTGTTGCCTATTGCGTTTTTTTAGAGAAATTTTAAGGGAAGGAAATTTTCTCAAACAATCAAACATTTTTCACTATCAATTTTAACAAAATTTTTCTCGACATTTATGAAAATTTTAATGTTAAATTCAAGTTATGCTTACAATAACAGAACTTCGTTTAGACTTTTTTTACATCAAACCAACTATTATTAAAAAGTTTCCCATTAAATCTATGAACTGGTTAACCAAGTTCGACTATGTATATATGTATTCACATGAATTAGAATCATGAATCCAGGATTGTAGGATTAGGCAAATTCTATTGCATTATATTTTTTCTGAAGTATGCATTTAAAGCTTCCATTTTTCAAAAACCATTACTTTTTTGAATATTATTTTCATTATTTGTATATTGCTGCTCAATAGAAAAATTAATGTTATCTGCAAAAAATTCAATATTGGGACTTTTAGGTATTTGGTATTTTTGTATGATAAATACTAAATATGATAAATTCTATTTAAGTGTTTATAACAGTAGCAATAGAAAGAAAACATTTATTACGCTACTTTTGTCGAAATCTATTGTCAATCACATTGTTTTTTTCAATTGCACAGCAGTATAGAAATAATTTGTGTATTTCTTGAAGCCTTTGTGTATAAAGTCTAAAATCTTGGAAAGATATTGGAATTTGTATTGATCTATCCAAAAAAAAGAAAAGAACAATAAAATAATTATGATATGGAAGTTGTTATTTTTAGTTGACATAGTGTGCTTAGGTGCTATTTTAATTAGATCAAGTTCGTTTTGTATCTAGTTGTAATAATGCTCAATTTCTATTATTTGCAGTAGTATACTATTCTCTTGAAGTTTTGACTATGGATTTTTTTTATTAATGTTGTTATTATTTATTAGTCCAATTTAACTTAAAGAACGAAAAATTAATTAATTGCTGTATATCAAATTTCTGCCTTAAAAGATTGCGAATTCATTTGGTTCATTTAAAAGATTGCGAATTCATTTGGTGCAATTTTCAATTATTTGCTATAGCTCAACTAAATTTTATAATAAGTTAACTAAAACTATGTTTTTGGTAATGTATTGTAAAACACAGTTTAATATTCAATTAATGAATGTAAATTATTATATTAGAATAATGAAGGAACACATTAAATTAAATAGGAAAAAACACCAAAGCGAGTTCCATTGTTTCTTAGGTATTTATACTGGAAATTAGTATTGTTACCTTAAGATAAAAATACCAACAACAGAATTTATATGTTCTTAAATTTACATGAATCGGTTAAAAAAAAAAGAAAATTTTTACTGTAGAAGTCTTAGCCGATTCAGCATTACGCCCTCTTTTCAAAAATGAACTAAAAGTTTTCTCTCTTCCTCTATAGTTTATAGATTTTGCATTACATCATGGGACCAGACATACTTCTTTTGTGATGCTGTTTTGGTTAAAATATGGTATGGAATACTTAATTTATTCAATTTGTAAAAATGGTACCAGTTAGGGATTTTTTGTCAGCAAAAGGTATCTGAGAAGCTTCTAAATAAATGCATTCTTTAAGGAAGGGAAATATATTTTGAACTATTATATGTGAAATGTGCATTGATGTTCCATTTCTCAATTTTTTAATACTATTAATTATTTTTCTATACTTAATTTTCAATTCAATACAGAATTATTGATATTTAGTATATAGATGAAATTGCCTCAGGCCTAATAAAGTAACAAGAATTAATTTCCCTTTTCTCTGGTCACAGAGAAATATCTTGGCAAATAATTAGCCATTCAATAATTTCATTTGAAGATTTCAAGGTCGTGGAAACCAGTGAGACTCAGAAAGTTGAATGAGAGTGGAAAAAGGAACATGAAGAAAACTATAATTGGGGAAAGTCGATGAATGCATTGTTAAAATATGAATAAGGTAAAGTTTTAATTAACTTTTTTAACACTTAAATGTGGCAAAAATAAAATTAGAAGTTGAGTAAGAAGTTGTGGAAATTCAGGAAATAATGTATTAAATAAAACAAAAGTACAAACTTAGGTTTCATTGTTAACTAACTGAATATCCATTCTTCATACATGGTGAAAGAATAAATAAATTAGTATTGAACGAAATCGTTCACAAAAATGAATTCTATATTACGACACAATAAAGCTAAAAATAAGTTTTTTTTATTTATTATTATTTATTGCCCTGCTATTGGCTTTGCGTTATTAGAATAAGCAAAACATATTTTTAGAAGTTCATCCCATTAAAACAAAGATAAGCTGTATTTAGTATCATTTGGCATAATGCTTTTACTCAAGGCCAACTCATGATTTTAAAAATTTATCACAATCAAGTAATTTTCTCCGGTATTTATCCTTTAAGAAGGGCCATGCAAATTTATTTCCCCAGTATCTATGCTTAAACTCAACAGTATTGAAAACAGGGTGTGTAGTGTTTTTAAAAACTGCTTAAAGGTGCTTATTTTTGATTTGCGTTTTTTCAAAGTCCTAAGGGTGCTTTTTTTCTATTGGGGGGCTTGTAAAAAAAGCTTAATTTTCTATCTTTCAAAAGGAGATTTTTGCTTTCAAGCGTCGATTGTCGTCATAAATTACAAAAAAAGCATGATTTTCACAATTTTCCCTGCAATCTATATCAGAAACTAGTTATTTTGTTATGATTATGTTAAGTCTTTGAAAATGTTTTTGCATTTTGTTGATTTTATATTTATAAATTAAGAACTTTTAACTAAAGAAAGAAGTAATTTTTATTACTGCACGTATCCTAATTAGGATTTTTTTTTTTTGGAAAGTGATTAAAAATATTTTTTCAGTACTTACAAGGTGCGTATTTTTTGTTGAAAAATCTGGCTGAGTAAGTGGAAAATCTTAGTTCACTAACATATGTTCGTTAAATATAGATATTTCAAGCAGTGACTCGGCGCTGTAAAATTCTGTAACATTTGAGTAGGGATTTTGCGGATTTTGACAAAGTTCCAGAAGATATTAGTTTAAAATTTTTTAGTTAGGCCTCGTGTGCTTATTTACAAACTCTGCAGTCCCATAAGTTGATTTGTTAATCATCGATGGTAAAAGGTCTTGTTTGTAAATTTTATTTACTTCTTAGATGCGCATTCCCCTTCCCCCTAGAACGTTATTGTATATCTTAATATCGATGACTTTCGTAGGTTTTGGAATGACTTGTGATTACCTTTTAATGATGATATTATGATTACTTGATAATTAAAAACTGTTTTGTTTCGATAACTTACGAAGGTGGTAAAACTGGACATAATTCGTGCGCTCAATCTCAAAACTCGCTAGAAATGTAAAAGGTTAGAAACAAGAAACGTAAAGTTATCAGAGGAAAAAAAGAAAGGGAAAGTAATTTTTAAGAAAATTAAAAACCTCAGTAGCCGAGAAAAGTGAATCAAGTAAGAATGCATTTCCAATGCACTGTAGAGATGTTGTAATGAACCCATGTCGTTTATTTGGGAATCGAAATAAATGGTACGAGATTCCGTGGCATTAAGATGAGCTGGTGTGACAGGAGTGGAAAGAATTTTGGCATTATCAAAATTAAATAAATGAACAAGATACCATGCATCAATGTGCTGTTTCTCACAAATTTCATTTTGTTGTATTGTAAATTACGCTACCCTAAAATAACATGTAGTAAACCCCTTATCGTTTTGAGCCTTTCTTTCTTTTTTTTTTTTAAGTATTCATTCATCCGTTTTCAGCGTATTTCATTTGTTAATTTAATGTATTGACTGTTTATATTATATTATGAAAATTGTTAAGATATAAAATTTAAACCAGGTAAGTGACTAACAACAGCTAAGTTTTTAACGATTTCCGATCTACAAAGTTTTAAAGTTAGCGCAAAGAACCATTATTTATCTCCCACCCCAATGTCTTTATTTTTAAATATACACCTGTGTTTTCTATAAGAATTGCTTCCTGAAAGAATTCTGGGACATCTAAACTTTTTTTTAAAAAATCAAATGCAGTTAATTTATTTTAGAGTTTTAAATATTGTCTAAAATTGTTGCTGAGAGATCTAACACATTGTTCTTTTTACTTTCATTTAAAACTAGAAGAATAAAAAATATTATCTTCTGCACAATCGATCGCAAAGAAATCTCATGTTATCTCACCTGCTTAAAGAGTAAGTTCTGTTAATCGCAACTGGGTGTAAAGGTCGTTGTTATACTTAAAGATTCACATTTGTCAATCGAAGGTGCTCATTCTGAGCCTGATGTTTGTCAGAGTCACGATATCTCTTATATTCAATTAAGATATGCCCGCCACTGGTTTTTGTAATCTTTCCAGAGATCCTCCTGATATTGAGGTACAGAATTTTATTTTTATGATTTTTCGAAAACAACCTCGAGATAACAAGTGATTGATTTAAAGTCAAATCTCATTACTAGTAATTCCTAGGGGAATGTTAGTCCCTTTTAAAGTTTTAAATAGAGCATGTTATTATATAAACATCGAACTTACCGTTTGACATGTGAGGAAATGACCAAGGGATATTATCAGAAACTTATATTAATAATTATTAAAATTTCAGCAGATTTCTCTGTTAAATGACAGTTAAAATGAGTTTTTTTTAAGAATTACTTAATTCGTAAAATGTTAGTTACAGACATTTTGCGAATTAAGTAAGTAATAATTTTTCTTCTTCTTATTCTTGAATTAAATAATTTACTAGATTGCTTATTTTAGCTGAATGTAGACTTTTTAAGGGTCTGAAATACTCATTTCCTAAATTGAATAAAATAAGATTTTCACTTCATTTGTAAATTCTGAGTGCTTTAAAATAGAGTTAAAATTATTTAAAGTTTTCATCGTTATTTAATATTAAGAATATTTTGTTTCTTAAATGTTTATGAATGGTTATAAATGTTTATGAATATTAATTAGCAAAACGTTTGTTTTTAATATTTTGCAAATGAAGGAAATAACGAGAATTTTTATTCTTGAACTAATTAATCAAATTGCTTTTTTGTCGAATGTAGATTTTTTTAGGGACTGAAATATTCGTTTGTTTTCTGAGTTTAATTAAATAAAAATTTTCACTATGTTTGTCAACTATGAAGGCATTAAAGTAATGCTGTAAATTTATTTAAAGTTTTCATCTTTATTTAATACTTAGAATATTTTGTTTTCTAAATGTTTGTGATTTAAAAATGAAATGTGTCATGAATTTGTAATATTATTTAATCGTATTCACCAAAACGGCTGTGTGAACTCTGCTAAGTGTGTCAGCAATATCTTGTCAACTGAACAACACGTACCTATTCAACGTGTAACATGTACCTATTGTATGTCAATGCGACTTAGGAGCTGTTTAATCTGGTCTAGAATATTTCGATAACCTATTGTAGAAATTTAAAAATGTTATTCTTTTTTCTTTAATCTAGATTACGCAGTATTCTTATTTTTTTACTTATTTACATTTCTTTTTTCTAATTTAGGTTTATTTCATTATTTGTGTTTTTCTGATTAATGTTCAGATTTTATGTTGTAAGGAAATTTGACTACTAAGCTAAATTATTGTTAATACGGATGAAAAAAAAATCTCATTGAATTGACGGCCATATTTGAATAGCTGGCCGACTTCTCATTTTTTTCATTTTGAGTTACAAAACCTTAAAATCTAATCTAATGGGTTCCTTGTTTTCCTTATCTTGTCTGATTTGTGGCTCATTCCAATTGACAGGAATGAGCTAGTAGTCAGCTGGAAATAAGCTTCACTTTCTATGTTCATATTAAATCATTTTCAACTCCATTTTTTTAAAAATAAGTGAGAAGAGGGTTTAATTCTGATTCAAGGTTTTAACAATTATTAGTTAGATAATAAAATCATCTGTTTTTTCTTCGATTGAAATCGTCCGATATTTTTTAATAGTAATAATTCATAAAAATATCGAGAATAATATCAGAAATATTAAAGTTGTTTCACCTAATCATAGTAGGTGTAAAGTCAAAATAAAATATTGAAGTTAAAAAGAGGAAAGCGGGTTTTTTTCCCCTTAATTTTTATTTTATTTCTCGACTTTTAGATTTACCTAATGTCCTTTCTTGCAATATTTTGAAAATTCTTAATACATGTAAAGATATTTAATGATTTTATAAAGTGTTATATTATTGTAAATTGCATTTACAAGAATGAAATAGTACAAGAATGACCTCATGTCCTCGTCATAGGCTAATAGTTAACTTACGATCTCAATTTTGAACATAGTAAAATAGCCATCATCCGTATAAGATAAGATATTGTATCTTAGTATCAATAGAATTTGCTGCATCTGTATCATTGGTGACTCTGCTATTTCATTTTCAACGTCACTATCTTCATTGTTTTCATATATTCTTCGTAAATTTCAACTATATGGTTTAAATCAGTTTTTAAGTTATCTTCATCACAGTCGAAGAAACATTCTAAACAATCATTTTCCCTGTTTTTCTGAACTCCGTTTAAATTTTGTCGATAAAGAGAGACGCAGTCGTCATTAAATAAATATTTTTCTATGGATCCGGAATCATAATATATCATTAAATAAAGACTTTTGTTAAGCAGAGCGACGTTAAACTGAGACTCAACTGAAATGTACATGGTACTCATTCTTTTAACCATCGAACGGGTGTATCTAAAGTTATGCATTTGATGTCTAGGTATAGTAAAGTTATGCTAAAGGACGAGACTGATTATAGTACTAGATGGTGGAAAAACTACGTAGTAAATGCTGCTATCTCGTAAATGGCCAGTGATATTAGTCAAAAGAAAGCTGCAAAATTATGGAACATTATAGATTTAGAACAAGTAGGCATCTAGAGGATATGAATGCTTAGAAAAGAAGATTTAAGTTTGTTCGCATGTATAATGCGTATATGTTTGTTCGTGGTTTCCAACATAAAAAGTTTAAAGAGGTAATAAAAAATTTATCCCTCCACACTTTTAATTTTGATGCTCATTCATACTTTTCTTAAGCTTCTACACAGAAAATAAAGGTATGCTTTGATAACAAAATGTTTTTCCTGCTTCCAAGGTCGTTTCGTCACGTTATAATCACGAACAAACAAATGCACTTTCTTAGCGTTCTTTTAATAGCAATAATATCCACAAGGTGTCTATTTGTTCTGAATTTATTATGTTCTGCAACATTGCAAGCTTCTTTTTCTTTCTTTCTCGTATCTCATAATGGTATCAAGGTAGAAAAGCTAACCTTGTAGTTTTCTGCCAGAGGGCTCTGCATGTACTTTCGTTTTACAGCGCGTAGCTACTTCCTTTACTCATATTTTTTTCCTGCATATAATAAAGCACAAATTAAATGTTACATTTTTGTATTTCTATTATGATAATAGCACATATTCATAGTACCGAAGTGACTATCTGAATTTTTACCTTTTATGTATGTGCCCTATAAGTTCTCATTTCTTTTCTTTCTTTTTTTTTAAAATTTATTATACATTAGCATAAAGGTAGCTTTGTTCTCTTTGTGTGTATCTTGTTGTGTTTTTTCTAAAAGTCGATATCATATGTTAAAATATGTAGAGAAAATTTGCCAACTAAATTTTCACAACTATTTTCTACTTAATGATTTGCTATCGAAGGAGTCTGTGACATGCTATATTTTTTAAAAGCAAAATTTAAAATCGGAAAAGTGGTGACGAAAGTCTGTCGTTTTTACTGAATTGTTATTTATTCTATTTTATAACCGGCCTGGAGCAACCAACCCAATTTTGAGTTTACGACTATTGAGGAATTTAATTACAGCGACCCAGGCAATTATGCCCATACGCCAAATGTGAGATGTCTCGTCGTCGACTTGAAATCTAGCTCGGCACGAGGACCAAGCAATATGCGAACACCGGGCAAGGCCCCGAGTCACGCAAGAATTCGGGGCACTATAGTCGCGATCGAGAGCAAATAAGGATGCCCGACTGGTCCAAAACCTGAAGAGCGGCAGTGCCAAACCCTCCGCAGACGGAGCCAAAGCTGGGTCGACAGCAGGATTACCGCCGCCACCCCGCGATCCATCGAGGGCCCTAGGCCTGGAAGGTCCCAAACCCTTTACTTTATTTACAAAAACACACAAAAGTATTATATCAAAATATTACAAAGCAAAAAAAAATCAAAATCGCAGCAGACTGGGAGTCGCCTGATCTGGCTTACAAGATGGCATCATTGCCCTAGCCCCAATAGTCGATGGTTTTCTTGAGTCTCTGAATTGCTCTTTTCTGCGACGTGCAGTTTCTGCTTAAGACACTATGGTCGGTTCTCAGGTTGGAGCCGTACCTTTCATTCGTCTCGTGACAATTCACGCACTTTGGTTTGCTTTTGCATGATGCCGCATGATGGCCTGCTTCGTCGCATTTTGAGCATGTTTCTGTGTGGCCGCAGTCTTTTGCCATGTGTCCGAGCCTATTGCAACTATAGCATCGGAGCGGTCTTAGGTATTCCTTGGTACGGTAGCACTTCCATCCCACATAGACTCCTTCTTTTTCGAGGGTCTCTTTAAAGCACTTTGCCTTCATTGCAATGACCCAGTGGACACCTTTCTTGGCTTTGATTGGAAATTCCACTTCAAAGTCGCCGTCATGAATGTCGTAATTATTTGCACTCAGGCATCTGGAGAGGCTTTCTTTGGTGGTCCCCTCTGGTAGCTCGAAAATTATGATTCTCGGCTTTCGCCTTTTGGGCACTTCGCAGAGCATTCGCTTGCCAAGGTCTGCTTCTATTTTCTCTTTCAAGACTACCACGTCCTGTCGGGTCTCTAATTCGACCATTAATTCGCCTTTATGCGTTATTTTGAGCTCTTTGATCTTTAGTTCAATTTCGTTGGGATCAATTTTTTCCTTCAAAGCCTCTTCCATTACCTCTGGAGTTGAGTTCTTCTTTGACTTGATCATTAAGATATACCCCTTAGCTTTTTTAGAGTGATGTGCCTCACGACCCATTCTGATTGCTTCGGTAAATGTTTTCTCCTTCTTCCTTCGATTGCTCTGCTTAATCATTTCCGTCAACGCTCTTTTGGCCTCGATTTGGACACCCTTAGTGTGCGAAAGAAGTTCGTTTTGATTTGACATGTTTTGGACAAACTCTTGAGTGACGCTCATTATTTTTAAGACTGCAGCCGCTGCGAGGGATTTCCCTTTTAATTCAGTCAGAGTCCTATTCATTTTCTGTACTAGGCATTGCGTCGTTGTCGACCACTCTTTCTGTTTTCTTCAAAAGATGACTCGAAACCCTCAGGCGGGCCAAAATCGTCTTCATCCGAGCTCTCGATCATTTCCTCAATCAATCGGCTCTATTCTTTAACTCTCGCCTTCTTGTCCACCGTCCCCTCTGTCTGCGTTAGCCGTCCAAGGGAGTTACTCCCTCGCCCCACGAAGAGGTGCAGAGCAGGAAATAATGCTGATTTGATGTTATTTGGTGGACCGTTTAAGAGTTCGACGCGGGGAACAGACTCTAGGCCTTGTTCAAGGGCGCCGGCAGAATAATATAAAAGGGGGTGCAACCCTCTAACAAACTACCCTCCCCTCCCCCCGAAAAAAAATTAAAATATTCTGCTATTACATTTTGTTTTTACATATACTTTCATCTGTTCATTTTTTCAAGATACGTTTCTTCATTGTTAGCAAGATAATTAAAAAAAAGTACGAATTTCTTGTACTTACAAATTTTGCCCAGAGGCGATCGCGCTGGCGCTGGCATAGCTACTGACTTTGAAGCACAAATAACTACAAACAGTAGTTTCGTATACTAACGTGATTGTGCACGCTTAACATTGGTATTTACTGTGTTAATGAAGTTTTACAGTTGCGAGAAGTCAGCTTGTGTTATACACCTTTGTTAAACTGAATAACTAATAGAAAATATATTATTTACATTTTATTAAATGAAATTTAAAAATATAGCTTAGATATCTGCCAAGTTTGTGAATGCTCAGTGTGCATAAGAAAAGAATCAAAGATGACTCAGAATTCATTGAAAAAGTTAAAAACAGATTTGGACAGCAGACAAGACGATTACAATTCTTGTTTGATTAAACAATATTTTAATTGTTATGTATCAATAATTATTTGTTTTTCCATAAAAATATGTTTAACAAAAAAATTTTATGGCAAAATTTTTCTGTATCTCTTTAATTGTTTAAAAAAAAAAGCCAGGGGGGTGCAAGTGCACCCCCTTGCACCCCTCTGCGGGCGCCCTTGGCCTTGTTCCACCGCGAGTATTCAAACAGAAATACTTTATTAGCTTCTTTTCGAACTCTAAGAGACGCGAGGGTTTACGATTATTAATGTTCAACTTCATATCCTTGTAATTTTGAATTGAACCCAGAAGACAAGGGAGCTACTGGAACAGGCATTGATATAAACTAGCCTTCGTAAGGGACATTTTGATGGAACTACCCGCATTTGCGTTACACTGAGAAGAAAACCACGAAATCCTCCTATTAATCCGATCCGTCTATCATTGAGGATATTTTACGTAAGCACTGTCGTCAGTTCGATCCGGGGGCAGAATTCGTATCGCTGGAATTCGAACCCGGTTTACCTAATTAGGAGGCGAACATTCTATCCCCTGAGTCACCACGGTTCTAAATCATTTTATTATAATACGTTCTTTTCCCCTTTTATAATTAATTTTTTTTATAAATACTCATTCAGGGAGCCGAAGTTACTCAGCGATGGTTGGTCGATACGAATTCTGCACCCGGCTCGCCCCCACTACATTGCTGACGTAAAATATCCTCAGTGGTTGACGAATCATGGGTTAGAGTCCATTTTACTGTAAGGCTGAACGTGGGAAGCTTTCATGGTTTTTCACCCCATGTAACGCAAATTCGGGTAAGTTCCATCTAAAAGTCCTCCACGAAGGCAAATTTCTCCCAATGCTTGATCCAGGAGCTCCCCTAGCTTTTGGATTGCGTTCAAAATTACAAGGCTATGGAGTTGAACATTAGTAGTCGTAAACCCTAAAATTAGGTCGGTTGTTCAACATGGTTATAAAATAAAATAAAAATACTCATTCAGGTATACAGTGTGTTATAAAAATATAGTCGCACCTAAAATTCTCCTATAAATTTCAAAATAATGCATATTTTTTTAAAATTTGTCTTACTGTTCGTAAAATAAACTGATAGGAGAAGATTAAAAAAAAAGAGATAACTAAATTTTTTTTTTAAATTAAAAAAAAAATGAAATTTGAAATTTATTTGCCACAAAAGTTAAGATGCAGAACCAAAAAAATGCGGATTTCTTTAAAGAAACAAATTACACTAAGTATAAAGATTTTAACACATTTAATTGTCATTAAGATTCCTTGGGATTACGCACTTCCTTCATTGCCTTCATATTGCCAAGATGAAAGTCATTTGCGCATGAAGATATTTTAAAAATTTGGAATTTAAAACATGAAAACATGTTTATTTCACTGATTTCAATTTGAAATAAATAACTCAAAACCAGATATATACAGAGTTTTAGACCAACGCGTGAATAGAATGTTACAATTAAGATGTGGTAGGCAATTAAAGACAACTAATAAGAGAAGATAGAAAAATTTAAAAACCAGCTTATCACCTCAAAATTGTTCTCAGAGAAACCATTCGTAGACGAATTCATGTGCCAAATAGCTAAGACTATACCTTAGTTTGATAAAAATAAAAATCTCTTTATTGGGAAATTAATGATCACCCTGTATATATTCTAACTTTTTCAGAATCTTCTGTCACTGAATCCAAAAGTGTACACGAAAGCGAGTGTCGTACCCAGTGCTCAAACTAAAGAAAACAAAAAACACTGGAAAAGGAATTCCGATAAGAAGTGTGGAGTAAGAATTTTATTTAAATAAATTTCATATCAGTATTTTTCCCAATTAACTTTGAGTCTTTGACTTTAAAATTTTATAATTAAGGGACTTGGAGTAGTATAATGATAAGTTACACTTTTTCCAAAGGGGATAATTTTTACATCAAATTTTTCCATAGAGTTACCAGATAGATAGGTTTTAAAATTTCCATAAATGCAAAAAAAAAAAAAAATATTACTGCTTACATGAAAATCATGGTATTTTTCACCAAAAACATTTGCAAAAAGCTTGTTCCTGAGTAATACGAAAATGTATCATTATATGGCTCCAAGTTACTCAAATCTAAAATTTTATTTTATTAATAGTATTGAATTATTGGCATGATTGAATCTGTAAACTCTGTGATAAAATTTGCAGAGTGTTAGTTTTGTGTTCAATTCCTCTTTATTTCAGAAATAAAAAATATTAATATTTTGTATAATCTTTACATCAATTGGAAACTTTGTTTCTCTATTTTTATGCATATTCGCCGAATCAGTTGATGCATTTTTCTAGACGCTGTGTCAGTTTTAGTTACCCATGTCATACGAGCTCCCCGCCATGTCTTTGAAAGTGTTGCATATTATACTTCTCCTCAGGCATCTGAAACACATTTTAGCCAAATGTATTTTCAAACTGGGAATAGATTTTAGTCACTGAGTGTCAAATCCAGGTTCCAGTGTGATTGTAATGGTGTTTCACTGAAAACATTGCAGAAGAGTGACAGTTTGAATGAGGAAGCACTTCACCTTTAGAACCGTACATAAAATTTAATACGGACTCGCCTTCTCCTAGAGATGCTGCTATCTAGTGACAATGATAAAAATAAAAGTTTTTCATTGTTCCTTTCAAGAATAAATTTTATAAACTCGCTTTTTATGCTATTCATGAGTCATTAAAATAGTTTTTACCTTTCTTCAAGGAAGAAGGGAAGAAAGGGAGCCCACTTAATAAAAATTTTCTTTTATAATGTAGTAAATCGATATCTTTGATTTCAGTGAGTTAAAACAATATGGAACAATATCAGTTACTTTTAACTATAGTAACTGATGCCGCCCTCTAGTGATGCATTAAAAAATAAATGTTCATCTTTTAATTTTATTAAAAAAAATAGAATTTATTTCGGTATTTTTAGAAAATGCAACTTTGAAAATATACATCTAAGAGTATTCAGCTCAAATATCATTTACTTATATTTCAAATGAAGAAATTAAGCAGTGCGAGTCTTTAATTGTTATGATAAGAATAGGAAAATGTCTCAAAAACTGTCATGGCACTAGTAGTAGGAGAAGACGAGAAAGCCCAGTTGTGTAGCATCACTTTTTTAAAAAAAAAACTATTTTAGCTGGAGTGGTTTATTTTTTATTATACGTCTTTGGGTGAGGGTAAGCGTCATTGTGCTCAACATTCCTCTTTTCAGGTCTTTATTTTTTTTATCAGTGTATCTCTCATGCTTGGTTCCAGTATGCATTCAGTAGTCGATATTAGTGGTTCAATTTTACAGAAAATTAACGGATTTATGTATTTTCAAAAAATAGGAGACCTTACTTTAGGAAATGCGGTTGAACATTAAAGAAATTGGTACTATTAAAGTTTATAAATAAAGGTATACATATTTTAAAGAAGGTAATACAATATTTAAAAAAGAAAAATCCTGTTCAGTCTTTTTGTTGATAGTACCGAACGCAAGCAACAAGTGAGTACAATAGAAAGAGATAAGTTTATTGAACTTAATTTTATAACAAGTTTTTTACAATATTTTTCGCCACTAACGAAATTTACAAGTTCTTTTGATAAGACATCGTGCGTAATGCAACTAACTGCATGCGCTTTCAAGACTCATTTATGAAGAATTTGGTTGCGAGTTGAAAACCCTCTAAATTCAACAATTTTATTCTGTTTACATAATACCATTTGTGCAATACGATGTAATAATATTTTCGAACAAAATTTGCCAGTTTTCTACGATAACGGAGTTGATTGTTCCTGCACAGTGGAAGAACTCAAAATTTCTTGCAGTCTATTAACTTATTCAGTTAATCTTACACATACATGCGTATACTGGGTCTTTTGTGGCCGAGCTGTTTTACCTGTCAAATGCTCTGTACTATGGAGGCGTCGGGTTCGTATCTCGTTGAATTTCTGAATGTACCGATGTAGCTTTGTAATGCCCTTCTCTAACTTGTGCTATCTGTTAATCATCGAGACAAAAAAAATTAAAACTGTTTTTTGTAACGAACACACTCAAGGAAAATTCACGCATGAATGAAAGGTAGCAAAAGAAATAAATGACTAATTTTATCTTCCTTTGTGCTTCTTCACAAATTTTTCAATAGGGTGAAGCTGGTGACTTATTCAAAGAAAGCTGGGATATTAATATTTAGTAAATATTCAGATTGCATTTTAAAAATGTAAGTTTATAGTTAAATAAACATAATTAGTAAGTTCAGAGCTAGTGCTCTTAACAAGATTCAAAATTAAAAAGAAGTGAAGAAAAATTGAAACTTAATTACATCATCAACATATATTACGTTACATTATACTATATTTCATTGAATTACATTATGCTTGCGTGTGCTCATAACTAAGTACGGTCTATAAGTCCATTTCATGTTGAAGAAAACAGCATAAGTTAGAGAAGGATATCACAACGAATCATCAAAGGTAACGGTGGGATTTAAACCCACTACATCCACGCTAGAAGGTATTTGGCTGAATGGTAAGAGTGCTCGGGTGCGGATGCAACATTCAAAATTTATAAAGCTATTTCTTAAAGCTCTTTTTAATCTTGTAAAATTCATCTATAAATACATTCAAACCTAGATAACTAAACACTTCAGAAGTCGACTCCAGTCTTAAACAGTTTTGAGGAGTCAGATTAATAATGTAACTCTTTACCATCTTCAAATATTTCAAACGTTAAATTCTTATCTCTTCTCTTTATTTTAATATGAACTTAGACTTCTTTTTCTTATGCTACACTAACTTGTTTGACATAAATAACATAATGTTGATATAATATAAGTAAAAATAACCACGTTGTTCGCGAGTTATCTACGAGTGTTCACGGGTCAAATAATCAGCTCCAGAGTGAAATTAATTTAGGTTTAGTTATCTAGGCTTATTAACACTAAAGGCCTCCTTTAATGATCTCACCGTACCATCAAACGCTGCGTAGCGTGGAGGTAGCGGGTTCGGGTAATGTCCTTCGCTAACTTATGCGATCTGTTTTCTTCAACTTGAAAAGAAACTTATAAGCTATATTTTCTAATAAGTTCACAAGCTTTCATATGTGTAACAAGAAATAAATAAAGGAAGAACCGAAGTTGTTCACATTTCAGAATATTGAAATTATTCATTTAAAATAAAAACATTAATTTTACATCGAATATAAGTTGCTCACATGTAAACTCCAGTCAAATTTGTTAGAAAAATAATAAAACTATTAACGACCTACCACGATTATGTTTTAACGAAAATTATATTTCGTGGGTTAACTTAAGCCGAGTTGAATGATTTCATACCCCTGTAAAAGTATTTCACCGCATTGACACTCATTCTGCAAGTAAAGAAATCTACAGGAGGTTTGCGTGAATCCAAAATTCTTCAGTCGAAAGAAGCGGGCGCTTGCGTTCAATTGCATTACAGAGCAAAAAATTTGTAATGAATAACGGAAACTGTTGTGCAATGTATTATAAAATAATAGTGTTACAGTTTAATGTATTTATAAAAAGAGCGATTGAGAAATAAAATGAGAAATAAAAACAGTAGCTAATTTTTAAGGTTTTATATTATAATTAATTCTGTGAAGTGTGGGATAAAAATCCAAACTCATGGTTTGATAAAAATATTTAAAAATATCATAAAACGACATGTTTGATAAAAATAAGTACCCTTGATATAAAAAACAAACAAACAAAAAAACCAGCCTTTTGTAGTCCGTGAAATTACATAAAAGTCTTATTAACATCTAACAACTATAACTTGTTTTATTTGTTCTGGTATTGATTTACGGTTTTGTAATTATTGAGACACTATAATGCAAATTTAGTATGATAATAACTAATAATAAGACGTAATATACGTGCAGTTTGCTTCACAAACTATGTTGGAACTAATTTCCCCGAATTTTATTGTAATGCCCAAAAGATACCGATAGTTATGAACAGAAAGTTTATTATATTCAAATATTTCTTTAAAAAAATTGAACAATTTTATTTTTTATTGGTTTTTTCATTTTTAGACATGCAGGCCATTGAAGAGTGATTTTGATGACATAAAACATACTACATTGAGTGAACGAGCAGCTTTAAGAGAAGCAGCTAGGTATAAAATATTTTTTATGTCAAATGAAAGTTTCAAGTTTTGTTAGATTCTTTTTCTTGTATTTTTTCTATCATTTATTAGAGCTTAGGGAAGATACTTTGAAATTATTATTTGCTTAAGTTTTAAAGTAAAGTACTTCTTACTTTTCTGCCAGAATGATTTTTTCAGTGTTATTATGTTAACTCCTTGGTTATAAAATTAAAAGAAAATATCTCTAAAAATATTTTAGTTTAATTTTTTGACATACAATATGGGTTTTTATAACTTCTGGGGAAATAAGCTTTACATAAAATGTATTGTTCGATTTTGGTCATTATTTATATATATTGGTTAACTTTGATGTACCTTTTCTAAGAAACAAAGTGGTCTGGGTCTAAACTAACAGAATCACTAGTAAATCAATTAAAAATGTGATATAGTACCATTAGAAAATAGAAAAGACAAATAAAAAACATATTCATTTATTGAGCCGCATTTAAAATACATCTGCAACCAATTTTTCAAACCAAACCCAGTCTCGTTCTGTTCTAAAATAAAGTGAAAAAATTCATACTCGACATTTGTTCAAAACTTCGACGATCATTGTTCAAAAGTACTAATATTCGGGTTTAACCACACTTCCCTGGAAGCCCCTTGTCAAAGAAGAGTCTGGATCTAAACTATCAGAATTACAGAATTAATGAAAAATGCTGCTAATTAATCAGTGCAGATGATATTTTAAATTACGAAAGACACAAAAAACGTACTTACTCCGAATAAACATACCTTTTTTTCTACGGATTTGGGTTTTTGCCCCACAAAATGGTGGATAGCTGCATTCTAGAAAATATGGTCCTAATAGTTAAATCAGGAGAACAGTTAAAAATTTAGACCCCTAATATTTTTGTGCCTGATTTCATAACTCAAAATTTCATCTGCACTAAATAAGCAGCACATTTAAGGTTTGGTTTTTCGAAAAATTAGATTGCCCTCGTACGTGATAATCCTATCATTCGATCAAACATTATGATTTTTTTATCGTATTACATGTCACTTCAGATCAGAAAAATCTATTCCTATTTAAAGTTTAATCTCGCATTAAAAGTTTCATTTTAAAAACTTTCTTGTCAATAATAATAATATATNCCTTGTCAAAAAGGTTGCCCAACTCAAATTGACATCAAAGCATTTATCACTTGCATAGCTTCCAAGGTAATTATAATCGTATACATCAATTGTTCTTACATTTTTTGTTTAAAAATATTAATAATAATTCATTAATACAATATCTTGAAATGAATGAATTATTTCAATCAATTATTTTTAAGGAATTATGAATGGTTAAGCGCATGAAGTAAAGCACAGCAAATTTTAGAAGCGAAATAAATAAGGTTCCGTTTATTATTGCTGATGAATTTTTACACCAAAACATATAGAGTTTACGCCAACGTTAAAATTTTCAAGAATTTTTTTTATTGCCTGCAGATTTATTCATTTTTAGATGGTTGTTTTTCTGAATTTTCGATATTTAGAATGATGGTTAAAGTAAAACAATGTAAAATAAAGCAGAAATACAGGTACAAAAATGGACATACTATCTAGATATTTGTTTATAAAATCAAAACTATATTCGTGTCCTTTATTTGTGCTTTATTTAACGCTGCTTTATTTTATTCATACGTAGCACTTTAGCACACTTTATCCTCATTTGGATTAAGTTGGAATAAATAAATAGCCAAAAATAACACTTAAAATATAGCTTACTCCTTCATTTTATTTTTTTGATTGCTTGGAATATTTTTCACTCCTATTCAAACCTTGTAATTCGAAGCTTAGAAAAATATTATGAAAGGGGATATTGAATGAAAACTCAAAACTAGTTTTATTAATTGAAATTTCTAGAATATCGAACCTGTTTACATTACATCTCGTAAACATATAACATCGGCATGGGTATACACCGGGAGTTGTCTGCTTTAAGTTCGTTCTTGTTTACTTTCTTTAATCATTCATTTAACACAAACAACGTGACATTAGTTGAATAGGAATGTTTTTAACTAATACAATATCTCAACTTACTGACTTTTCCAATGATCCGCATATTTTGGTGACTGGTTGAATGGCTAAAATCAAGTTTGTCATGTGCTCCACAAACAAATGTTTTTTTATAAACTTACCATTGGGTATGACAAGTTGTTTGTGTCGTAAACCAAGAGGTTTTTTCCTCCATAAATTCCTAATACTATACATAGTAATTGGGGAAACTAAATTACACTGACGATTTTCAAATATTTATAACAGGAAAACAGTTAAAGTTGAAAATCAATCAGATTAATGTGGTGAGGCAGAAATTTTATTCTCCGAGTTTTTGATTTTAGTTCAACAAGTTTTTGACGGCTTACGCTTTCACTGTTGATTTCCATACCCCCTGAAGCTGTGGTGACTCAGCGGATAGAGCGTCAGCCTTCCAATGAGGTGTATCGTGCTCGAATCCCAGCATGATGGTCGATACGCATTCCGCACCCGGCTCGCACCGACCAGAGTGCTGAAGTGAAATATCCCCAGTAGTAGACGGATCATGGGTTAGTCCCTTTGCCGTCAGGCTAGCCATGCGAGGTTTTCCTCACCATGCAACGCAAATGCGAGTTAGTTGTATTAAAAAATCCTCCACGAAGGCAAATTTCATTGACAAAAGATTTCGAAATATTTTGATGTAATTTTTAATTATTTGTCTTTGATTTGCTGGTTTTACTAAATACAAAACCACCTGCTGGAAAATTTTGAACTAAAATTAAAATTCATTAATGAAATTTATGGCCAGTCACATGAATTTGCTGCATCATTTTTTTAAAAAACTTAACCATTTTCATTCTATAAATTTTTGAAAACCAAATTTAGGAATACCTTGTATAATACTTTTCTAGAATTATTATGGTGCAGCTAAACTTATTCTTTCTGATAATCCCGTTGGGTTGTCATGTGGAATGGTGTGCCCAACAAGTGATCTTTGTGTCGGAGGATGCAATTTATATGCCTCAGAAGAAGGACCCATTAACATCGGTGGACTCCAACAATTTGCTGTTGAAGTAAGTAACGCACATCATTAATTATTGTCATTTTAAGGCACTATGAAGTGTCGAAAACTCAAAATCTGTAGAAAGCAGGGTTTAAAACAGTTGGTGGGAAGAAACCAATCAAGATAAATATGGCAACCTTATTGGCCATCAAATTTTCAGTGCTTCTTACGACGATTTTGAAATTAACCTGACAATGAGATGGTCTTATCATGAAAAATAATATTAAAATAAATAAACAAATAAAAAAAAAACGTCGATTGACCTGCATTTTTTTTCCTAGGGTTTTTCCCCCGTAAAAATGTTTTATTTTGATGAAATATTCTTAGAAGTTTTAAAGTAGGAAATGGAAAAAAGGTTTTTTAGAAGAATCTTTTTTTAAAAAAAAAATCAGATTAAATTTTTCTTGGACTTATAATTAATATTTGAGACCTTTCTGAAATGATGACCTCTACCAGCCCTATTGAGCCAATTTGATATTTAGACTTTGCTCGTGAATAATAGGACTACAACTCCCTTCCATAATGCCACCTACTTTATCTCATCTTTAACTTGAAATAACCAGTTTGATTCAGTATAATTGGATACCTGCAAGCGATGTCATTGTGGGTAAATTGTGTCATTCGTGTATGGCATGATTCAAAAGCCAATCAGGATCAATATACACGAGTGACGTCGCTTACAGGCATCCAATTAAGCCTGATCCGGAAACTAATTAAGCGTTATAATAAACCAAGCTTAATTGCTGTAACGTTAACCAGTCGAGCACAACCACGTGATTAGGCAACGATATCATTTAAATTATACGGTTGGGTATAATAATGCATTATTCTTCTCGAGTTGCAAGAACCCAATTGTCAACTTGGAAATTATAAAAGATAAAAATATGAATTTGTTGTTTTTAATAAAGTACGAAGCTTGATTTAAATTATTATTAAACTGATCAATGCTGAAACTTAAAAATAAGCATATTAATTTAATCTATTTATGGGGATATGGTGAATAGTTTGATATTTGTATTGCCTTTTTGAGACTTAAAGAATATTTCACTTAATTAAATGTCAATTATTATTTAAACACTTGTTTCTAAAAAATAATTTTAAAAAAACACGATTTTTTGAAATTTCAAAAAGTATCTAAAGTGAATGTTTAGACATTAGCTAAAACATTAAGAATAAAAGCTATGCTTATGATCAAAAGTAAGAAAATGGTTAATTGCCTTTTTAACATTTAATGAAACTTATTGTACTTATAAGTAATTTCAAGCATTATCAATATCCACAAGGATTGCCTATAGTAAAATTACTTTTATCTTATTAATAATTATCGAACAAAAATGGTACTTAATTTTATGTAAAGAAATGTAAACTATTTATTTATTATTTTACTCACTTGAATTTTATAACTTTAAATCAGTATACACTTTTGTATACTTTGTAACTGTTAAGCAATAAAATATTTCATTTTAATAAAAGTAGATTTAATGTAATTTTAGACATTTATGGAAATGAAGATACCACAGATAAAAGATCCAAATCTGTTTCCAGATCAGAAAGTTCCAGGTAGTTACAGGTCTAAAATAGCAATCATTGGTTGCGGACCATCAGGAATAAGTTGTGCTACATTTTTAGGTCGTTTAGGTTATACAGATATAACAGTATTTGAAAAGGAAGATTATATTGGAGGATTAAGGTAATATTTCGTACTATTATCTTAAAGTATAATACAATCAATTTATTTTTTGGACAAATATATTTATCAAAAAAAATATTACTTTTTGGTTTCTAGCTCCTCTGAAATACCACAGTATAGATTACCACAACATGTTGTAAAGTTTGAAGTTGAGATGATGAAAGATTTAGGAGTAAATGTAAGACAATGCTTTATTGCTTAAATAGATACTGTATTGCTTAAATAGATACTATTAGAAAATAATTGTTAAAGTTTACGATCATTTGAATATTTTTAATGTGTTTTAACCCAATTCTATGTTTAAAAAAGGATTTTGTTATTCTAGATACAATGCAATAAAGCGTTTGGAAAAGATCTTACATTGAAATCGTTGCAAGAAGAAAAGTATAAAGCAATATTTATTGGAATTGGTAACTATCTTTTCACGAAAAACCTATAAAAGTTTAAATATTTTAAATGAAAATGAAAGTAAATAAAATTTTTATTTAACAAATCTATATTTATTTGATATTCAAAAAAGTTCAGTTCTTGGAGTTTTTTTTATTTTATTTTATATCCGTCGTTGAACATCCGACCTAATTTTTGGGTTTACGACTACTAATATTCAACTCCGTAGCCTTGTAATTTTGAACCAATCCAGAAGACAAGGAAACTCCTGGATCAGAATCCCCAGATGTATTGATTTGTTATGGGAACATGGAGGACTTTGAGACTCGACAGATTTAACGTGTATCAGTCACCATTTACTACACGGGGAGTCTTCGGTCGGCGGGAATAGAGCCCACGACCTCTTGGACAGGGTCCCAGTGCCCTACCAACCAGACTATCCCGGACCCATGTCCTTCCAACACCCAATACTCATTAACGTTTGGAAATGCATCCCCCTGAAATGCTTGTGGGGACATGGAGGACAGCTCTTAGAGTTTGGGGAACTGTAGCTATTGAACAGTTTGAATTTACATACAGAGAATTGTAAAACTATCATGGCCGAAATATGCTTGACCCAAAGGGCTGCACCAGAAGCATCAGCACTAGTGAATACAAAAGAAACTGATCCTTCTTTTAGACAATGCCGAACTTCATACACAACTCACGTGGTCTGAAAATTTTAACATTTTCTCTTTGCTTCTCTATCATCCACCTATCTGTCCATCACTCGTTTTTTGCTATGGATAACCTATATGCATTAACATTGCAAAATTTCATTAAAAAATATACGTGAACATTGTATTTTGCTATGGATAACCTATGGATAATTTTTAAAATTTAGAATCGAGAACTTTACAATGTTTGGATTTAAAAGCTTATAATTCGTTTGGAATATGTAATAAATTTAAAAGTTGTTGAAGCAGATTTTAAGAAATAGATTTGAATGAAATAAATGAAACTGAATGGTCAATAAATGAGCACTGAAAAATATGGAGCGAACTTCTCTGGATGCCCGATTACGTATAATAACAAGCAATATTCCTATAGAGATTGTAGATTGAGATTAAATGTATTCTATGTATCATACAAACAATAATTATCATGTTTACTTACAGGTTTACCAGAACCCAAAATAATTCCGATTTTCGAAAATCTAAAACCTGAAAACGGATTTTACACATCAAAGAACTTTCTTCCCGCCGTAGCAAAAGCAAGCAAACCAGGTAGGAAAAACTCCATGTTTTTTAAAAAAAATATATAGTAAACAGTTTTAAACTACGTAAGTCGTACCAGATTCTAACATGTTTAGAGTTTCCTTGAAAAAAACACAGACGGGACACAGGTGTCCCTTATATATATATTTCTTTTCTGACACTCTAATTACAAGCAAAAATATATTTTGTTATTTTTTAATTAAGAAATACAGTTTAATAGCTACTAAAAACATCTGTTAAATATTGGAATTATATTTGTACTTAAATATAAAATCCAAAAAAGGAGTTTGAAATTTTTTCTCCATTCATATTCACAAATGTATCAATAATTGATTTTGTAAATTAGAGAAAATTCTACAATGAATAACTGGTTCTTTTAGATTTAAATAACAGCAAATAAGAGCAAATTTGAAAAATTAATGCTTATAACTAAGCTGTGTTTGTAAGATTTTACCTTTAACGCAGAAGAAGACATTAGTGTTTCTTGCTGTATTTCACAATCATAAACTATTAAAATACTAAATATAATATTTTTTAACTTATTTTAATATAAATTAATACAAAATAATGAAAAAATACGTTAAATAAAAATTTTGCGACAAAGGGTTAGAACAGTTTAATACAACAAAATTATAAACATTAAATAACTTTAAAACAAGATTGAACGTTAAATGCGCTCAATAATTTTGAATAATCCCTCGATTGAATGAGTGTTTAGAGAAAAAAATATTATTTTTTTAAACAATATATATGGAATATCATCCTCTTTAAAATACTCATTCATTTCTAGTGCAATGCAATAATTTTTGTACAGGAAGCTTTTTGCACTTTTTAAATAAATTACATAATTTTTTTGTTATTATTTTAACCCAAATTTTGTATGGCATTTAATAGTTTTAAGAATCAACACACTATCAATATTTTTAATTATTATCATGAAGAATTTATGAAACTTTAAGTTATATGACTTAACATGTCTTATACTTTTACAGGTATGTGTGCATGTAAACAGCAACTACCCCAGATCTATGGCAATGTCATTGTTTTAGGAGCAGGTGACACTGCTTTTGATTGTGCAACATCAGCTATTAGATGTGGTGCTAGAAAAGTTTTTGTTGTGTTTAGAAGAGGTTGTACAAACATAAGAGCAGTGCCAGAAGAAGTAATTATTATATTGCTATAATTTATATTATAGTTGAATTTACTTTCTGAGCTAAATTTTTTTTTTTACTCGTATCAACGAATATGCTGATTATGAATAGTCTAACTCATCAATCTAAGCGGATAGAAGAACATGCAACTACAACTCGATTGTCGGTTTCCTTATTATTTCAAATATTTTAGAAAGATTCCATTCGGCCTATATTGTTTTTCACCGATAATGGCTATTCTATAAGGAAAAAATTGTTAGTTTGTGGTTTTATATAGTTTTGAAAAATTTTTTGTGAATTTTTTATTTATTTTTAGTGTTCATCAAAGTTCAATTCGTTTCATCAAAGAAGGAGAGTGCTAAACAAAAGCAGAGCTCAAGATGGCCGGTGGCTCTGCTTTTATTATTACATAATTATTTCAAGATATATTACAAAATATTATATTATTACAAAATTTGATTCATAATAATAATATATTTTCATTTCTGTCTTTCTTTTCTAATACCAAAGGCAAACGATAACTTTTTACAGTTCGTCGGTTTTGAGAGCTGGTTTTAACTCTCTATTGCTACATACAAGCAATCAACCAGCATACGACAGTTCTGAGCCAGTTCGACATTAAATAAGTTTCTGAATATAATTGAAGTACATTAAAATGAAGTCAAAAGCAAAATATTGCAGAGAAGCATACAAACGATGGAGAATTTTGAATAACTGCTAAAGCAGTCTATTGAGTCTACAATAGTTTTATTTCCAACACAAACTCTCCGAAGACGAACATGAAAAAATAATATGCTTTTACTCGCATAAAAATTTGGGTACTTCGGTGATAAGAGAGCTTTATTTTTTTGCCCAATCAATAGTAGGTATTTCATGGTTCCTTCTAAAAAATTTTTCTAATTTTCTTAAATGTGGTATATTTTTCCACATTGTCATTCTTCTCATAGTTTCATTTTATTGAAAGTGCAATGACAGCTTAGTGTTTTTAACCAAGTGATTCACAATATTTAGAAAATAAATTAATTCCATAAGTTTGTAAGCAACTGCGAGACGTTCTTAAACCTGGAAAACTCGAGTAATTTCAAATTATTACTTGGCATGTTCTTTTTAATCTCTTCAAAAGTAGATTTGATTAAAAGCTGAAGTCATATTTTTCACTTTTTATGTCAGCCTTTTTTTAAATACATATTTTATCGAAATTAAAAGAACTATACGAAATTCCAAGTATTTTTATGTGATATTGTATTTTATACGACAACACTTATTTCAATGTTCCAAATTGAATTTTCTCTTTGCAATAAACAGGTAGAACTAGCAAGGGAGGAGAAATGTGAATTCATTCCATTTTTATCTCCCAGAAAAGTAAATGTTGAAAACGGGAGAATAATTTCCATGGAGTTCATCCGAACCGAAGAGGATGAGAATGGGAAATGGATTTCTGACGAGGATCAAAAAGTTATTCTCAAAGCTAACTTTGTCATTTCCGCTTTTGGTTCCTCTCTCACTGACGAAAAAGGTAAATGAATAACAACAATTACTATTCCACTCTTCTTTTTACGCGAGTCCTGCGTTCTTGAGTTGCATTACGAATCTCTCATAGAATTAAACTGTTACACTATTCGTGGTATTATTTACAACAGAATATCGATACAGTGACACATTTTTTAAGTATACTTTAGTTCACTATCTGTGGTATTATTTAGAACAAAATATTGATACACTGACAAATTTTTTAAGTATACTTTAGTTCAGCGGTTCTAAATTTTGTCTTGCTGCGGAACCCTAAATGAACGACCTTTTTTTGTGGAATCCCCAAATGAATTATAACAATTACAATTCCACTTTTCCTTTTACACAATTTTTGCGTTCTTGAGCTGCATTACGAATCTCTCATAGAATTTAATTGTTACACTATTCGTGGTAATATTTAGAACAGAATATCGATAGAATGACAGATTTTTTAAGTATACTTTACTTCAGCGGTTCCCAATTTTTTCATTTAGGGTTCTTAAATGAACGACCTTCCTTTTGAGGAACCCCCAAATGAGTTACAACAATTACAATTACACTCTTCTTATTACACGAGTTTTCCGTTCTTGAGATGCATTACGAATCTCTCATAGAATTAAATTGTTACTCTATTCGTGGTAGAACAGATATCGATACAGTGAAACATTTTTTAAGTATACTTTAGTTCGGTGGCTCCCAATTTTTTCCTGCTACAGAACCCTAAATGAACGACTTTCTTTTCGTGGTACTCCCAAGTTGGCAAATAAAATTTATTAGGAATTGTAAATATTTTAACCAAAGAAACACTTCTAATCATCATACAAATATTTAATATGAGAAATTTAAAGAATTTCTTCATCGTTTTATCAATAATAGTCTTAAAATTAAATGTTATGTCAGAAGTTTAATTCGCGGATCTAAATTTGTTTTTGGTATATAAATTAGCTGAAAATAAATAAGATGATTTATGGTTTTCGTTGATATAAAAACAAAAAAGAATGGTTATCAAGGAAGCATATTTCATTTTGAAATTGGGTATTTTTTTAGAATTAAAAAGTTTGTTAAAAAATTCTAGAGCAATTACTTTTTTTTAATAATACCATCTTTTTAACGAGCATTTTGCTTTAATTATTTCTTAAAAATGAATAAAATAGTAAAGAAATAATGATTGGATATAAATATAACTACAGGATTCAAAAATCATTACTAATTTTTTTTATTTAAAAAAAGTCCTAACTATCGAGATACTGCTGATTCACACATTGAACTCTAGTGTTCCACGGAGCACCATTTAGGATATGCTGCTCTGATTGATTAAGAAATAGTCTAGAGCTGTTTACAATACTTTATAGGTACCCCACTAAGTTTAGACAAAATTAGATAACTTAGAGTTTCAAATTGTTTATACAGTTTAAGTTAAAGATAAAAATTTTACCAAATTAATAAAAATAATGAGGTACTTTATTTGCATCAAACTAGAGCTCCAGAATGGGGTATTGGCGACGGTCTGGGAAACATCCCTGAGAATGATTTGAAGTTATGCCATTGCAATTGCTATCTTCTGCAGAGGGGGTGGCTCCCCAGCTTTGGTAGCCCGACGACCTGCAAGCGAAGTCGAGCACTTTACGGTAGAACAGTTTATTGATAATCAATTCTGCCCTCGGTGCGGATCGCGCGGGCTGCTCGAGGGCCAGCGCTAAGCAAAAAATAATAAAATGAATTATGATCAATATAGCTTGGAAGTTTAATTTTATCCGTTTCAGTTGTTTTCCGGGACATCCGCAAGCTACAGTTATAATATTAAAATACTGTATAATTTATAGGGCTCAACTAATAACTGAACAAATGAGACATTTTCCAAATTAAAACTAATCTCCATATTTTAAAAATCTAGAGTATGAATACTTCTAGAAAAATAACACAATACTTTACAGACATTAAATAGTTAAAATTGTATCAAAACACATGAAAATCCGAATTCGATCATTAGTTCAGAAGCAATTCAAAACTAAATTCAAGGCAACGACTATTATTATTTCTAAAACAAAAAATGTCTCTTAAAGCTCACAAATCTGAGAAAATTATGGGTATGAGGTGTATATTTCATCTGATTAAATTACTTAATTTATATTAATCAGCTTTTACAATTTTTTTTTTAATATGGAAATACGAAACAAAAATAAAATTAGCTTTGAAATTATTGTTCTTTCTTTTTCAGTAAAAAACGCTTTATCACCTCTGAAGTTAACAACTGGGGGAGTTCCAGAAGTTAATTTTCAAACGATGCAAACTTCAGATCCAGGAATATTTTGCGGTGGAGATTTGGCTGGAATATCGGAAACAACTGTCGAAGCAACTAATGATGGGAAAACCGCTGCTTGGTATATGCACACTTATTTGCAGGTTAGTACTCGAGAAAAAAAAACAACTTCGGTCTTTTAATAATATTTTAAATAAATTTTTAAAGTTTTTTAAATTTTTTTTTAGTAATATTATCTTATTACCTGAGAAGAATTTAAGTGCCATCTGGTTTTTATCTGACATTTCATCATATTTTTAAGAGCAGTCGGAGATTTTGTACTATTTTTACATCGACATTTATAAGACCGTAAGCTTAAAGTTTGTAAAATTTTCCGGTAATTTTCAATTTTTCTGAAAGAGATCTGGTGGCTCAGGGAATAGAGCACTCCCTCTCAATGAGTTGACCCAAGTTCAAATCCCAGCGAATCGATGTGAATTCTATAACTGGTTTGCACCGATCACAGTGTTGACATGAAATATTCCCAGCGGTAGACGGATCACTATTTAGAGTCCCCTTTATGAAAGGCAAACCGTGGAAAATTTTCGTGGTTGTCCTCATCATGTAACGTAAATGCTGGTTAGTTCCCTTCAAAAGTTTTCCACGAAGGCTTGTTTCTCCCAATGCTTGATCCATTCCCTTGTATTCTGGGTTGGATTAAAAATTACAAGGCTATGGATTTCACATCGATAGTTGTAAATTCAGAATTAGTTAGGTTGTTCATCACCAGTTATAAAATAAAAAACAAGATTTTTCTGAACATTTTTAGCAACATTTTTTGAAAAATTTATTAATTTACTATTTTTTTCTGAAAAGGAAAAATAAAAGGAACAACATCGAAACAAAACTGCATTTATGTGAATTACATATTTGACACAAGATGATATAAAGCATTGCAACGAATGAACAATTCAACTCATCTTGCGTACTACTAAACTGAACCAACCAATTGTCATTCTTCATAGATTAGCTGAAGAAACAACGATAAGTTCATTGAAAAAACGAACAGATAAATCAAATTGAGCAGATATAGTTTTTTTTAAATTCCAAATGCACAATAATTGGTATTTACAGATTAGTACGATAGACGATACGGTGCATAGCACTTCCTGTAAGTGATATTTAAACAATTAACTAGAAAATTACTGCCTCATTCACAGGATACATTTCAAAACGAATTTGTTAGAGACCCTGCAATCATTTTATATAAGTTTATTCTGCTGAAATTATTTGGTTGACTTCATGAACTTAAATTACTGCAGATAATCTCTTACAAATGCATGGAATAAAAGCATTAATACACTGCTTGACAATTGCTAAGGAACAACTCATTTATGCAAAGTAGTGTTCTTGACAGTCGACCACAACAGTAAAACTAAGTATAGAGGGCATGGTAGAGCAGTACCTGTAAGTATAAAAGTCAGTACACACAATCTCTTCATTCATTCGAAAATTTCATAATGTTAGGTATTTGACTAAAAGAGCACCATAGGTTTTTCAAAACTTATTTCTGTGAAATTCAGTGTGGTGTTGCAGTGATTAAGTACAAAATGTTAGCTAAATATCATATGAATTCTTACGATCGTGGCCGAGCAGTTAGACGACTATAAGCTAGCTGGTCAAAATGTCATCATTGAGTCCGCAGTATCAGGAGTGTAAAAAAGTGTCATCTCGCCATCAAAAAAGACCGCTGTGGGTGGAGATCCGCTGTGGGTCATTGTAGGAACACCACACCTCAAAAGTAACTGTATGTATCCCCAGCAGCGAAAAGGAGCAAAAATGTCACCCTTAGGCAGATAGCTGCAGACCTTGCAACCACTATACCGATTGTTTCTCCCAGTACTATGTCACGGCGATAAAATCAAGTTGGTTTGCATGCACGTAACGTTCGATACATCCCTCTCTAACTACGCCATCGTAGAGAAAGATCAAGTTGGTGAAAGGAACGTATTAGTTTAGTAACCAGTAAAGGTCCAAAGTGATATTCTCTGACCAATTCCCTATGAAAAGTGATTCTGGCTACCAGTTAGTGTAAAGAGAGAGAGAGAACATGTTGTGCACAACAATAGGTTCATGAACGTGATTGGTATGACCCAGACGCGCCCTTATGAGCAGGCATCAAGCTCAATGGCTGAATACAGCTTCACATCTTTGAGCGAGATAACGTTACATCGCGGCGGTATTGCAGAGATTATTCTGGATCATGTTCGTTTTTTAGGGAAGTGGTAGGTCCAGATTTTCTGGTTAAGGTCGACAACACAGGTGCGCTGAGGCATCTGACACACTAGTAAAGATATTGATTATATGCAATGGCCTATGTACTCCTCGGACCTAAATCCTACAGAATATGCCTAGGTTGCCCTTGGCAGACGTGTTTCACAGAGAACGCACCCTTTCCAAACCATGCAAGAGCTGAAAACCACCGTGAGAGAGGAGTGGGACAATATCCCACTAGGAATCTTCGATAGTTTAGTGGACAGCAGAAATAAAAGATGCAACTTGTGAATTAGTGTCCGAGGTAATCACACATCTTATTGAGAAACTCATTTCTGTTTCATTCTGGCAAGAAGACCCATTTATCATTGATTCTATTAAACTTCTTTCAAGCATAACTTCTATTATTAATTATTCCGAAAAATATAACTGTTCCTTAGCAATTGTCTAGCAGTGTAGATATTATGAAATACATTTTGAATTTGATCAATAATTCACTGATACAATTAAAAAAAATCTCACTTGTGCACACTTTTACAATCCAACGACCACGAACATTACTAAATTTAAACCACTAAGTAGATAATATTGAATTTATAAACAATTCTCCTTAGGACCGTGATGACAAATACGTGACCATGCGATTCTTTCTCCACGACCCACGATATCATATCTAAAGCAAGCCTTTCTGATTCCAGCTGCCCAAGAACTCGTTGATATGTGTACGCTCGGAATATACGAGCTTGGTGAAGCGCTTCTTTCTTATTCTACCGGTACTGAAAGGGTTAAATCTTTTGTAGCGCTTATTTTACAAATAACTTCTGAGTTTCGTCGTCCTGTGAATGTGATATGTCTAAATAAATTCGTAAGTAATCATTTATAGGATGCTTATTACAATAATATTTTGGTAATACCTTGAATTAAAACAAAAGTTTAAAAACTAATTCACGAAAAAAGGTTTTTACTAACTTTGATAACTAAATTTACTCCAGTCTTAAGTATTGTAATAAACGTTTGAAATTTTCTACTTAAATGTGTATTATTATTAAATTTCTATTTAAAAAATTAAATTTTTATCATTTTTTAGGCATTAAATGATGTTCAGATCTATGGAAAACCATCGTTGCCACCTTTTATGACCCCAATCGATTTAGTGGATTTAAGTGTGGAACTGCGTGGTTTGAAGTTTAAAAATCCATTTGGTCTTGCAAGTGCCCCTCCCACAACCAGCAGTCCCATGATTAGACGAGCTTTTGAATCAGGATGGGCTTTTGCCCTAACGAAGACTTTCTCTTTGGAAAAAGTAAATGATTACATTACATAAAAGTTGCAATCACAACAAATATATTATAAGGGAGTGTTTTTCAACATCAAGAATTAAGAAAATTATAAAATTTACTAAGAATGGTGAACAACAACAACAATAAATAAAAAAATAAAAACAATAAAAAATGGCCCGTTTTAGCAATTCGTTTTGTGGTGTTGAATTCAATGCACTTAAATATTCATCTGAATATACTTAGAAATATTTTGTTTAAATTAATATCCAAGGATCAATTTGAGTTTACAGAAAGGAACTCATTACCCTATACTTTTCAATTAAATAATAATTCTTAAGATGCTCTAATATTTTTTTTAAATTCTAATAATTACACTTCTTGTATTGTGATGTAAAAATCGTACACAAATTGTGTAATTTTTTTAAAATTTTTGATTGTTGATGTTATTCCCCGGGCATTGCAGGTCAGGACTAAAGAGAATAGAAGGGCTGGTTCATTCCTTTGAAGTAGCTCTCGCCGTGCCAATCCTCCGATTTTCTCTAGTGACGTCACTTTGGCGTCACTAGAACGTTTGCATCAAGAACGGAGCGTTCGGCCTTGCTAGCTCTAACTAATATTGGAGCATTTTTTTTTTGTGACATATTCTAAGACTGTTATTTTCTATGACTTTCCTCAGTTTTTGCAGTGAATTTACAAAAATTTAAAACTATTATCGAAATGCCAGTTTGCACTATTGCAACTTGCGAAAATTCTGATAAAAAAACAAAAGGAAAAACGTGTTCCCTAAAGTAAATGAACAACTATGTAAAGAATGGATTCCGAAATGACACAGTTAATATAAAACAGCAATACGTTTATTCTATCGTTAAGAACTTTTATAAAAATTCATTATCTAAATAGAAACCGCCTCGTTATTTCAAAAAGAAATGCAGATGAAAAAAATTAAAAAATAGATAAAGTCAAAGAAAATTAAAATGTAAATAAAAAGTATAAATAAAATATATAGTATATAGTTGAAATTCTCCTAATTTCATAACATATTTTTTAATGTAGTTATTCTAAATATTTATGATTTTTTTTAAAAATTATATTCTCTTCAATTTAAATATCTATAAATTATATCATCGTAAATTTAAATGTCTATAAACAATTGTAAAATTTCTAATGTCATTATGAACCTAAATTATTATTTTGTTTCAGTAATTAGCGTTTAAGGTTGATGTTTCCTAATGATTAAGTATGAACAAATTGCTATTAACGACATATTTTAAAATCAGGGATTCTAAATTTAACTTAACTTATCTTTATAAAAGAATATGTAGATAAAAAAAGTGTCGATATATGCCTTCATTTTTCTTAATAGTTAAAGTTAAAACTGAACTTTTTAAAATAAAGTATTTATCGTGTCATTTTCACCAACTAGCAAAACATTTTTATAAGTTTAAAATGGTATTTTTTTAATATAATAACCAAGAAAGTTTTTTTTGAACTATGTTTATGAACGGAAATAATGTGTTAATTACGTAAAGTTTGAAGGCTAATAACCAGAAAAAGTCTAACTTATTTTTACAAGAGAAAGATGCAAAGTTATCATATCTTTGCTTGCGATCTCCGAGATCTGTAGACACAGTGACGTCATGAGGAGGGAAATCGTAGCTTCAGCTCTAAGAGCGTAGTGAACTAGCCCTTCTATTCTCTTTAGCCCTGATTGCAGGTAGGCTAGGGTAAGAATGAACTAAGCAAAACAAATATATAAATCTCCGATGAGTTCTCTAGTCAGGATTTTGGTGCCTATTATCTTGATAGTTCTAATCCACCCTTATTTCTCACTCTCCTATATTAATAAAAATTATATCTGATATAAATGCTTTCACACGGGATAACAACAGTACATCCGGTCTTACTCTTAACTATACTTGTTTGATTGCAAGATATAAATATTGTGAATTGCTTCCTAATTCAGATATTTTTCGCTTTTGTACCTTGATCTTTATTAGATTCTATGTATTAATTTATTTTAGGACATTGTAACGAATGTATCACCTCGTATTGTGCGTGGTACCACTTCTGGACACATTTATGGCCCTGGACAAGGTTCATTTTTAAACATAGAGCTTATCAGCGAGAAGACTACAAGCTACTGGTTACAAAGCATCGTTGAATTAAAGAAGGATTTTCCAGACCACGTAAGACTTCTTAGACTAGTAAAATTTATAAGTAATATTTTTGTTAAATGAAAATTCTTGTTTTTATATTTTAATTTTTTTTATACCTATAAATATCTCAAAAAAATAATTCGCTTGTTTGTAAACCAAGGATATTATTTTGTGGTTTGAATAATCAAGATCAGTATTATCCTTCTTTATCACTCTGCATTTTATTACAACAATATTATCAAGATAACTCAGATTTTTCATACAATATCTTTATTAGAAAGAAAATATTTTAAAAAGAAAATTGGCATTAATTAAGATTGAACAGTGAAAAAACAGTACCAGCAGAAATTATTACATTATGTTTTTCTAGAAAAAAAAATTTTTTTTTTTTTGAAAAAAACTTTAATTTTAAAAGTATATATTGTAATATTTATAAGTTTATTTAATGACGGTTACATTAGCAGAAATTGACTTGAATCCTTCCCAATCAAGTTAAATTACTTTTCACTTGTATCTTTTTTAAAACATAAATGGCATGTTCCTGCACAGAAGTGCAAATAAAACTGTCGTAAAGTAGCATAAAACTTTTAAAAAAAAAGTATAAAACATATGTATAAATGTAAAACTTTTGTATTCTTTAAACTTAAAGTATAAAACTTCGCAAGTAAGGTGTACGGCCCAAAAGTGTACAAAAAAATGTGTGGATACAGCTAAAAGTAAGCACTGTTAGAATTTGAGATTTCGGCCGTTCGTTGGTTTTCCTTTATTATTTTGTAGTTATTGACAGCTGGCATTATTTTTTGATGGTTTAAAATCACCATTTCGATAGTGAGTTAATTCACGTTAGAACAAAGTACCAGTCTGAGCAGGTTACTATTTTTGTACCTTTGTTTTAATTCTAAAACGTTAACAAAACGTGGCTATCAATGAAAAGTTAATGGTGTTTTGGTTGTTAAAGACGTTATTAAAAACTGCCTTAAATCAGCGTTAGTAAGCCATTTTAACAATGGCTGTATATTTTGTTATAATTGAATTCACGGCACGTAATACAAGAATTTCTAATTGCATTTAATGAGGAAGCCTAAGTTCCTCTGAATGGCGAGGTAGCCCAACCATACAAGTTATATCGAGGTAAATGTTTTCTTAATATTTCAATAAAATTCAATTGTATATGATTTTTTGAAAGCTTATAAGGAGTAATTAAATCTGCAAATAGATAATAATGTAATTTAGTCTTTCCAGATGGATACTGTAAATAATAGTTACATCATAATATGTTTCAGTATATTTTCGGAGTCCTAAATTGGTTTTTAATTATGCTTTAAGACCATGGTCATCACAATTTTAAACATTGTTTTAAGGTGATTGAAAAATAAAATTTAAAAATCTGTATTAAAAAATAAAATTGTTACTGACTTATACAGGGTGGTCCTAAAATATATGTCAAAAATGTAAAGGCAGGTAGAGGGGACTTGAATAAGCATATTTCGTATAGGATTGTGTGTGCGGTAATGCCGCATTAAGCCGGTAGGGTGCGCTGATGACTGCGGCGTATAAAACCGCACGGATCTCAAACAGCATGCATCGTTTCACCAATGTGAAGCTTGCCGACGTGCATTTCATGTATGGGGCTGCACAAGGAAACGAATTATCTGCTCAGAGGATTTATAGGGAGCGTCAGAAATCACCTGGGCGCTGTCTACGGCCGACATTGGATAGGACGGGGTGGTCCAGATCCCTGGCCACCGCGTTCTCCTGATTTAACCTGCTTGGATTTTTTCTTTTGGGTTCATATTAAAAGCCTGGTGTACGAGAGTCCAATCAAGAAGATCTTCTTGCCCGCTTGTCTGTTGCTGCTTTATATGTGCTCGACATGCCTAACGTCTTTTCTAACGTACGCCGATCCATGCGCCGTCTCTGTGAATCTTGTATCGATGTTGGTGGCTGCTCTTTCGAGCACCTCTTGTAAACTGTTGATAAATTTTTATTTTCTTTTGTCTTTTCAGTTTTTTCTGATTCATACTGCTTTACAAGCTAGTGCTATAATGTGCCATTACCGCACACACATTCCTATCCGAAATATGCTTATTTATGTCCCCTCTACCTACCTTTACATTTTTGACATATATTTTAGGACCACCCTGTATATACAAACTATTTGGCTCAAGGAAGGTTTCTGTATTGAACCAAAGGCACATATTTTTATTTTTCTAATATATATTAAATTTTTTATTAAATATATATATTAATTAATATTATATTAAATAATATTCGTAATATATATTAAATTTTAAATATATTAAAAACTGTCACTTCGAGGTTTGATTATGCGCAATATGGTAAGTAATAATCATATTAACAAGTACGAAATAAAATTGGCCAAATTTTTCGATTTAAGAATGATTTTGTTCAAGTGGGCCATGGATAGCAACATTCCTCTATATTGACTTCAGCTTTTTTAGTCATAAATGTATTAAGTGTTTTAACGATTCAGATCTATCATATTTTCCCCAGTTATGGACTTCGTCATTTTTTATACTAAACCCGTGATTTAAAGAAAACTGCTTTTGTTATTTAGAACAGAGGTATTTATATGAATGCTGGATTTCCAAGATACTATGTATACTTCATTGACTCAAATAAAATAAAGTTTTTGTGGTCGTAGGCCATTAAGGCTATGCGATTGTTCTTATTCTCCATTGGTGCCATTTAAGTTCAAGAATTTGACTTCTGTCACACCTGTTTACAGGGCGGACCCATTAATACATCCATCCGTTCCTTCATACACAGAGAGTAATTTTGACCTGAACCAGAGAACGATCAATTTCCAATTNGAATTTTTGATAAAAAAAAGCTGAAATTTAAGAGATAAAAGTGAAAAAACCGGAAATCCGCTAAAAAGCGGAAAAATCTCATCCCTGAATTCCGTACCCTCAGAGACATAATTTGTTATGGGAACATGGAGGACTTTGTGACCCGACGGATTTAACTTGTACCAGTCACCATTTACATCTTCGACCGGATTAGGACTCCCGTTGTCAAGACTCCATCGCCCTGCTAATCAGGCTCCCCTGACCACAAATAAAATAATCATAGCGAAAGCAAATTTTAAATTTTTTAAAATTGTAAATTAGATTTTGGATGTAAATAACATCCATGTTGAAATTTTAAAAATTATATTGATTAAGGCTTAAGAAAAGTAATATTTTTTTTAACAATTTCCATTTCTGCTTTTTTTTTTTTAATGTATTTAATTAGAGTTTCGTTCATAGATTCTGATAGCAAGTATAATGTGCTCATATGATGAAAATGATTGGATTAGTTTGGCCAAGCTAGCAGAGGTAACCAATAGTGATAATTAAAGCACTTCCTTTGAATAATATTTTATATTTAATTGTGAGCTCTTGTTTTCTGATCAAATGTTTACATAAATCATGTAGTAACCAATAGTATTTTTACACCTACCTTCTTAGTCTCCATACCCATCTTAATGAATGTTTCTATGCTTATTTATAACATACGTGCTGTGATATTGTATTAAAATAATTTTGCTCGAACGCGTTTCTAAAACGATTCTCTTTGTAAAAATGCTATTAATTTTACACATAAAGCTTTTTAAGTTGAAAAATGAATTGTTAAAACCAGATCTTGAAACTGATAGATATAATTTGTAAAGGGTTCTGTACTTTTAATTAGGAAATGTCTAAAGAAACGAAGGATTATGGATTGAATGAAGTTTTGGACAATTTTACAACCCACAACACTCGAACACTGGGTAACAAAAATTTGCATAGAACTTATTAGAACCACCATTGAACTTTGTAAGGTGATTTTAGTAAATTTTTGGAGAAGGTATCCAAGTTAGAAATCAAGAAGATTCTGCTACCTTTTTACAAGATTCAAGCTAAAACATAGCAAAATTATAAACACCATTTTTTACTATTATTATTTTCTTTTTCGATTTATCTTTTTGAATAATTTAGATTGATCTAATAAATCAACAATATTTGATTTTTTTCCAAGCGTTAATTTTATACTTGCACTACTTTACTTCATTTTCACTATTTTATTTTTTTAATGTATTAATATAATTTGTGAAGTAAAAAAAATAAATTAATACGCTAATTTAGTATTACAAAATAAAAGTACAAAGCCTATAAAAGTGTGTAGTTCTCAAATGTCATTTTCCCACAAATTCTGTTCAAAGATGAATTCTACTTAAGGATAATTTTTCCCCGGTTACTTCAAAGGCATTAAACAGAGAGCCAAATGTAGTTTAAATGAATTTAAACTTTTCAACCTTTCTTTAAAGTCAAAGTTAACAAAGTTAAAATTCTCTTCCAGAATTCGGGTGCTGATGCTTTAGAATTGAACCTATCTTGTCCTCATGGAATGGGTGAACGAGGTATGGGATTAGCGTGTGGTCAGGTGAGATATTTATAGAAAATCCTTATTTGTAATTTTTGTTGCAATCATAAATTTTGAAGAGCATCACTTTTTTGTTAATAGGATCCAGAACTGGTGGAGAATATTTGTAAATGGGTCAGAAAAACTGTCAATATACCTTTCTTTGCTAAAATGACCCCAAACATAACTAATATAGTAGAGATAGCAAAAGCTGCATACAGAGGTAAGTGAATTAAACAATTAAAAGTGTTTATTTTAATCCTAATTAGGACCTTCGTTAAAAAGGAATATTCTTTAAATGGTTCTCAGATCAAAGCCATTATAATACAGATAAATCAATCAAGTTGGGAGATAAAGTCATTGAAGTTTTGTACAATACATATGCATGTATAAAATTAATTTAAGTCATTACATAAAATTCCATTGGATTTAAGATTTTGGAAACTAAAATAATATACGAAGAAAACAAAACTAAATTTTGCATTTAAATGAAAATTAAAAGAAATTGTCACCAGGACAGGAAAAAAATCAACAAAAAATCATGTAATACGTAACGTAATTAATTATTACAGAAAATGTTCTTCAAACATTTAATAATATATTTGTTTCCCTTATCTTTGTCTTATAATGTCTTTTTGTGTAAAAACAAATATTTTTTTAAAATTTCAATATCAGGAAAAGCAGATGGCGTAACAGTGACAAATACTGTTTCTGGTATTATGGATTTAAAAAGTGATGGTACACCATGGCCAGGAATCGGCAAAGAACAACGCACAACCTACGGTGGAGTTTCTGGCAATGCCATTCGACCCATAGCACTGAGAGCCGTAACAGCAATTGCAAGAGCAATTCCAGGGTATCCCATATTGGCTACGGGTGGTATCGATTCAGCGGATGCGGGATTGCAATTTCTTCATGCTGGAGCGACTTTACTGCAGGTGATTTCATGTCGATACACTCTTTGTATTTATGTTAAAAATTTGATCATGTTGAACCATACTCTCTTCAACTTAACAAAATACCCAAGTTTAATTCGACACATAATTAAAATTACAGCAAATTTGCTCAATCTTTGCAGTCAATGTACCGTTTTTAAAGATCAACGAAGAATCAATTTTCTTTGAGAGTGCTAAAATATGTAGTCAGACACAGAAAAATAAAATATTGTTTTGTTTTTTTACTAACTTTTGAAGTTAATACAAACTGAAAAATAAAAAAAGAGGTAGGTATCAAATAAAACTAAACTATTTTGTAAATAATTTGATTACACTGGGGAATAAATTTGTTAGTTGGATTCATAATACTACTTGATCTTGCCTAATTCGGGTGTGGGGATTTCAAATATCTGAAATTTGTTTTGCTCCTAAAGATGCAGATTTTTTTTTTAAAATGGCATTTTGAATGTTATCTATAATATTTTAAACTTGCCCATTTCGACAAAAAATAGACCAAAAATGTCATTGGAAAAAAAAACTGTAGCTTGAAGAGAGAAACCGATTGCAAATTTAAAATCAGTGAAACGAAAGTATCTCTATAGAGAAAAATCTCATGCAACAGAAGAAAAAAAAATTGTTTCCCAGTGTTATTTATAATCTCATAAAAATGGAATTAAAATATGAAGTTTTTAAAATATCTATTTAACAAGATTAAAAAATGTAGTTTCCTGGGCCACGTTATTGAAGTTTTGATTTGAGCTGCATGTTACACAACTCTGTACCCTAATCGTTATTACTTCCTCATAAGTCTGAATTTTAGAAAATAGTTATTTTTCGCAATGTTAACTTTCCAGAAACGTTTTTTTTCTTTTATTTTTTAAATTCTTTAAAGAATAAACTTTTTAATGACGGATATTTCATCATCTTTCTTTAGTTAACTTAAGTAAAATGCTTGTAAAATACTATAGACAACTTATTGGCACATTTTATAGTTAAAATTTTATTTGATAACCTAATACAGTTTTAATTAATTATTTTTCCATTAATCTAATGTATATTTATAGATGAAACAAGAGTTAGCATGCAATTTTCGGTAACAGATTACAATTGGGATTTGAAAATAAACCAACATATATGAAAATAAACCAAGAACTAATCATATAACGGTAAACCAAAGTTATGGTAACCAGAAGGTGATGAAATTGAAAGCAAAGAATATCATGGCAAACAGAAACGAGGTTTCAGAAGGAAAAAGAAACACAAATTATGGCCAAACCGAGAACCCCGATTCTATACCTTAACCAATTTTTTGTCTAAAAAAATGGGGGTAATTGATTACCACATTTTTTTCTCACAAAGATGCTTAACGTTACAAAGAATCTTAAAATTAAATGAAAGGTTTCTTTCTTTNCCCCCCCCAGATAGAGTCGAGTTAACTTTTTTAATTTATTTCAAGGTCTGTAGTGCTGTACAGAACCAAGATTTCACAGTGATTGACGATTATGTGTCCGGCTTAAAATCACTTTTATACATGCAAAGTCAACCTCACTTAAATGATTGGATTGGACAGTCACCTCCAACACCAAAACATCAGAAGGGAAAACCCGTCATCGATATTGACAGTATTGTCCATAAGGTAATTTTTGAAAACATTAAAATAAAAATATTCATAACTCAAAGCTCAGTAGTAACCATATTTAAGGATTATTACAAATAAATGTACAAAACCAGAAGAAATTTTATAAAACCAGTAGACCACGAGAAACTGGCACACTTGAGTAGTCTACTGGTAAATCTGGTAGATTTTACAGCTATGCAATATCTATATAGACAAATGACCTAAATGGAACAATTACAGTAAATTTGTAATGCTTTTAAAATGTTAAATTTTTCCTACTAAGTCATATATTTTTTGAAAAATTATTTTAAATTTCTTTATTGTATTTTCTGCCAACTATTTCAGCAAAGCAAATAACTAATTTATTTTTCAATTAATAACGTTTTTATATTTTTTTTATGAACCCAATTATGAAAATCATTACTAAGAAAGCTTCAAGGACTAAATTATTATTCAAGTTATGAACCAACAGAAGCTAGAATATTTTGTAGTTTTTTTATATGCAAATATTTGTAATGATTCCATTTTATAGAAATTACCAAACTTCGGACTTTTCTTAACCCAAAAACAAGCAATAATAGCAGAATTAAAAGCCCACCAAGATTTATTGGAAGATAAGATGCATGATGTTGGAGAACACAGCAAAGAAAAACCACAATCAGTACCAAAAATAAAGGTAAAATTATCAAGTTACATATTTTGAACTCCGTTTACAGAAGTATGGGAAAATGAGATAAGACTGTATAATTAAGATTCAAAGGTCTGTTGGAGCTAAGCTGGAACTGTCATCGATCTAAAGGTACCCCCCCCCAGATAGAGTCGAGTTAACATGTCTAGTGAATTGGAATTGTATTCTTTGTGGTGGTTGACACACTACAAAGATATTAATTGTTTAATTGTATACAATATATCATTTCTATTTTTTTCTAGAAAAAGTCAAATCATCAAGTTTTACCCCATTTCGGGTACACAAGTTAACTCCATGGGAAATTTAGAAATAGAATTTCAGTAAAAAGCAGCAGACATTTCTATTTTACATACAGTTTAAGAAAAGTAGGCCTTTTATTTACATGTGACGTATAGTTAGTTATCTTTACCCTCCTCTGCATCGCAGCTTTCGTTTGCACAGCCTAGATTCGCATCGAAGAGATGGAAACAAAACCAAGTAGTACCCAGTCTTAACACAAGACCGGAGGCTATCGAAACATAACAAAACAGTGCTAACATTTGACTAAAACCTTATTGTATGCTAAGGTATGAATCTTTTGTAAACACATAATAAGTTGGATTAAAAATAATTTTTGGAAAATATCAAATAAAGCTAGTTAAAAAACAATCTAACATTAAACAATTGACCTAGTAAAACAAACATATTTACACAGACGCAATGAATTAATCAAACAACTCGCCAATATGGTAGGTTCTTCTTGATGAGTGAAGTGTAATTTGGATTTTTTTTCGCTAGAAAACAGAACTAATTTTGATACAATCGAGGCACTTGGCTCTACCCCACTATCCAGTCTTAGCTCACTTATCCCCGTAATTTTTAATGCAAATAATAATGTTCTCATACCATTTTATTTGTGTGTAGCTCACGCTGTATTTGCAATTTTTATAACAGATGCTGATAAAGAACAATTGTTATGGTTTGTGCAAAAAATGCCTTTTTTTATTATGGTTATAATCTATCACCTTTCACGAAACAACTATGTTTTTTGAAAAGTGATAGATATTGATAGACCAGAATGTTGTTGGCTTTGATTAAAATTAGCATATTCATTAAACTTGGCCCAAGAGCTTCCTTTATACCCGAATTAAATTTACACTAAAAGATTAACAATTTTTAACCTTAGATTTTAGGTCTCGTTTGAGACACATTCAGCAAGCCTTTCATCTATAACATAAGGGTGGGATATCAATACAGCAGATGTTCTGCAAATCTTTATCAAAAATTAAAACTAAAAAAAGTATCATTCGAAACATGTAAAACGCAGCACTATTAATGCAAACATATAGACAACGTAGGCGTTAATCTAGAATTTCTGGAAGCCTTTAGGGCAAAATTATTACAATATAGTTTTAAAAACAGCATTTTCAAAAAGGTAATTTAGGTTTTCTAGTTTTAGAAAAGTTTCTTGGTTTTAAGGAAATTTACATTAAAACAATTTCTTGTCTTTACAAATTGCACAGTTGTGTTCATATAAAAAAAAAAATATTAAAAAAAAAATAAAAAAAATTGACTAATGTGCAGTACTGAAATTACCAATTAAATATTACTAACTGTATAATTTTATGCTTCAAACAGTTCAGAAAAAATTTGAAGAAATTCTTTAAGTTATCAAGCACTTTTCCTAACCTAGAATATTACAAAGTACTTATATATAATCTTTTTTTAAAGATATTATGTCATATAATATTATTCTACAATCAAAAGCTTATGAAAAGAACATACACTAAGAAAAAAAAATTAATAAAAAAAATTCAAAATCTTTAAGTTTAAGAATTTTGTGCAAATTCCTGGCTATATCCTTGTCACCAAAATATGAAATCTCAGGGTAATATAAAAAATAATTTGGGATATAACAAAGATATAAAAAAAGATTTATAATATGTAGGTTGTTAAATGATGCCATTTTGTTCAGAAAATTATTGAAAAGAATGATTTTTCCTTACTGTTTCCAACAGAAAAAAAAAACAATTTTTTTTATTAAATTTGTACAAAATCTTTTTTCTTTTGGATATTGGATTGGAAGATTGGATATTTTTTCATAAAAAAATGATTAGTCAAAAGTAAAACCAATCAGAATTTTTCGCAAAATTTTATTAACATTATGTCAATAACTCTAACAAAATACTCAAAATTATGTGATTTTTTATAGGCATTTATAATTGAAAGTAGTAAATACAAAATATTCTGTTATAGGATGTGATTGGAAAATCCCTGGATAAAATTGGAACATTCTCCAATTTAGACATTTCTCAACAAGTAGTTGCTTTGATTGATGAAGTAAGATATTTTTTCAAATTTCATACCAAAGTAATAGTTACCACTTAATCTTGAACACAGTTTTTATTTGTTTAACAAGCTTAAGAATATATGAAGAACAATTAAGCATACTGTCCAGGTCAAAAGTTAAAGCACACCCCTGTTTTTACAGAAAATTTTCAAACAGCCTCATGCTTTTTACCATATCGATCCAAAACTTTGTTTATTACTTATTTTTAAAATAAACATTGTTAAAAGTAAGGAAATAAAAATACATGGCAGTATTTATGTTTATACAGATTTGTTTGAGAAATCTATATTATTGAACAGATATTGAGGTTTGAGCACTGTGTTTTTGGATGTACAACGTGGAAAGGGGAAAAAAAAAGCGGGCCACCCTGAAGTGCAAACGATATTTTTAGTTACGAAGTCAGACACGAAAACGTACTTTTTCCGAATAAACATACCTTTTTTTTTTGTTGACGGTTCAGATTTCTGATCCCCAAAATATAGGGGGTAGCTGCAATCTGGGAAATATGTATGGTCTCAATCGTTTGGTCAGGCCGAAATCAGACACGAAAACGTACTTTTTCTGAATAAACATACCTTTTTTTTTGACGGTTCAGATTTCTAACCCTCAAAATATAAGGGTAGCTGCAATCTGGGAAATATGTATGGTCTCAATAGTTTAGTCAGGACAGTAATTCAAAGTTTGGAGCTCCTAATGTTTATTCCATTTTTTACGTATTTTGCCATATCTTGAAAGCTTTTAAAGCTAATTGAAATATCTTTGAGCACAATTATGAAATTCATTTTCCATGCAAAAAAAAATTTAAAAAAATTAGTAAATTTACTGTTTTTCATTATTTTATTTAGCAATAGGCGAAAACGTTTTGTATTGTAAAGTATACAATATTTTACATCACTTTAAAGCATCTTATTTTACATGGCGAAATATAAAATTTGAGCAAAATCGGTTGTATAGTTCCTGAGAAATCTAATTTTAAATTTGATTTCTCAGGAACTATTCAACCTATTTCACTCAAATTCTGTATATTGCCATGTAAAATTAGATGCATTAAAATTATGTGAAAATTTATATACAGTTCAAAAGTTTTACAACTGTCATAAAATAATAAATATTTACTAAAATTTATTTTTTGCATGGATTTATCTTTGGATAAACAAATTTTATAATTGTGTGCAAACATTTTTCGATTAGTTTTAAAAGTTCTTGAGATATGGCGAAACACGCCATAAAATAAAATTAACAATAGGGGGTCCAAACTTTGGATCGCTCTCCTGACCAAACTATGGGGACCAGATTGCGTCTACCCCCTATATTTTGGGGATTTAAAACCCGATTCCGTTGAAAAAAAAAGGTATGTTAATTAAGAGAAAGGCGCCTGGTGTCTGAGTGGTATCGCCTTGCGCTTCCGTGCCACAGCTGGGTTCGATCCTCGGGCCGGGCAAGGTTGACTCAGCCTTTCATCCCTTCAGTGGGTCGATAAATGAGTACCAAGCATATTTGGGAGCTAAACAATAGGGGATCCGCATTTGGCTGACCACCTAACCGGAACATCTGCTCCTGCACCCCACAGCCCAAGAAAACTGAGATGGGCACAGTAGGTCTTGGCCTTCAATGGGCTGTCGCGCCACTGAAGTCACATCTTGTAGCAGTATACTCCCAAAAAAATTTTTTTTTCCTAGGCAAAAATTAAAAACTGGACCAACGCATAGAGGAAGAGTGTTCTCGGGAACAACGAATCAAAGTTTAAAATTTTTGGTTCCCATCACCAGATTTTTTTACAACGTCCCGATCGTTTTTGTCAATTGCGATAGCGCTTCGATCCTGATTGTGTCTGCAGTAAAACGTGGATGAGGTGCCACCTTGTGAAGATGTGTGACATGGCCGTCAGTTAGTGATTTAGTCAGAAACAACAGAATAATGAAGCAAAAAGTGTATTATATTATTTGCGATTCACAACATTTTAATGGGACATGCTGTCCCACCAGGAACACAGATTTTAGGACGCAATCTTGTTTTCCAACAAGATAATAATTCAAGGCATACTTTCAAGTCAAGAAGTAATTATCTGAAAAGCAAAGACGGTGTGCATACCATCACAAAAATGGAATGGTCCCCACTGTCACCAATCGAACTTCTGTGGGATTCACTGGACACCTAAGTTCTTAAGCAGATGCTAAGAAACAAAGAAAACCTACGGAAGGCTCTTCAACGCTGGTGAATTCACATACATAGTTAAAATTTGGAAAAGAAATTGATCAAAAGAATACATTTGCAAAGCTCTAATAAAAGGCCCATGGGTCAGAACTTAGATGAAAGCAAACTTTCAAAATAATTCTGTATAAACGTAAACAATGAGTGTATCTTTGTTTCCTAACATGAAAAATGTTGTCTATTTTGAAAACAGAGTTTTGGATTGATAACAGTATTTCCTGTTTACAAATTAGTGGAAAAACAGGGGTATGCACAGACTTTTGACAATTTACTACTTACTAAGTTTTGAAGATAAGTAATCATTTGCTGGTATGAAAATGAATGAAATCCTTTTGAACAAACATTCATAATTTTATAAGTTTAATTCAGAATACTACATACAGGATGCAGCAATGACTACCCTTAAAATATATTATTAGAATCCTTTAATAACTGGAATAAGAAAAGCATACACGTTTAAGGATCACAGGCATAAAAAAAAAAAAAATTCAATTAAATTCAATGATTAAAAATTAAGTAATGCAAAGGCTCTAAGAAAATACATCAAAGTGCATCTAGCATACTTACATATAGGTTAGTTACATGTATATACAGCCAAACCTTAATATTAGGTTACTGCATAACTTTAAAATTTAACTTCAATAACACAAATTATTTAATATTAGGGCTCTTTTAGTTGATCCCGTTTCACTACCATTTTTTAATTCTCTCTAAACTTTAATTATTAAAAAAAATTGTATGACTCATACATTCCTAAGGAAGTAGACTTGGTAAGACACGGGTGCACTGCATACCTGCCCATAAGAAGAAAAACACTTGCTTATTTAATACATACCAAAGAAACAAAATAATTATGAAGTGGATACCTTGGTTAGCAATGTTGCAGTATACAAGATCAGATAAAATCAGAAATAATAAAGATTATTGCAACAAGAGATATAACAAGAGAGGAAAATGAGAAAACAGAATTGCTGCAAAATATAAAATAAAACAAAGGAGCAAAGATAATGATGTATGAAGTAACTATCTTTTAAAATAAATACACGTTATACATCATTTGAAATGTCAGTGTATTTACTTTGAATTGTTAAAAATATTTGATATCACATAATTTTTAGATCCTTCTATGAGTTTGTGACATGGAGGTTTGCATGTATATATAAATATATATTTGAAACCTAACAATTGTAAGTTTGTTTTTCCTAAAGCAATGTTTTCTTTTAGGATATGTGCATAAATTGTGGTAAGTGTTACATGGCATGCAATGATTCTGGATATCAGGCAATTACATTTGATCCTATCACTCATCTTCCAAAAGTTACTGATAACTGCACGGGTTGTACCTTATGTCTATCAGTGTGCCCAATTATTGATTGCATCAGAATGGTTGCTCGCCAAACTACTTACGAACCAAAGAGAGGTATACCTATTAACATCTCTGTTGAAAGAACATCAAGAACCGAACCTCTTCCCGCTCAATGATATAGTAATTTTATTTATAGCAAATTTTTCAAATGCTTTCTTGAGACTTTTCTTGTATTTACGCATTTTGTAAACTAAGAAATGTAATTATAGTTTCATGCCTTTGATTAATGTAGCTTATTGTTTTCCAAGCAAGTATCTGGCTACTTATTGTTTTAAACGGCCACAGAAATTGTATTGTCTATTTTTTATAACTAAAACTGGTGCTTGCATTGTTTGCAAAAAGAAAGTTGGAGTTATACTTGGTAACATGCAAATTTAATTTTCTATTTTTAAAACTTGTTTCATTATTTTAAGCATTATCCTTTTTAGATAATATTTTTTGTCGACTAAATCAATATCCACCCACTATTTTAATGATATTTGATGGGCATGTTTGTTAAAATGAGATTTAAACTGAAAAAGTAAATATAACAGATGTAAAAAGAATAGTAGTTGAAATTAGTTTTGCGTATGCAAGCCATGTGAGATTAAGTTTAATTTTAGTCTAACATAACTTTGACAACAAAAACTTTTTGCTTCAGATTTAAAAGTATTTCATAGGCAAATTATTTCTACCAATGAAAACTTAATTAATTTTTCGATTTACTGGATAGTGGAATTTTTGGATTTACTTTCATATATCTATAAAAGGAAAACCGATATTAAAATTTTTAGATTAGATAACTCCTCTTAAATTGCAAAATTTATACAACATAAATAAAGTTTTACTAATAAGAATGAGTTAAACTTTGGTTAACAATGCATGGGCCCCACGAATGTAACAATTTCATATCATTACAATGAAATTGTATTTTTGCTTATTAAATACCTAAACATAAATTCAAGGCTAAAACCTTATTAACAAAGTTATGCCTGACAAAAAAGCAAGATCACTCTTTGCTTAACATAGTTGATACACATAAAACATGCTGTACCTCATATTATGTGGATCTACAATTAAACATGATCAATTTTAACAGTAGGTTTTAGCCCAGTTTGAAACTTTCTAGAACTTAGTTTGAAACATCTAGGCAACTGTGAACAAATTTTTATAAAATATGGAAATTTTGAGATAAGGTTTAGTTTGATAATTTTCATCATATGTTTGATTTTATAAAGTGTGAATCGAATAACTTTAAAAGTAGTCTTGAGTCATCAAAAGTTACAGTCTGTTTATTAAACAATATAAATTAATGTATTTAAAATATTTATACATAAACAAATAAAGTTCATGAATTTTTATTTTACAAATAGTCTTTGCAGTAGAAATAAGCAATTGCTTAAAATCAAATAATAGACTATATAATGTAATAACAATGGGTGTTTGTTATGTACACATTTGAAAAATTACTACAAAGTTGCTATTTCATGAATAAATGGTTTCGAATGAATACACATATCACAGTTTGATGGAAGAAGCTCTTTAGATTTTAATAAATCCTCAACATCTTGTATGCTTTTTGAAGTTGGGCATTGCCTTGCCATCCGAACAGCTTCACTCTGAAATATACAGTTAGTTAAAAACAGTTCTAAGGAATGTTGAAAGGAGTTTACCATTTAATGGTTAAGTTCCAATAAAGCCTTGCATTCCTTGTGACAGAATTGTTTGCCATTATTACTGAATATAAAAAGTTAGAAAAAGAGGAACTACTATGTAATTTAGCTTACAAGCTTAACTATTAAGAGTTTTTTTTTATTATAGAAAGAAATAACATTCATTATAAAATTATGAATTGAAAGAATTTGATAAAAGTACATTTATACACAGAGGTCAGTAAAAATAAGCATGGACCTTAGATCAGCGTAAATATTTTACGACCTAGTGGAGAATATCTGCATTCAGTTTCAGTTGTTCTTCATCTTTGGTTTACAATACAGTGGCCCCAAAAACTTAACCATTTCATAGCATCATGATGAAACAACATTTTTGCTCATTAAATATCTAAACGTAACTTAAGGTAAAAAAACTTTGACACTATTTGCTGCATTGGCGATCTTTTTTGGATCTCTGTGGACTCAACCACTTCTAGCATGCAATAATTTTCACAATCTTAGTAAAGCTTTAAATTTCAGAAATATATCAACAAAATATTAGTTAATATTATGGTTAATTTGATTTATTTTAGCATTTACAAGCAGCTTCACTATGTTTTAATTACATAAACATTCAAATTAAATCGAATTAGAAAATTAAAAGTTTATTTAAATATTTGTTATCCAAGGAGTAACCTTTTTAGGCACTTTTTTTAATATTTAAGTTAAAATCATTTTTCTGAAGATTGATTTTTCTAATTTAAAAACATAAGTGATAAATGTAAAATGTATTTCTTATAAAATTTCAGTTTTTTAAACAATATTTTGTATAAAACAAATGAAATTGGCTCAAGATACAACAATCTAACAAAAACATCCCAAAATTATTGAAAATCAAGAAAGTAAAATCTGAAAATTCCTCATATAGAGACAACCACTTCAATATGGAGAATATTTTGTATATTATTTAATAATACACAAAATCATAATTTTTGTCCATCATTAGGAGAAATTTGCAGCAGTGAGATTCCATTTTTTTTATACATAAGAATAAAAAATAAATAAATTACAGAATGATGGGAAAAGAAAAAAAGATAGCGGTAAATTTTATGATCAATGATATTTTTGTTTGAAAACAGATATATGATGTTCACAAATTAACTACATATGTTATGCTAAAGAAACATAATATCAGCAAAAACATTTAGTAAAATAAAAATATATATATAATAATAATTTACCTGTAAAAAAAGAATGACTTTCCCAGGTCGACATTCAGACAATTTTGCACAAGGGCCTTTTTCTTTCAGAAGTAATAAAATCTCCTTTAGGTCAAGGACAGAATAAAAAGCAATATTTTTTGTCATGCCTACTACTTGGATCTGTACTTCTTCTTGACCTTTAATCAAATAAAAATCATAAGGTGCGTTTAATATCAAATGATCACAAATGTAAATTCATTCTAATATCATTAATTGATTTCATAGATGCAAAAGGAATATGGCAGAACACAAATAGTACAGAATAAACTATTGAAAAATGGATGAAAGTACAGGGTTATTCATAATTCCCTCTGTTTACTACAACTGGCTTCAGTGGTACATGCTACTGCCATCTATCGGCAACTGCTTAAATTAAAACTTGAATACTTTTGCAATAATTCCACATGTTCCTTTTTGCCATATTCATCTTCGTTTTTTTACTACGCTTCAAAACCCCGGTGGGAGTTATGAATAACCCTGTATTATTATGGGCATCTTTTTGAATGTGCTTTTCTAAATTCATTCATCTTAGAAGAACCACAATATAACATATTCTGCAGATCACAACTAAAATGAAAGTATCAAAATAAAATTTATCCTAACACCCATAATGCTTCAAAATTACAATACCTTTGAACTATTATTTTTTACTTTAGATTTCTTTAAGTTCAGCATAAAAAAGTACATAGGAAATATGTAATTTGTTTAGATATGTAATTCAGATGTGTACATTATAATAGAAAATTGTATTCTTGTAAAATGCATATATATTTTACTTATTAAAATATGAAATGCAGAGATGTGTACAAAAGTATAATAGAAAATTGTACACTTTATACTTACTAAATCCCTTACAATTTCTAAACTATTAGTCATTTGTTTTTTAAGTTGAATAGAATGGCAGCAAAATCAAGTAGATAGACTTGATTTTGCCATTCAATTCAGCTTTAAAAATACACATATAACATCTCACTTGTCTACATAACAGTCTCCCCTTTTGACAACTTTTCTCCCACAGTAAATTCCAGCCAGAGGTTTCAGCTAATCTGTGAGGGGAAAGTTTCAGGGGATTATACATAGCATACTGAGACTTTTTTGTACTGTAAAACCAAGAACTGTTTACGAACTATTTTATTCCAACAGAAAAACAAATTTGACTTTGAAGTTTGTAATCGCTTTGCAGGGAGAGGATAGGATTCCTTAATGAAGAACATTCTGAGATTTGTCCATAACTAAGTGAAAAAATGGCTCAAAAAAGCATACACCAAAGCACTTAAAACATTAAACATGAATTTACCTTTAAAAATTAAAAAAGTTAGCTTACTTTTCAGTAAATTTAGTTCAAAACCATTAGCAATAATTCGTTCATCTACAATGGTTTCAGCCATATAACATTCCTTTTTAGGCAACTGAGAAATAAATGCACTTGCTTCTTCACCCAAAGAGCTGAAAATAAGAAAAAATATTAATATAATAAGATTCTTAAAACATTAGGAAACTAAAAAAAAAATATTTGAATATAGGTTTACAATCAAAATAATTTGTCGATAAGAACAACAGAAGTCTTAGAATAGTCTTTTTAACAATCTATTAGGTATAAGTTGTGTCAAAGCGTGTTTACCTTTCAGTCTAGCGTATCCAGAGCGCTTTATGCAGGAAATTATATTTTGCAGGTTAGAAATATAACATTAAGATAGATAGCAATAAGGTGAATTATATCTTTAAGAACGATTTTTGGTAAAATTATTTAGATATATACTTTTCCCCCCAAGATCTTTAAAGTAAAATAAAGACATTTAAGAGATATAATAATTATGAATAAGATGAAATTGCGATAAAAATTTACTAGGTACCTTATTTTTACCAAGTTTCAAAATTAGAAACTAAGTTTATCAATAGTTAAAGCTGCTAACTAACAAACAATGCTTTTAAAATAACACCATTTGCAGTAATAATATGGAGACAAAATTTGTCAAAGTCCTTGCAAATATTATAGTTAATATAAGCTGACATACAACAAAAAATATTGTTTATAGTTTTTCCAGGAAACAGGCGGCAACCTATCATTTTTTACTTATACATTTATATTTTGAAAAATTTTTGAGCACAACTGAACCAAATTTTTATTAATATGAACTATTATAGAGCAGCTTAAGCACAATTTAACCCTTGAACTGCCAAGTGCTCTAAATTAAAGGGGCTAGTTGAAGCAAACATTACTTGGGGCCGAATGCTTTTTGACACAATAATGATTTTGTCAGCAGTATATTAAGACATTATTAAATAGCGCACAATCCAAACACTATAACTACTTTAACCATTCCAAACATTTTGTTTTTAATATCCATTGTTTATTCACAAATGGCTAAGTTTTAAAATGGTTGTAGTCATAATCTACGCTGATGGCTTGCTCAAGACGTCAGTTACAACCAAGGCCACACCAACAACTGCAAATATGCACCCAAAGTAGGCAAAGGGTTATACACATATATATATATATATATCACAGGGAAAACTTAGTTTGATTCCTACTTACTCATTTGATATAATGCAAGGGAATTCCAATTGCTCTGGTTCAAATCGAAATGTGTTCAAAAGGCGATGATAAATTACCATTTCTTGTAAACGGAATGTGTTCAAAATGCAGAGCTTATTGTCTTGAGAAAATATCCATATTCCTGGAGCTATGCAACTTATTATATTTATATCCCCCAGATTTGAAGAACTGTAATAAAATTGAGGTATTAAAATAATCAGTAGGAAATTGTTACAAAGATTTGCCATGCATAATAATACTGTAGAAAGATGTTATTTAAATAACATTATTAAGACAATTGTTTTCTTAATTTTAAAAAAAAAGTACAATTTCTAAAAAAAAAAAAAAAAATTTTGTTTATTACAAGCCTTGATTTAACAAGATTCCAAGGTAATAACTAGTTTCTTTAATGTTAAAAAACCAATATAAAACCTTGTTATAATAAACGTAACTAGAATTTAATGAGGATTTTTTTACAAAACTTTTCAAAAATTAAATCATTGATCCTACAAAAATAATATCTTTTAAAAAAATTACATGACTGTTATCATAAAAGTACTTGATGGTTCATGGAAATTTTTTTCTTTTTGAAAAGATTCGAAAAAACCCTTTTAGTTGAATTTGTTAAAATATCAAATACTTGTAGATAAACAATAAAGCAAAACAATATAAGCTCTTCTCATATCTTACTATAATTTACAGAATTGTAATAACCAATAGATGTTGCTATACAAACCATTCAATATCTATTGATGCACATATGTCTACAAGAACTATGCATTTTTCTGCCCAAATATTTTTAAAGCACACAGTCTGATAATGATGTGAACGAAACATCAAACCATCACCAATTACATATCTGATAGCTTGTTAAGCATCTCTTAATCTCTATAAATATCAATCCTATGTATATATTTTGGCAAGAGTGCAGTCAGTTGAATAATTGCCAAAACATACTATAACAAAAGAAAAAACGTTATTTTAATTAGTGGAAAATAAAAAAGTAAGCCATTTCTAAATAATATTTTAGATAATTTTGACCAACTTATTTTCAAGGAACACCAGACATTAAAGAAAATTGTCTTAGGTTAAAAGTATTAGTTTTTCACATGTATGAATTAATTTTAATGTTATTAAATAAGACATATCAATATGTTTAACGGCTAAGAAATTCAGAATATAAGTATTACTTCCAATCTTAATTTAAAGTGATGAACACAAGTGAGCAAATAAGGGGTACAAAAAGATAAATTTAAATTATATATTTATATTTAAAGAAATTGGAATTTTAATAAGAATTTAAAAATAAATTATGAAACAATTAAATTTTCTCTTTCTCTTTTAAAATTTTTATGAATTCAATTTTTATAAAGTTTCAATATTATCTTACCTGGAACTAATGTAGTTGTGAGGTGTTCGTAAATCAAGTGAAATTATCCTCTCCATGCATTTTCTCCTCATTTTTGATTTTCTTTTTGTAGGAGTTCCTTTAATTTTATTCAGATTTTGTTTAACACAATTTCCAAGTATTTCTTTGTTTTTAATATTCCTGGAAAATAGAATATATATACTTTTACAAAATATGAGCAAAATTATTTTATTAGTTAGATTAAAAATTAAAGGTGAAAATTAAATTAGAAACACAATTACGTTTAAAAGCTTGATAGAAAAAAAGTATTGAAATCTAACAAGAAGCAAAGCACATTAAATTTCTTTAATAAATATTATAAAATTATTATTTTTTCTTCAAATAAGAATTTAATGAATAATAAGAAAGAGAAAAAAGAAGGGAGTAGGTGCAGTTTTAAATTTTTAAGCTTATGTTTTATAACAATGTACGAAAAGTGTAAGGATAATAATAATGATGAATATACACCCATTTACCACCTACTATAATTCAAGCTTCCCATTTAAAAAATATTTAAATAAAAAAAAATTATTTAGTTAAATTTATATTTAAGTTACTGCAGTGAAAGAAATACTTCTTACTTAGGATAAGTTTTATCAATCATGTTTTTATAAATAGATTTTTCTTCTATAGATAAATTACTCCATTTTTCAGTCAAAATTTGTGCAATCTGATGATTAGTCATTTCAGGATTTAGCGATGCAACTAAAACAAACAAAATGATTAAGTATGGGTTTCAATAGAAAAAACAACACAAATTAACATTTTTAAAAGGTGATTTTTGCAATAATTTTTGAAAAATGTAATAAATAAAAAAGCTTTTATTTAGAAGTGTATAAAGATATCCATAAATTTTTCCTCAGTTTTAATTTTAAAAAATAATGATAATAATAGGCAATGCATGGAAGATCATGTTAAAAAATTCAGATTTTTTCGTTTAATTTAAATAGCTTTCTTTTAAAGGTTAACAAAAAGAAAAAAATCTTTTAAAATAATTACATTGACTATAGAATTGTTAGAGTGAACATTTGCTTTTGTAGATTAGGCGAAGATTAAAATCACTAAAATTAAAAAAAAAATTATAAAAACAAATTTTTTTAGTCCTCTCTTCCAGCTTTAACATGGAAGTGAAAATATAGTTCTAATTTTTTACAATAAATTTTTTTACATTACTTTACCTAGGAAAACAATTGCTATAGGAGAGAATCAGTAACATTTCACAGAATAATCATATAATTATAAAATTATTTTCTTTATGTATGAATTTTATCTTTAAATAAGCTGATAACAGCTTTTTTATGTAAAAAAAGTATTCTTAGTTAGAAATTTTATGAGTATCTCCTTCAACCCAGAAGAATCACCAAATAATGCTTTCTTGTAAGCAAATCATGGTATACACATACAACTTAATATTCAATATATGTTATGACTGTAGCTGTTTAAACACATAAGTGTTAAGTCCAAAGAAAAATTCCACTGAAATTTTCCTGCAATAAAGTACGTTCTCTTAAAAAATGTTGAGAATTTTTTTTTTTAAATGCAAAAGAAAAAGAAAAAAAACAGCTTAAAGTGCTAAAAAATAGCCATAATTTGCACTCACAGTGATAAAACTAATGAGAATTATGCAAAAGTACTTTTTTTTTTGTAGAAATCTATTATTGTACAAATGACATTAAAAGTAAAAATAATTGGCTAACTTCAAGTAAAACATTAAAGCAAAATTTGCATCATTAAAAATACTTGCAAAACTTCTTGGCCTATAAGAGTATTTACATAATTCTTACAAATGTAATTGAAATATAAAAATGCACACACAAGGAAAAAAAAATATGAAAAAATCATTATAAGGAAGGACATGACTTACTTTCAAGTCGGTTTTTCCGACAAAAAAAATCAAATGCCGTCATTTTCCGCTGATTTGAAACTGAATTGTTCAATATTTTTGAATCTTTAGCTTTTTCTTTAAAAATTATTTCTTTATCATTAATATTTTTGGAACTATTTTCAACTATTTGTGGCATCAAAACTGCGACTGGCTGAAAAATTAATAAAGAAAAATTAACGTATGAAATAATAATTTATAATTACACAAAAAAGCAAGAGTATCTAATATATTAATTCACATAAACTGTGGAATGTACAGAGCACAATTTTTGTTATGCCGAAGCAGTACTTTATTTATGTATGTCAATAGAAAATAATTCGACTCATAAGTATTAAACTTGATTTTACAATTAAGGCCTTAGGAGTAAATTTGTTACAGCTTTGCACTAACAATATATTAGTTTTTGCACTAAAAATATTTTAACTATCAATATCGATATGTCATAATATTTCAACTTATTATTAATCATTATAAATTCATTAGAGAACAGCATTCACAGATCACAGGAAATACTATTATAGTTGTTAATTTTTTAGTGAATTTAAAAAAAAATTAAAAATCAAAATTAATGCTTTCCATATGAAAAAGTTGAATTTTTAAATATAGTTGAATTTTTAACAATTAGATTTCGAAATTTTCACTTCATATGATGAGAATCGAACATATCAACATATATGATGATAAATATATCAGAAGTCTATAAAACCATATATGTTTTCAAAGTACCATTTAAATTTTCTGTTTCAAATGAATAACTTTAATTCTTCTTGCTCCCGTGAAAATGACAGGGTGAGGTTTCGTCCTCTATTTCTCGGTCCCGTGATATAGACGGGCTGGAGTGTTCAGTAGTAACGCGCCAATAAGAATAAAACTAATTGATTTCTTTTGCCTGGAAAAATTTTTATTTCTCATTTTACGCACCAGATGGCAGTACCAGGATATTTTTAAGGTAATTGTAGATAGTTAGTTTATTTAAAACTAGATGTCAGCACTAATCAAATACGTAATACAAATACAAAAGCCCCAAAAATATGCACTTTTATGACAGTTTTCTTGAAAATTAACTGATTGTTAAGGGGTTAACTTAGACCACAGAAGTATTATTTACCTGCATATCTTGAATGGCATGTTTTCCCCGAGACCAGTTCTGCGAAGCAGTCACATTTGACGAGATTTGATTTTCAGATGTAGGCAAAGAGGAATTTTCAGAAACTGTATTCTTGCAAGGTTGTTGTTCATTAAATGATAAAATATTTTGATTTTTTTCCAAAATTAATTTGGCTGTTTGGAAATTTAAGGCATCATTAAGGTCCAAGGCACTATTATCATTGTCATTAACTGGAGCATTCACAACACAAGGTGCAAAGTGTTCAGAAGTTAAATCACCCAAATTAAATAAATTATTGAAGTCAACATTGTTAATATGGCAATTGGTATTATTTTTTTCTGGCATAGAATACTTGTTTGAATCATTGACCAATGAATGATTTTTTTCTGGCAGAGAATTGATATTTAAATCTGCCACTAGTAAATTACTTTTCGCCAGCAAAGAATTCTCATTTAAATTTGTGACAAGGAAATTACTTTTTGTACAAATAGTTTCCTCTGGAGAAGAAATAGAGTTTAATTGATTCCTTTCAGCAGTTGCAGGAGTAAAATGATGATTAGTATTGGATAACGGAATTTTGTTCAATTCGTTATCAGGTGAGTACATGTTACCAGGCATATTTGAAACTGCAGATGGTAATAGTGTTGTTGTTTTTACTTGGGCAGATGAATTTATAGACAGTTCTTTACCATTTAAAGGTAGCTGAGAAGTTGAAGACTCCTTTATTGAATTGCTATTGTTTGAAAATAAGGTGGATTCGGTATCAGGATTTCTAACTTCTGAAGAATTCGCAGTCATAAAAAATGAATCCATAGTTTTTATGTGCTGAAAAATGTCATTTGCTTTAGAGTTTGATGCTTTAAATTTTTTCGCAGATGGTTCTTGCACATTGGGTGGCTTACTCAACTTTTTTCTTTCCAGGCATTTATCTTTGTTATTTTGAAGTTTCATCATTTGAGATAGATTATTTTGGCTAGATATAATATTGATTTCAGAACGCTTTAATGGTGGTTCAAGAGTCATTACTTTTGCTTTAGTAGCAAGTTCTGATTTTTTAGCTTCTGAATCTGCCTCAACTGCATTAGGAGTATCATTTTCATAAAATGTTTCTAGAATCGCAGTCAACTGTTTAGTAACAATATCCTAATGAAACAAAAAAAAAATTTAATGAGAATAACAAAAATGTTCAAAGCTCTTTTATAAAAATAATATTATACACAGAATTTTTAAAAATAAAAATTTTAAATATTTAAAAATAAAATTTTAAAATATTTAAAAATAAAATTTTTTAAATAATAAAAAAAATTAAAAAAATGAGACAACAATATTTATGCATAAAATAAAAATATTTTGTTATCAATTTTTATAGAGACTTCAAATTAGACATAACATATTTTTATAGACTTCAAATAAGAGATAAATTTGAAATGATTTGAATAAACTTTGTAATTTGGATATCTATAACTTTTTTATGTAAAATAATTACAATTTAAAAATTAATTAGAGGTTAAGAAAATTAGTCTGCAATTACTAAATTCATAAACTATGTGTTTTATTATTAAATTTTTTTGTATAATATATATATA